CAGCAAATAATTCAGCAATGTTACTAATTCAGCATGCAATCGTTATCCCAAAAATGTTACATTTTATGTCGCTGATTAGAACCCACGATTCTCCTTCGAAATTGCTCAAGTAGTTTCGCAATAAGCAACTTGTAATAAGGAATGCGAATACTCGCATAAATTCGTTATGTCAATTACATGCTTTGTCAAGTGTCTAGCGCGAAACAGCAGAAATAAATGTAACGCGCAAATAATAATGATCGTGTGCGTTCACGTACGTTTGTAATACTGAATATTTCCGTAAGAATATAACAATGAGGAACACGTATTTTTTGAATAATCATAATCCATACTTTATGATCGAAGTTAATGATCAAATTTTTATTGCAGCTGAAATTCGAAGCTATTGATCTGGATTCTAATAATTAAAAAGTATTATAAATCTGAGCGAATATCAGGTTTTATTTGGGCAACACTTTGCAATTGAAATTATTACTGTCTATACTTTATAATGCTCTTTCAAAGGTAGCATCTTTAAATTCATTTCAACGTTTAGTGTTTCAACGATCGCTTGACCAATACATTTATTGAGAGTTATTAAAAGTAAATATCCAATACGTATTAAAAATTCCTTTTCAATTTTTCTGTTCGTCTGTGCTTTTTAATTAGCTTCAGAAATATTCATTGGTTTTATCATTGGCTTATATTGATTCAAAAACTTACTCGAGCATAGATAAAAAAGGCAATCTTCGAAACGTCAAAACTCATAATATCGACTCAACACATAGAGGCAATTCAAAATCCACCTGTGTCGTTGAAATGTTGTTATTATTACTCGAATAAACTGCTTGTTTGTTCACACACATGAATAACTTTCCAATAACTCACAATTTTTAAAGCGGACAAGTATGTACTATAGCCACCTGAAAGTAATACTCAGAGTTTTTGCAACCTCAAGTTATTCAAATCAATATCAATAAGGCATTTATCCATAAAGACAATATCAACACGAAAGGCACACGAAAGAAGAAAATTTTTAGATTGACAAACACTCCATGCAAAAATGCTGAAGCGATCTTAGTAATGGTGTGAACGAAAAAAATTGGCAAACGATTTCGACGGTGTCTGAGATAATAAAGTTGCACGTCACGTATTAATTACAACAAAAAAGATTTTCTGCGCCTAAGTAAAAGATCAAAGTATCTATTTCCTAAGTTTTCAACGAAATTGAGTTTTTTCGGCTGCGATTTGATGAATGTAATTCTCAACTCAAATCTCTGTTATCAAACTCCATTATAACTATGCCACAGATTTCATCAGGGAAACTCATATTATCTGCAAAGTCACAAAAGGAAATAGATAAACAAAATATGAAAATAAGCTTTTGAAATTTTAATTAAATAAATCAAAATATATTAATCTAATGCAATTGGTTTTATCACAAATAAGTTTTTTGTCAAGTATAAAAGAAATCTTTCAAGATAATTTTTTGAATATGATCCTTGAATTTATTCATTTGCCGCATTACTATTTGAATGAATTTTTATAATTCTAATTTTAATAATGAAAATAAAAATCAGTCATGATAAAAATATAATTATCTATGAAACTGTTCAAAAAATTCTCGAAAAAAAATGTACGTCAATCTTTATATTAAAATTGATTAACACTTGAAAAAGTTGAAGTGAATGTCTATTTGTTATTTGATTTCAATTTTATCGAAGGAGGGTCTTAAAAGGACAGCTTGATTCGTTAAAAGTTTTTCAGAGTTCATTCAATTTTATTTTTCATAAACTATACAAAAAAGGAAGAAAAGCAATGTAATGGAATCCTGAATTGTGAGCTATTGTGCATATCCATTGTCCAAGCGCTAAAATTTTAAACTCTGCATAATTAACATTCAGAGGTAAAAGTGGCTACTAAAATGAACGACAATTTACTGTTATTCACTATTTAATTATACTTTTTATTGTTAACAATCCTAGCCGTGAGCAATAAATGTCGAAAATGTGCGTTTCTGCTTTGCGACGTCAAAATGCCTGTACTGTAAAAGAATTAAAAAAGCAGCACTTAATTTTTTTCAAAACTAAAACAGACCCAGAAACTGCCAAAAGAGCACAAATTGTTGATTCCCCATCTATTCCGACGGAAGACAAATTCGAAAAGTTAAAAGTGAAAAAGACGATCGCATAAGTTAGGCAGCGCGAAGGTGTGCGGCGCATGAACGGCGTTGACGGCACAAAAGTCGTTTAGCCGAATAGAAGGATTTGCTCGCGAGGTTTATCGCGCCTTTTGTCAGAGGTACCACACGGGAAAAATTTGCCAAAGCTTGATCCCCTCCGCGCGTTTCGCAGAATGGTATCCGATATATTAAGACGAGTTACGGACGTTTATCGCGGCATCGTTGGGGCCGGCTTTCGAGAAGAGAAGACATGAAAAATCGATTCGCGAGCACGAGCTTATCGTCACGGCCGCCAGTATCCGTGTATAATAAAACACGTCATAAGCAGTTCACGAGCTGCGAATGGTATATAAATTCACGAAATAGGCAACGCCGCAGGCCCCCGTTATGCATAGCGGAAATTCGGACTCGCGGCGCGTTAAGTTTGTCCAAGATTCAAATTCAGTCGTGCGCAATGTATACAACGTGAATATTATATATACAGGATAATCAGACAATCGAAAATTCCACACGTTGGTCACTTACCTCGCAGCTACCCCTCGAGGATTATGCAGGTGCAGAGAGAGGAGCGCGCGCAAAGAAGATATATATATATATACACCATCGGGGCGTAGGAATGCGATTAGCGTCGAAATATCGCCCGAGCGCGGCAGTGGCAGCAGCGGCTCAACAATCTGCATAGCTCGTACAACTTGCTTCCCAAGTTTCTCTCTCGCATGGCCAATCTGTCTGGCGCTTATGTAAACACGTATGATCAGTGGCGCGCGCTCGTATGTTTCATGAAAAACTTGCCGCGCTGCAGCCAAATTTACAGTAAAATCATTGCCCCGCTTTCGGTCTAATTTTTTGGAACTGCGGGGGATGAGTTGCCTGCGGTTAACCGCCGCTTAATCTAGGGGGCTTTTCGCCAGATGTTTATTAGCGTATAAACGTCGCATCTAGCTGCTCGAGCGCGGCGCGCATAGAGATGTATATCTTTAGAAAGTCGGTCGCGGTTTCATAGTCCGAGTGTGAGCCGGCCATCGAAGCCCCTGCGTGAAGCCGCCACCCTCCCCCGTCCGACCTGCAGTAGTACTACAGTAGTATTGCAGGCAGTAGTAGTGCGGCCGAAGCCTGTAAGCGTCAGGCAACATTTCATAGTGATAAATCGTTTCTATGGCTCGCCCGCACAGACAGGCCTTCGCGTACGAGTATATTATACGCGCATGCGTGTGCAGGCACTTCTGCCGTGACCGCAGCGCATGGAAATTATAACTTCCCATCTGTTTATTGCCCTTGTTCTTCCATAGCAGCTTTCCAAGGCCCTCGTGCGCGATCTGGTCGCGGCGGATCCTCGACTCCTGGCATTTTCAGCATTCGTCATATTGAAATATCACCTATTCGCGCGTAAAGGGCATACTTAAAAAAACTAATGCTAAAATTAAACGGAATCAACTTCAATTTATTAAATTCATTTATTGAATTATACAATACCGTTTTCCTCTATTATATGAGCTCGGTAATTTTTTTACTATTTTTAAAGCGAACTCCTGATACAAAAAGATTAGATAATAATTATTATCGAAAATAGAAAAATGTATTTCAAAATCCAATTTCGCCTTTGTACAATTTTTAAAAATAAAAGTTTATGTAGGTTATTATTCAATCTACTAAAATTTAATAAAAGCAGATACCTGTAATTATTTATGAAGCGCTTAAAACGGTAAAATGAATAGAAAATAAAACTTTACATTTGATTCTGACAATCGTTATGAAGGCATTTCATCGAACATGAAAATCTAAATACATCAGATAGTTTTGTAACAATTTACGCGATTCTAAATAATTAAACTACAATCGATTGCATATAAAAACCTGACTGTGAATTTGCCTTGTAAAAAATAAAACTACCCCCTATGTTCATTCTGTATCAAGTTTATTTTCGTTCAATATGAACGCATTTTATGGTAACCATGTATGTACTTTTTTTCAAGGCTCAAATCTTTTACTTGAAACTTGCCATTATCAATGGTTGTTTCATTTTCATAATCAAAATCGAAACGAAAAACACAAATACTTTTACAGGATATTTCGTACCTAGCGTTTTAATCTGATTCTCTGACCCTCGAGCCTAAAACGCCATGATGTATCGCTGTTGTAAAGAACCGATATATTGTTTATCGTAGAATTGTTTTGATCGTCACCAATTTGTTACCCCAGTATTGTTGTTGTTCACACAGTCGAGTTTTTCTCTCGCTATTTTTTTTTTAACGACCAGTCGTGCGTGATATTGTTTTTCTCTACCTCTCTACCTCTCTACCTCTCGGCATTCCTCTCGATACCCAAACAAGAAGACACACAGCTGCGTTAACAATGCCGAGGGAAAATGCTCTCGGGCGCATGCATGCGGGGGCTAATACAGAGTTCGCAGCGCGTCAAACCTGGCTTCGATTTTTTTTTTCATGATATAACGAGTAAACGGATGTTCGTGTGGATTGACATTTTATTAGAATTGAAATATTCAGGCTTGTCGATAATCACGTAAATAAACGTATATATACTGGCGCACTTCGACTCTCTATGAGTCGTTTGAGTGAGTTATCCGATTTTCGAATCATATGCGCGCAGGAAGCGACGGCTTACGATCATCCATTGGTGTCATATTTTTATTTATTTACCCACCGCCGACATCGTTATATACAAGAATGTATGCAATCGATAAAAGTATTACATTTATGTTATTTATCGTAAGACGCTGGCAGATTTATGATTAATCGCAATTCTCGTAACGTATTCATTAGTATGAAGGAAATCAATGTTATGCGGTTTAAAAAAAAAGGTGACCATTTTATTTTTGCAGGATGAAAAGGAGCCCAACAATGAAGAAGACACCCGAGGGCTGAGCGAGTCAAGGAGCGAGCGAGAGCCTCGAAACTAAGGCGAGAGAGAAAGAGAGAGAGAAAAATAAGGTCTTACACGGTTGCGCCAGTTTTCGCAAAGGCACGAACGATAGAGGGAATTGGAAATGAGTTTGGCGAGTACGGCCTTAGGCGCACTCGCCATACTTTCGATATTACTGGCTACGAGCACAGGTATGTAACTTTTTCCCTCTCTTTTTTGTTTGTATATCTGCGTTATAGAAAAAAAAAGAAGAAAAATCCAATGAAACGAGTGTAGACCCCAACGTACTGTAATGAATAAATACTGCACGCGTGCGTGTGCGTGTATATAAATACATGAAGTACACAGAGGCAGCTTTGATAATTGCATGCGTGTGCGGCAGTGGCAGCAGCAGCAGCAGCAGCGCCGGCAGAAGCACGTCATTACCTGATTACGCCAATATGCACGTGAAAAGGACTTTGCTGGCGCGTAGGCAAACAGTGATATTCGTGATTAAGCTCGGCTAAGGCCGGGCCCTGTCGAGTTGTAAGCTTCTCCTGTCATACGCGCTCTCTCTCTCTCTCTCTCTCTCTCTCTCTCTCTTCTGTGATACACGCTGCGACTAACTAAAATGATTAATACTACGTACACATAGACACATGTGCCTCGCACTAATCTGCATTAAAATATCGACTCGACAATTTCGGCCTTTGTTCTCGACTTGCTCGCATCTTTCATGATTAAAAACTTTTTCTCCATTTCGCCGTGCCCTATCTTTCGACGTTATTAAATTCAGTCGTCGTTGATCATCGATAGATTTCGCCGTTCTTGAAAAAAAATAGAAAAAAATTATGAATTAAATACGTCTTTATGGGCAACTCGGAAAATTATCAATAGCGATCTACCAAAAATTCGACAGCTCTTTTTCCTTTGCTTCATTTTTCAACTAATGCGGAGAGAAGGAGACGAAAATAGAGGAATAAAAAGAGTAAAAATCGATCGTATATGTGCCATATACCGCGCACGGAACAAAATTGCATCCTCGCAAGAGGTCAGTAATACCCATCCTTTGGATAGAATGGCTGTCAGAGATATGCCGAAGGCAGAAAAGAACGGCAAAATATTGCACAAACAGGATAGAGAATGAAAAATTTGCAGCGAGTCTATGCGCGCTATAAATGTGCGTACATATGTATGCTTGTACGCGATTCGTTGGGATTAAAAAATATTATTAAAAACATAACTGGCCGTGTGCGGATTCGTTCGATTTAAAAAGTATTCATACGTCCATAGCAGAAGCAGCCTGCATGTACCTATATATTATTTCATTCGTGAGTCGATAATATATAACCCGATTTTTCGCACGGCATATCCGTGATAGGACACGTTAGAATACGACAGTATATGAAATTTCAAACGGCGGCGTAGAGAGAGAGAGGGGAAACGAACGGAGAAGATCCTATATATCGATTGCACCCATTTGGACAGATCCACGTACACGCATGCAGCGCAGCAGCACCATTTTTCGCCGTATAACTTTGGAAAAGAATCGAAGCCTGAAAGATCTCGACATAAAAGTTGGGCTAGAAAATTCGGGTTAGTAGGAGAATCAGCCGAAAAAAAGCCGTCACAGATCGTTTGAGCTCTGTAACCGTAATCTCCCCATATATACCTATATACTACAAACCCGCTGCTCTATACACGATCGTTCGGAATCCAGACGACGGCTGCTGTTACTATATATACATATCGAACGAAGGGGGGCTGTAAAGCGAGAGAGAGAGAAATAAAAGCTCGCTCAAGAGGTTGCGCGCAGATTTCGTTGTAGATTTGTAAAAGCTTGGCTCGTCGAACGAGTTTCGAGTTATGGTTTCGTTGTCGGCAAGAAAAAAGAAAGCAATTTGAAAAGCTATAGGGATTAAAAGGAAAAAAAAAGAAGAAATTGAAAAATCGCAATTACCGCGGCTAGCGACATTCTTTGTTTCGTTAAACAAAGATTCAAAAATCATAGGTCGAAAAATATTGAATGGAGCACTTGAGATTGATAACTTACGCGAGCTTTGTCTCTGTTCAGCACAAAATTATCGGTCGATTGCGAGCTGGAAATATTTATGAAATTGCGTTAAGAGTGTAAACTACGTGGCGATCGCAACGTACGTAAAAAGCTGAAAATTTAACATTTATGTTACAGAAAAAAATGAGACTCCAACAAAGTTATAAAATAAAAATTGTTAATTAAAAAGTATAAAAAAAATCTAAAGCGTGTCTTTTTATCGACAATATTGTGAAAAATCGTAACTTGTTTTAGTGAAATCTTGTGAAAAAGTCGAAATATGCTCGCGGACTAACGGATTACGGTAAAAGTTTGTCGCGCACGCGGGGCGTTTCTCGCTCTTTAAGAAATAAACTTTTCACCCCAGTGCTATATATACTATTAAATTACACGAGTGTATGTGCAGTGTATACTTGGCGCGCACGCACACAGACGTACGGCGCAGAGAGAAGCAAAGTCTCTTGCTGCTCGTGAGCCAGACGAAAAAGGGCTCGCGGTTAACTTATTGAGACTTTTCTCCAGGATTAAAGCTCGCCGCCGCCTAGCTTGCAGCGGATTTATTCGCGTTTGCGCGGCGAGCTTTGAGTTATGAACTCTCTCTCTCTCTCTGCCGGCTTCAGTCAGCTGCGAAAAAGACGCGCTCAGCGCCAGCCAGTTGGTGAAACGAGTGCATGACTAAAGCCGGAAGACGCATAAGGCACTGTTGTACTTGAACACGAACGTATAATATATATACGTGTTGTTTTCTCACGCGTAACATTTTTTTGTTTACCCTTTCGATACATATATACACAAAGACAAGGCGGTTGCGTCTCCGAATCACACGCTCGAGACCAGCAGTTTTCGTTATTAAATTGTCCGAGACGTAGCAATCGAAAACTTATCCTTACAACATCGGTTGTTACGCCATTGCGCTCCACATAGGTACGGCGAGAAAAGTTTTTCTCCGCTGCAAAAACTTTAATGCATCCTCCACAATACGTTTCTTTTTCCACTCTATCTGCCCATCTCTTCACGCTGGTCAGCCATCGCCTCAGACATTACGCTATATACAGCCGATGTGCTATAGTCCCCCGTCTAGCAATTGCTTATGAGCTCAGACAGAGAAAGTGACTTTAATAAGAGCACGAGCTCGCCGAGGGTCGATCGACGACACAACAAAAGAGTCTTCGGTAGACGTCGAGGCCGTCGTCTTGAGAGCGGATCATCGGGCGCGGCTCGTCCGAACGGAACCAATGTCCTGAATCTCGCCCCCAACGAACGCGGAAACTACGAGATAGCAGTGGCTGAACTAGCGCCGCTATCGAGCCAGCCTCGAGAGTAGTAATAGTCGTATTACTTCGACTACGCATCCGGAGATTACGCTCATTGCTAAGTGCACTGCCTGCACCTCTGTGTACGTGGCAGGTTTCGATCGACTAGCCCTTCGCTCGCTCTACGTGCAGTATATGATAACTAAACTCGCATATAAACGTCTGCTTAAGTTAGTTTATTTTGATAAAAGACGAGAACGAGTCAAGTACAAATTGCCCCTTGAATAATTCAACGTACGATCAAACTCGAATTTAGCCCGCGCGACTCATCAATCATTGATCAGATTTTTTTGCTTCTCCGTCTTTAGCAGCTCTCACTTCGAAAGCTCCAATCGCAATTATCGAGGAATCGTTGGTCGAGGCGATGAAGGCCAGTGCCGCCACAGCTGTTGCCGCTGCTGCTGCTGCTGTCGATGCTCCTGCGACGACAACAACAACAACAACAACAACACAACCACCGTCGACGTGGCCGTCGTCGACGCAACAGCCGCCGCCACGACAGGAGCTATTGGTGAGCCTCAACGAAAATACCACTACGCGAGACTCCCTCGAGGAACGGGCTGGCGGTGCGATAGTCACCCCCGCGACCTCTTGGGACGATGAGCCGCTGAGTCTTCATAATCACGAGATATCGCCGTCGCCGATGAGAATCTCGACCACGAGGCTCGAGGTGACGACGGCACCCGTTGAATCAATAATCACGCCGAAAGCAACAACGTCTCCGACCAATTTAGCAATAAATAAAATTACCGGCTCGAAAACGAGAAACGAGCTCATCGACGAAAATAAATTTAAGCTGCCTACGGGTACAAACAGAGGTGTAAGTATACTTAATTATATGATTGTTATTTTTTAAATTTAAGTGATTAATAATGGCATTTTTGTCTAATAAAAGAATCAAGGATACATGGGAGGCAAAAAGCCTAACTTGCAATCGGTCCTCGGCAAATACACGCCTTATTTTGAAGATGGCCACGACGTACTCAATGTGACCTCGAGAATAGGTAGTACAGTCATGCTCGACTGCGAAATCGGAATGCTGGGCAACAAAACGGTAAGATAATTGAAATTTTATGTACATTTCGATAGTGACCGAGATTCTCCGATAAATAGTCCCGTAATTTTTAATCGGTTACATTCAGTTGTTGTTTAACGAGCATAATAGCAGTAGGGCCTTGGCAAATAATAAAAACTCAGAAGCCCCACGGAAGAAAAGTATGAAGCTAACGACAGCCAATAGTCCGGATCAAACAGTCATGAAAAGCCATCAATTACACTTAGGCCAAACAAATATTGGCAAAGTATTGCCTTTCTGAAAGGAGATGAAAAGTACTTCCCAAGCCATTTTTTTCTTTTCCGCTCTTCTGCTTTTTTCTTCTTCTTCTTATTCGCCCGGATTTTTTTATTTTTATTACGTTTTATATATCTTCTGCAGGATTCAGTCTTAGCATAAGATTCTCACTGCTCCGCGAGCAATGATAATAGAATTTGAGGGTCAATATTTACACATCCCGTTTCTCGTTTGTTTTACTTTTTATCGAGATGAGTCTGAGTAAAAAAAAAAGAAGAAGAAGAAAAAAAAATACGATGCACCAGGCGCCGCAACTATTTTCAATAAATCAGCATTCGCCCGTAGAGCTCCGGCAAGCTCGAGACGCGCGTTTAAGCGCGCATCCTTCAGCTCCCTTAATATATCTCAAAATGAGAAACATGTCGCAGCAGCTTGAACGATGCCTTTAAAATGTATTCATGAGAAACTCATGTCTCGCTCTATATCACGAATCGCGCGCGAGAGAGACTCTGACACAATTTTTATCTTTTGCCCCGAAACGCGCGCCCAGCAGCCCTGAGCACGCGGGAATAGACGAATCTCATTTATTTTTTACACTTAACTAAGTTTTTTTCTCTATTTTGCTTGTGTGTTGTTGACAGGTAACGTGGTCGTATCACAGTGCCGACGTAATACGTCTCCTAACAGTCGGTCGCAACGCTTACAGCGTCGATCAAAGGATCAGCCTTTTTTTCAGGTAAGAACCGGACTATCCATGAATCGAGGAGGGTGAAAAACGAGTAAGAAATATAGCCTCGAGCTGTGTATTACACGTAGAAACTTTTTATCGTGCATTCAAAGGGTTTTTGGCAGGACTTCAAAATACCCACAGAAGAGCCGTTGCGTGAATTACAAATAATTCGTGGCTTATGTTCGTGTTGCAGATACCCGACGAACTGGAGGTTACGAATCCAGAACGCAACGCCGCACGACTCGGGCTTGTACGAGTGCCAAGTGGCTACCTATCCACCATTGGTGAAGAAAATATATTTACTCGTCACAGGTAATTGCCGCGAGTTTGTATATGCGTATACGATTTTAATTTTCCGTGTATAACACGATGACATGCTTAATCTCTCGGAATTGCACCGGACAAATGCGATCTTGCTCGCAACTATATGTATGGATGCTATTTATTTTTTGGAGTTACTTGATAAGAACGCGAAAGCAGCGAAGCTTATTAATTTCTCAAGTTTCATGGATCGTTAGTGCACGAAAAAAAAAGGGTGAAGCAAAAGCGAGTGGCACGAGAGTCATTAAAGTCGAAATGAAAGAAAACTCTCGAGCCGTGAGCGCGTTTTCCACCATTGACGACGCGACTTATAGCCCGAAATCGAAAAAATACGCGAAGCTAGTCGCGTAGGTAGATGGTTATATAGGAAAAACGGTTGACCTCGTCGTACAGTAGACCCCGTCCTTCGACGCGAACCGAGGCCGTCGAAAATTTACATGATCGGTCCAGGCGCGCACGCGCGACGCTTTTACTATGAAATTAACGAATGAATCGAATTTTTTCACGTTAATTATGGGATTGCGCCGAGAGGATGGCACGGTGTCACGGAATGCCAGCTCGTTATACGTGTACACGAGCTTCGGTGTGACCGCAAAGCAAGACACTCGCATTGCTTGATGAAATTAAGCGCATTCCATGGTCCAGGCTTATCCTTCCTTGCGTATCCTCGACGCAAATCGCGTTTAAAGCGTACGCCAGATCAGGCCATTCTTTTTAGAGAATCTTTTCGCGCGCGTAAATCTGTAATCGCACGAATGTTTTAGCACGTTCGACCCACCAAGATGGAGAAAGAGCGAGTGAGAATGCAGCTATATATGTATAGGCCAGCTACGAATCAATAAATTCGCTCTTAATGAAAGTTTTCACGGAATTCCGGCAAAAATCCCCTCCCAATGGAAATAGCTGGAGCAGTGAAAATTCAGCGAATACCTGTAGGAAAAATTCGGCCAAATCTCTCGTGAAAAATATGTATACACGGGGGGCGCACACGCGGAGCTTGGGGGGGACAACCCGTCATGCACTATCGGGGCGTGGTAATAGGCATCACAGTTATGAATCCATTCCTCCACCTGTATGACACGTATAAAAATGGGAAAGGAAAAGTCAGGCAACGACATCCAAGCCTTACAACAATTGTCTTGAATTCTTCCGCTCTACCTTGTCAAGCGGCTCGGCGTGTGGGCGCGCGCGCGCGAAATAACTCGGTGCTGCAGCGCACGCAGCGGCGCAGAGATTGCAGCAAAGCCAGCCAAAGCACCGCAAGCACAGCCTGCCTGCCCCCCGAAAAGAAATATTCGCTCGCTCGCGCCATTCCTTGTAATCCAAAGCCATATGTGTGAGCGTGTCAGTGCGTGCAGTGCTTGCGCCAGGCGGTGCTCTATCTTGCTCCATCACTCGTGCGGGCTCGTCTTGCCTCGTGGGAGCGAGCGAGCGACGAGCGAGAGCAAAGTATAGAGGACGAGTTTTCGACGCTAGCAGCGGAGCGAGCGAGACAGAAAGGGTAATCCGATCGCAACACAGTTCAAACGGAACAAAAAGTGCAGTGGCAGTAGTAGTAGTCTGGAGCTGCGCGCGCGAGAACTTCGCCGGCCCCGTGCGGAGCCCCGAAGTTTGTCGTTTGACGAAGAGAGTATCAGGACCAAAACTCACCTGATACGCGAAGAGTGAACATTGTTACTCAGAGGCGTTCGTTCGAGCGCAAAACTCACTGAGCCGAGAATATGCCAAAAGGAAAGTCTGAAGAGAGCTTCAAGAGAGAGAGAGAGAAAGAGAGCTCGTTTGAACCTTTGATTTTTGCCCCATGCTCGCTACGATCTGTGCCGAGGAGTTCGATAGCTTCGGCCTTTTATGAACCGCTGCTGCGGCTCTCCTCGTCGATGCCAGTGAATTACGTGCGCCGTGCTCTTATACGCGACTATACGGCGACTGGGCATGACTCTTTTCCCCGTCTAACATCTTGAATATACGGAGCCTCGAATTAATATCGATTGCGCGCGCCTTCGTTTGACACACTTTCGTCTCCTATCTGACGTTCCACTGATTTTTGCCCTCATAAATGAACTTTTCAAACATAGTCAAGTTGGCATTTCTCAATAAGTCGAGTCTCCGTAGCCTATTGCCTAAAATAACGTCAGGAAAGTTTCGCAACTATGGTATATATCACGCGCAGATGGTGTCGCTGTTTATACAAGTATGTATGGAAAGCCGAGGATTCACCGGCCCGAGCAAGGCGCTATCTCGAAAATAACCGCAATAGTACGTGATCTCCTGGCCACAAAACCGCGTGCACTGTTTGGCTTGCTCTCGGCTGTACTGCACAGTATGTGCCATTCTACGCCATACAGGCGGCGCGGCGTGCGCGAGGAAGCTCGACTTGTTTTGCGAGCGCGGCCGCCTACATAGAGTCGCCTTGTTACTCTTTTCATACACGTACGTACGATGAAAACCTCAATGGCTCTATATGCGCGCGAATTTTGGACTAGATCGACGAAAACAATAATATACGCTAGAGTAGCGATTGATACTTGAAACGCGATTGTTTCTATAAAAAAAAAAAAAAAAATCGACTCGCATGCGCGTCAATTTTACACGCTAACTGCGCCATTCTATACATATTTTACGACACTCGTGTACGCGCGAGTAAGAAAAAAATGTTTTCTACGTATGAAAAATGTACGCGCACGCACACTGCGAACGAGGCGCCTATATACAGTGTGCGCGCAACAAAAAAATGATCACGTCCGTCCGGGGGCTGCACGTGTAAAAGCTTCACGCGCGCGTATTTGTATAAATGTGCAATTTTTTTGTCACTCTGTGTTTTCGTACATTGCGCAATAATACCTGCTGCAGTTGTCACGCATGTGTAACACTATGGCCTCGCCGCCATACACACGCGCATACGCACACGCGCTCGAGGGTTAATGGTGAAAAATTACCTGGAATTTTCTGGGCGTCGGACTTGAGCACGCACCTATATACTATTTTTTTTTTTTTGTTTTTTGCCAAATTCGCTGGGACATTTTATCTCGTGCGTACATATCGCGGCTGCGTAACCCTCGGGGAATAAACAAATCCGAATGCGAGGATTAAAAGGCTAAAAAACTGAGCTTTCGTCAAGCGTAAGCCAGCAGTTACAATATAACTCGAGCTTTGGGTGAAAAAATGTTTCATTGTTTTAATCGGTGCGTAACCTACACACACTTAGGGGGAAAAATCTTTTAAAAGACGAAGCAATTCGGATTTCGGATTCTTGGAGAAAAAAGTACATGCCGAAACACGCGCAAAAATCACAGAAAAAAAGTGAAGCACAAGCTTGAAGTAGGTGCAATCGATGATGAACAAGGATAGAAAAGCAAAGAATGGGCGAAGATTCAATAGTTTTTGCAGACGCGTGCGCGCCGACGCTCGCACAAGCGCAAGAACTGAAAAACGGATAAAATGGCAAAAAGGAGGAAAATAAATTTCTGCGGCTACGCCGTGATCATGTTAAGTAGGTATCCGCGATCCAATTTAAGAAGCGTACCTTCTTTTTTCCGTCTATGCGCGTAAGGCGCTGTCTCGCGAGCATTTATATATAGCCGGAGAGAAAGAGCACGGACTCTCGAGAGAGGCGCCGAGACCTTGTCTCCTCTTTCGCTCCTACAGATCGACTCCCTTTTCGTCTCAAAGGGGGTTTTTCCTCAGAAACGCCGCCGGTAAATGTGTATATGCGCGCCTACGTCCGCGTGAGCGTCTTTATTCCCTATAGCTTATTAAATTCTCAGTGCCCTATTTTATTCGTTTTCTCAGCTTTTTACAGTATATCACTTTATGTATTCCATGGAAGATTCTCAAGGGTTCGGTGAAAAAAATACGAGAGAAGAAACAAAGGTATGGAGCGAAATCGCTCGTGTATATTGTATAATACGGGTGCGGCTGAAATAAACTCCTCGCAGAAGTCACTGAAAAACGCACTCAAGACTGATTTTTCGGGGAAAAAATACGAGTCTCTCGCCCGGTGCTTTTTTCGGTGCGTTTTGATCTTTTTTCATTTTCATTCGCCCTCTTCGCTTCCTTTTGCTAGCTGACAGATTCCCAGGAAGGAATTAATTTAGTACTAACAATGAAGTTTAAATTTAGTCGTTAATAAAGCGGATTTATGCACGAAGCATATATATATAGATCGAGCGATGCAGCTCCTGCAAGGTACTGCGCGTGGACCTTGTTTGTGCGCGCGCGCGTGAGGCGCGGCAAGTACTTGATAATGGTTTTCCAGCGACTCCCTCGCTCCTCGACGAGTACTGTATATTTTTTTCTTTCTTTCTTTCTTCCTCTCTTCTCTCTCTCTCTCTTCTCAGCTGTGCAGACAGATGTAGTAATCGCCCCGAAGTTAAGTGCCATTTCAATTATAAGTTTTGTAGGGATAGAAATCAACGCAAAGGCTTCGTTCGAAATAATTGAAATCAGTTTTCATCTTCAGCTCACTGCAAGACAGGCGCATTGAGAGCTCATATAGAATTAAACAAAACAAAAAAATAAATAAATAAAAACAACTTTGCCTCGAAAAAAGTTATTCGAACGCAAAATTAGTAGAGCGGAAAATAACAGTGGATTTTGCGTTAACGTTTAGGTAATTCACGGAATGCGTACATAGTAAAAAACTACTGTGTTTTTTGTAAACTAAATTGAATGAGCAGAGTCCCAAGTTCGTGCTCGAACAAAACCAAAATTACAGCGCTACCGTTAATGTTTTACTCGTTGTCGTGGCGAGTACTTGAAAGCTCACGTGTGGGGTTGCTATTGTACGCCCGAATATAAAATTTCGTTGTCCTGTGGAGGTCTATCGATCCCCTTGGAGCTGAAATAAGAGATTTCAAAATGCGAATTCGAAACTACCCGTGATTCCGAGAGAGAAACGGCGCGAGTAGGAATAAACATCGATCGAGCATGAATCGTTAATACACATCGTAATGGTAACTTGCAGCACCAATACTAGCAATAATGGACGATTCGGGACGAATAAAGTCCGGCGAGAGGCATTTGAAAGCTGGAAGTGCGCTTCGACTTCGCTGCGAGGCTCGCGACGTACCCGAGCATCACAATGAAACTGTCATTTGGACCAGAGGCGATGAAATTCTCAGCGAGGACATTAGGTAAATATGCATCTATGCTATACCGTGATATATCTCGAGTCAGCCCTTTGAATAGATAAAGCCCTGCAGAGCACCCGCAGCATCTATATATAAAAATTTTTCGTGATCACCCTTTGACTTTGTAAATTTTGCCGTCGTCGAGTGCTCGGTGCAGGGCTTTATAAGGCCTTTTTATTTTACCCGATGGCAATTTCGTGCTTGCCTTTGCAGCGAAAACAAAACGACGGATTACATGGAGGGTCGGGAGATCCAAGTGGTGAGTAGCACCATAGTGATCGAGCGAGCCACACCACGCCACGCCGGCAACTACAGCTGCGTCGTACCTGAAAAAGCCCGAGCCACCGTGGCCGTTCACGTTCTAAACGGTGAGTGCATTACGTATACTAAGCAAGCATTATATATCACGCGTAGGCTGCGTCCTTATGCAGCTATAGCTAGAAGGAGAGAGCCAGAAGGAGGCTAATGACGTCCAGCAGCTGTAAAAGCAGCGACAAAAAGAAGCGAGAGAGGCTTTCGCGCTAGGTGGCTTAATTAAAACTCGCAAAATACGGCGGGCGGTGCGCGTTACAACGTCAAAGTCTCGCTTGTATGTTTATATTTGTCAGCGTAGGTATACTCGCGTTGTATCATTATCTCGAGAGAGCCAAACACGTCGTGGCACGTACAAGATGTAATCTTAGCCCGACTCTCAAAGTGACTACCGTGCATGGACGCGTATAAAAGCCTGTTACAGCGGTAATACACATATATACAGATCAAAGAGTCCTAGAAGCGGCGAAAATCTGGGCCTGCACGGTGTGTCTAGAGCAACTATACGTTTACTCTGGAGTCGACGTTGAAACGTACAAAAGAGCGACGCTTCGGAGAGATCACAGCTCGCGTGCGCTACACCGGAAATTTCCGCTTACGTCTGGAAGAAAAGCCCCTCGTATCTGTGGCAACGAGGACGACGTCGACGAACGAGCACCACCGTGCGCACGCATCATTCGATCGAAAGAACCACCGTATCTTTTGGTTTCTCATCTTTTTGTCCTTGTACAATAATCTTTTATACCACATAAATTTAGTTCATGCACTCCTTTTCTCTCTCTCTCTCTCTCTTTTCCTTCAACTCGTCGTAAAAAATAAAAACAAATAAATAAGTAATTAGAAGCTGGATGCGCGCGCGCGTGCCTGGCTCGAAATTATATTTACGCAGCTAAAAAGTGGACGTATTAAAGCGGGAGACAACTAGATCTAGCGAAACGAGCGCGCAATTAGTCTCGGGGAAGAATTTCACTTGTGCGCCAGCAGCGATGGCTGGACAGCGCGCTGCTGCGGGTGCGAGCCACGTAAGCGTGCGCGCGGCTACGAGAGCGATGCGCTGAGCAAAGCAACTATTACTACTGCCATGCTCCTCGTTCCTCCTCCGGTATATTTATGTAGTCGACCGCACGCTTGACCCACATTTTAATATAACATTTGCTTAGCGCGCAGAGAGTAACCCTTTTCTCTCTTTCTCTGAGCTGCGAGTCGTGTCCTCCTCGCAACTCGCGCGAGAGTCGCTCCCTTTTTCTGACATGTATAGCGCTGCGGTGCGCGCGTATACTCTTTCCTCCTCCTCCTCTTACTCCTCCTCGCTCGACTCAAAGCCAAAGGTGTGATTATAAAATTATTTATACATAGTACTTAACGACTTTGGGAAAGTCTGTTCATTTTGAAATAACGAGCTGAGCTGTTGCTGCCAGCGCGCGGCTGCATATTTTAACAAGGCCGATGCTTGGGCGCGCGCGCGCACGCCTATATATCCTCTGTATCCTCTATATCTGCTACCGTCTGTATTGCTCGCGAGCCAAGGGAGATAGACTTTCAACGATTTCAATCTCTTCCGTTGGAACTTACTCATCGATCGTCTCGATGGAAATGTATTTCCCACCCGCGCCAAAGTGGCAAAACTAAACTGTAATTAATTAACGATGAATTTATCTAATTACTCGCGAGAGCTGCCTGACGCGCCACATTCCAAGAAGTTAAAACTTTTATCGAGTTCGAGAAAATTGTATAATTGACTGAGCTTCACTGCGAACAATTATTTTCACCATCTAATCATTATAATAATACAACGTAATACATTTACTTTCGATGGGATAAATTCAATTATCAATTTGTATGGAGAAGTAAAACTAATACCGTCATTTTCCTTCGAATTCCCACAAACCATTTCCTTCAATTTATTTTTCATTTTTTTCCCCATGATTGCCACACTTTTTAGGCACTTTCGTACAATGATGCTACTATTTTACGAGTGTAATACGCTCTTACTCGAATCTCATTTCGAGTCGTTGATAGCGAGAGCTTTCGGTGCCTTTCTCCAACTCTTGCCCGAAAAAATTAAGAAAGAATAAATTAATAAAGCTATCTGGCGAAAAATTTTAATGAGCACAAAAACGCATAATCAAAAAGGCTTCGAGTAGGAGAGCGAGCGAGCACGAAATATGAGGAAAAACTCCAAAGCACGCTCGAACCTTCCTAATGCAGCAAAAAGTACTACTGGATTCGCTTTTCGGCGTACAAAAAGCGAGGACGCAATTTCTGATAATAAAAAATTAAATAAGTACATATAAGCACATTTTAATTTTACAAAAAATATTACTTATTTTTACTGTTTTTGCATCTGGGTTTAAATTTTTATCCTACTTCATGACTCACCCACTGAGTACAATTTTGAAAACTAGTGAATAATTTAGCTGGCATAAAATAAAAATAAAAACAAAAAGCCGCGTCCATTGCAGCAAAGTCGTGGAATTAATTGAAAATTTAGATGCGTACATGTGTATCATCAAATAATTATGAAAGTGCGAAATTTTGACGAATGTTAACGTTTACGTTGCCGCTTGAACTGAATGTGCGAAAAGCTAATGTGGCGAGCGAAAAATGTCAGCGCGGGAAATGGAGCTAAAAAAGTAATGTGAGGTTCTTCGTTGAGCGACTAGTCATAGAAACGAAGAAGAAGAAGAAGAAAAAGAAGAAGAAGAAACAGATGCTCGGTGCGGAAAAAGCATAAGCGTTAGATTTTTAATGACGCAGGCGAATTTGCCTAGATGCGGCGGTGGTGCTCGCTCGTGCCAGTGTACACGTTGTACTCGTGCACGTATATATACGCCCTTGAGCTTTTTGTACCTTTAATTAGCCCAGGCTCTGAACGCATTTAAGAATAGTCTAATGGTTGTTGCGACACAAATGGAATTATTGTGCTCAGCGCAGCAGCGGCAGCTTTCTTTGATGATACAATGCTGAAACGAGCACATAACAGGGCTCAAAATTAAGGTAGCTCTCTCGCCGCGCTACGGCCGGTGCGCGTGCGAGCGCAGAAAAATAAAATGATTTGGAAAAATTATAATTAAACCCGGACAGGGAGAGATAGAGAGAGATGGAGAGAAGGTTTTTGCGGTGAAAATATCATTTCTGCGCACGTTACTGCGAGCTGTAAAAAAATTCATCTCCACGAACCGAAGGTTTGTTATAAAAGCGAGTACTAGCTACCTTTGTAAATATAGTTTTTTATTATATGAAGCGTACAACATGTTCGAATTTCACTCTATTTTTTCCATAATACTTGCGGGATTAAAATTAAAAGCGCGTTATTGCCATGAAAATGTAGCAATAAAAGCTGATGAAATTCGAGTTTTTAAATTTGATATATTCAATTTATTGTGTACAATTAATGAAAAATTTTTTCATATTAGCTTTTTCATGCCAAATTTTATATTGATTTTTTATTAACCCAAGTGGCCAGCAACAATTTAAAATTAAAAATCTTCTACTTGCCTGATTTCCCTGTTAATTTTTTCACGCTTAAATCTGTACTGCTAATAAGAGCGTATAAATTTTATTCATTTTTAAAGTCCACTGATTATAAAAGAATAAGAAGAAGCACGATAGAGAAAACTTAGGAGCTACGTGGCGCGAGCGTTAAATAAATGAAAAATCATTTTGCGGCTTGAAAAGGCAGAGAAAGAGTCACACGTATTTCATGTGGCTGTGCACGTGTTACGTGCTCGCGCGCAAAAAAAAAAAAGAAAAAGAAAAAAAGGGATTCTTGACCGTACAATACTCGTGCAGTGCAGTGTGCGCGCCGGTGAAAAAGTGAACGCTGAGCTTATGAAAAGAGAAGGTGCTGAATGAAGTCAGGGGTAGAAAGAAAGAGAGTAGAAGAATGTCCCAGGATTAAGACTCGAGTGCACGAAGGATTTCGAAAATTTTTTTCTTTCTTTTGCTCGACTCGCTAAAAGAGGAACGTCGACTTGCTTTGCTCAATCTGTGTAGCTTGCTCCATATACATTTTTCTTTCGCGTGTGCGCGCACACCCACACACACACACACACTTGGCTTCTCTCCATTTTTTTCTCTTGACTCAAGGTGCATTCCCTCTGCGAGCAGATATAAGCGATGCAAGCCGATTTTTTTCTTTTCGGTAGAGATTTAGCTAGACATTATAATTTAGTAGATACGTTTTATCAAAGATTATTCGCTGGATTAATCTTAAAAAAGATGAGAATTTTTCTCATCGTTGTAACATTCAAGTTAAAATCTTAGACGCGATGTTGTAAACAGAAAAGTGTTGGTTGGCCGCAGACTTGCACACGGTATTTGAAATTTCCAAAAGGCAAATCCGCCATGTGAGAAAAATTGAAAATATTACTCGTAGATGCTTAAATGAACGTTTAGTTTTTGCTGCTCTACAAACTTACTGTGAACAAATATGGAACTAAAAATACAAAATTCTCCCAGTGTAAATTAATTTAAAAAATTATATGCAACTGGTAAAAATGTGCATTTTAATAATCCGTGAACAAACGATTCATCCAAAACGGATTATGAAATACCGGCTTTGAAGATTCTTGTTTTTGACGCAAGCCATGTTTTCTCTTCCTATTTTCTAACCATAAAATTTAATTTTTGTAAAACGTTCTATCGAAAGCACTGTGGTGATGTTGCCGAAAAAACTTCTGGGTCTGAAATTAAATTATAACAAAGAATGCCTTTTGCCGCCACGAGAGCTAAGAATTTAATCAAACAGTTTCGTATTTTATTGTGTTACAGGAGAACTGCCTGCTGCGGTGCACGACGGCAACGGAGTCTCTAGATCAGTTCTCAATCTATGGCTGATTCACTTGACAGTCAGCTACGTGTTTTCCAGATGACAATTTTAAGGTACGTTTTTTCTCTTACGTGTGCGTCTTTAATGTGTCGTCCCTCGACATTTGCATGACATGATAAATGGTAAGTGTTTTTGCATTCGAAAAAAGTCTCCAGCGTAGTAATCAAAGTAACATTATGCGTCCATTTAAATATTATGCTACATTTATTTTTCCAGTCATTTTCTGGGCTTCAAGGCACATTTGTGGCTTTATTGCGTTGAAGAAAACTTTAAATTAAAAGCCCGATCTTAATGCATGCGTCACACCTACCAAAAGATGTTACTCGTAGATGCACGCTGCTCGTGTGAAGATGAAAAAAAAAGCGTTTTAATCCTGTCGATATCGTCAACGTGGTTAAATTTAAAAAAGTCGCCACCGGTTACAGACGCCTTTACATACTCGTTTTTTTGCTCTTTAAAGCCCTAAATTCTTTTCATTTCGCAAGCTAATCCTAGTTTCAGATGAGTTTTCAGACGACTTGTATAAGAATCTTGAAGCTAGAAAACTTTCTCTTCGTTCTCACTGTCTGGGTTAACGTGAAATCTACGCAGCGTGATGGGAATAAAAAATGTGCGGACAGAATAAGGAGTGAGGCCGAGCGCTAGAGAGAGCGAGAGTAAGCAAGAAAAAAGCTGGTAGTAATAAAGTCCGCTAAGTTAAAAATTTTAACTACTCTTAATTGCCTGAATGAAAAACTAATAAAAAAAGATGAGCAGAAAACTTACAGAGCTCAGAGTCAAAAATCATTAAGAAATATTGCACATATGAGAAAACGTTGAATTGTTTAACGAAAGTATGCGTGAAGGACTTTTCGATCCGGGAGCTTTAAACAAAGACATTGAAAAAGATCGCCAACTCTTAGCGACTCGGACTACAGCGAAGCGATTTACAACGAGAAAAAATGTATCAACTAGACTTTAATATAATAATAATAATGGGTTTCTGTGAATTCAAGCGGGGTTGATCCATATTATTTCCCCGAGCCCAGGCGCGCGGCGTATTATAAAGTAAAATCTTACGTAATACTCTGTGATTGTGAAAAGAAGTTTTTGAACTGCTAATACTTCTTGAAAATATGAATTCTTCCAGCTCTCTTTCAGTGCTCGAGAGAAGAAAAATAGCGAGATTTAGCATTTTGCCCTTTTCCAAGCTCATTTATAACCTCGTAAAGTATTATACGCGCTGCACTTAGCTACGGTATATATTATAATAATAACGCGTATATAAAGACAAACCGATGCTCGTCTCGTAGCGCACCTCATCTCGATTTTGGCATTTGCCGCTAGCGAGGCAACATCAATCAAGCTCGCTGCGCGCATATACTAGATATATTATAATCTTGAATAGTTAATGTTAATCCCGTGCGTTTTTGAGTAATATGATGCAAGTTAAGTTTAATGTCACGTCACAAGCGTAGAAAAGATCCTGTGAGCGACGATACAAATGTTCCTGCGTTGTGTATCTATATTTTTCGTTTTCTGTACATATGAATCAGCCGACAGTATCGACTCGATTATCAGTCCAACTCGAACGTTATTATTTCGAGTTTTTCTCGAGTTCGCAGTGCCGCTCCAATATTCTTGATTTTAAAAAACTATACGACGTTACATTTCCACCATCAAGAGTGAATTCGGCAATTGCTTTTTCTCGCGAGCGCTGCGTCGATATGAATTCGTTAAATTAACACGTATCACGGAGCTACATGCCAGGCGTTTACAGCCAAACGATCCTAATAAATACGAGAAAATCGAGTTAAAGTCGGGGCTCGTCTGTAAGCAATTTAGAAAATCTAATTCGGTATAATCTCTGAGGGATGTCGACTCGCGTACAGGCACATGCACGTACATATGAGCGCCGTAAAAAGTTCCGCTGCAGCCGCAGCGAGCTCAGGCAGTAGTCGCGTATTACGACGAGCAAGTTCGCAGTAGCGCACACGTAACGAGCTCGACTGTGCTGGGTAGCGCCGGCAAGAGTTATCGCAATAATGTATAGTATATCGCCTGTCACGTTTATGCAAGCGAGCTAGCGGAGTTGCGGCGATAAGGGCGCGCACGAATTTGATATTTCATACATGCTTTCGGGAGTCATCCGCGCCCCGCGTACATTACACGCGGTCTATATACTATATTACGGTGTACCGGGGGCCAGACGAGCAGCGGCGCACGATAGTTTCGATTGAATTATTGATTCGTAATCCCGTGCTCCAGCGCAGCCGTGCTGCAGTGCATCGCTCGCAATTACACGCGTGCGCGCCCCGGAGCAGACGCACATACGCGCAGAAATATTGCTCGTGTATACGCGTACAACAACGCGCCGGCTGGCAGGCGACGGAAGCGATCGCAAGATTCACCGATCGGACGACTTATGTACGTCGTTTGTCGTATATTTACGGCCAGATAGCAGTTGGTTGCATGTGCATTGGCCAAGTTTGCGACGCGCACGCATGCGTGTTATACTTTCGTCGCGCAGTGCACGGCTATACGGCTTCTTTTTATTGTGCTTTTCGAAAGCTGCAGCACACGCTCGGATTGCTTGATTATCAGCCCCATTCGGCATTTCAGCCTCGGCCTTCGTTGTTGCGCGCTCTGCTGCTGTTTATGTATTTATCTCCGTCGTGTATCCTGTTTTGTGGATTTACCGCCAATTCTCCTCCCCGATTCGCTCCCCGATACAAAGTTTATTTAAAATTCGCCTCGTTATTTTATTTGCATTTTTAAAGCTTTGCGCTAATTTGCAATCTCTGATTAGCCGATGAAAGCCGCGCGCGCGCGATCGGCGGATTCGAATTTGGAGCGTGCCCTCGCGGCGCGCAAATTGAGTTATTTTTATTTAGAGCGAAAATTGAGTGAGAAAAGTTGACGCGAAAAGTTCCTCGACGTATACATTATACACTCGTGCGCGCGCGGCTGCGGAGTAATAAATTATTCCGATTTGTATTCCGCACTGAATACGAGATGTGTGTGTAGTGAGTATGCAAGCCCAAGCCGAGCCGGGAGGAAAATGCACCAGCGCGCGGGCAGGCAGCTGGCTACGGAGCAGAGCGCGGCGCGCTACTTTTGTGACGGCTGGGAAAAAAGAGGAAGAAATATAAGAAGCGTCAGTAATCAATCATCGGCGCGCAGCGAGTCTTTCCAGCTAGCCTGACCGCGCCTAGCCACAAATCGATCGATCATTCGCAATAAATGTGTATGCACTCGCGCACCAGCTAACGCCTTAAGATTTTTCATTCTAATGAAATTTCTCGCGGCTCGAGCTTTGCGTATACATACATTACATTTCCTCGAAATCGCAATTATACACTGCAAATAAATTCTCACTCGCTAAAGTAAATAATTGCCTTTTAAAGCTGAAAAAGTATAACAAGAAAAAATTAACCGATACAAACATTCAATTATATATGGAGGAAAAACTCGAGCCAAACAAGGATAGTATTTTTTGCCCTCCTTTAGTTTCATCGATACGTTTCCGGGCGCGCGCGTCCTTCAGCATGTATCGCAGCTCAAACTTATACACGCTGGATGCACCGGGTACACATACACGCATACATACATAAGCTCGGGTGCCCCCGTACGTACGTGTGTATAGCAAAAAGTGAAAATCAAAAGCTGATCTTCGTTAACTGGCATTAGCGTGTAATCTGCCCCAAGCACAAATATACGTGCGCGAACCTAACGAGAATCGGATCAATAATTAAATCTCGTTTCGATCGATCACTGCTTTCTCGCGCTATCCTCACTCGTGCAATATAGCCGACGTACATGCCGTAATAATCGAGAACTCATCTTTATAGACAAATAAAACAGTTCGATAAATCAAGAGCTCGTTCTCTTCCTCCCTCTCTCTCTGTACTCGAGTGGTGCATTATATAGTGCTTTCGGCGGTGCGTGGCTTGTACACGTACGCAAGATCGCGCTGATCCGTCTGCGTTGTATCGGCATCAAGCTCGTACCAGCAGCGCCAATGGAACAAATAAAATAGTGCAACGATGTTGCTTAATGCGCCTCGTTGAATATCAATGAAACGAAATATTGTAAAACGACAAGTACGGGATACTGTTAATTGGAACGATCGTGTGCACGAGCTGAATAAATGCGAATAAGAAGCCGTGTCGCTTGTGTTATTTCCGTTGCTTCGTTCAATCTGATTTTACAACGTTCGTTAGGTGCAACTCTTGCTGTTGACTGTAAGGAATCAAAAGACTCGACGCAGACAACGTTCATTCTTTTGAAAGCTCCCTGAAAACTATTCCATTTGTTATTCCATCAAATATTTGCTCTCGCTCGAGAGCCCACTTTCGAGTTCAGACTTGCGACGAGCTTTTCGAGAATCACACACACACCCACACACATACACACATTTTTTTCTCTTGTTAAAACTCGAATGCGGTCATTACGGAAAAAAATCACACCTCGATATCCCTTTGAGCTAGCCGAGGGCAAAATTTGCCTACTCTCTCTTCTCTCTCTCTCGGACGCGTCTGCACTCGATCAAAAGAAGCGTGTTGCGTGGTGCGCGTGCTGGGCGAAAAATACGAAACCGCAATCAAGCAAGAATGAGCATCGAGCTATTTTAATCCAAACGGAGCTTGACCCAATATTGTTTTATCCGACACTCGATTTTTTGTCGCGCGCGCGCGTAACGTGTACTATACCTAGCAGCCCTTCTTGTTTTTCCTCCTCGGCAGCGGAGCAGTAGGCCAACAGTAGGAGCGGTCTTGCGCGCAGTTTCCGATTTTAGGCTATGATTGCTTTTATTTCGCTCCCCCCGATGGACGTATAATCGAGTTCGCGGAAATCAATTTCACCGAGGCATCGAATCTTTATGCATGAAACGTATAGCGCTGCATATACACATTCTGTATAACCCAGTAATACCCAGTACAGTAGTAGTAGAAGTCGTAGTAGTAGTAGTAGTAGTAGTATCTGTACGAGTGTGTGTAACTGTAACGAATAAAAAGCGAGCGAGAGAGGATGCGACAAAAAACAAAACAACGAATGGCAAAAAAGACCCTCTATTTCCGGCGAAATAGATGAAACAGTATCGATGACACAGCAGGAGCTATATAGCCCCCTGCCCGCATCCTCTTTTTTTCCTTTCTCTCGCGCGCGCGCCTGCTCTCGTACCCTTTTTTTATCTTTCTTTTTCATCTTTCCGTTGAATCTCGCGGTCGGCAAAATTTAAATATCTATTATACTCATAGCCGTGTATGCACGGCGAGATACTGCGCTGTGTGCATTGCTGCCCGCCACTGCAGTCGCACACACATTCGCATGCATACGTACTTCCGCTCTCGTGCGAAATTGGTTACAACTTTCGTCTCTATTTTCTTCGCGCGCTTTCATGACTCTACGCCGCGCGGTGCGTTGCATGCGCGCCTCTATATACCTTTGCTGTTTGTTTTTTTACTTTGCGCTATCTATATATTTCTATCTGTATACTGGGTGATTTCGCTGGTAGCAGCGCAGGCTGCTGCTGCTGCTGCTGCGGCAACTCGATTGAAATTCATGCTCGACGTTACTTTTTCTTTTTTTACTTTTTTCACGTCACAGATAAGTACGGAATTCTACTGGGATAAATTAAAAAGTTTTATTTTAAATACAATGCGTATTTGAAGCCGGGCGTATCGAATGAGACTCAGCTTTATACAGTTCGCCCGATAAAGTCCGCCATTGAATGATCCGAGTGTAATTCTTTTGATCTTGTAATTTATTACGAAAAAAAGAACGATCTCTTTTCAACTCGGCAATGAAGTTCGAGTTAATTTCATTTCTCCGGTGAAACTTTTCTAATTACATTATTTGCAAACGAGGTTGTTTATACAGTTAAAGCCGCAAGACAAGCTTCACTTCGGAAAGAATTTTTGCTTGTCGGGGCAAACTTGACAGCTAACCTGGATATTTTCAGCTTATGGAATGAATAAAGTCGCGACTACCACCGCTTCAATCGCCCAAGAAAATTCTTCAACGAATTTTTAAATACCCTCACGCTGGATGTCTCGCTTTTTCGAAACTGTGCTTGCAGAATATTTACAATAATATAATTGGATTAAAAATTGCAATGACTCGGTGTGAAATCATCAGAACTCAATTTTTATATGCATGAATATATTTTTGGTCGTTTTCTTTTTCCAGATCCCAGCCGTCTACTTCAAGACTTGATAAAAATCTTCATTCACTTCCTGACTGTTTTATAATCGGCCCAGTGCGGGATGTCTCGTGAACTTCTCTCATTGTGAAAAACGACGAACATTCCTGAAGATTGAGATTTTGCAAGGTGAAAATATTCAAATTACAACGTGAAAGCTATCATGATGAAACAAAAAAATTCTAGAGTCAAAAGTGAATACAACGCGCCAAGTATTTAATAACTTTTTACATTGTGTTCCATATGAAATTCATTAGTAAATTGCCAAGTTTCTTTCAAATTGAAAAGTGATCGCTTGTTCCACGTTGATATGACGAGAATAAAAAAATCAGCGACGATAAATGAATAAACACTAGTGCTCGATTTGGATTCGAAAATTGAAAATTCATGATGGGAATAAAAACGAACGACGATTTGTTGCTTCGCATATCGGTTCGCGTAGCACACGCGTGGCTGCTAAATTCATGAATACCGAAGCATCAGAAAAAATTTCTGTTAGCAGCGCAAAAACGATATACACGACTAAATGGCACTGCTGCGGCAGTAAAACTAACAAAAACTACGCACCGGTGGTAAGCGATCTCGATGGCACACGTTAAAATAGCGTATGATATTTTCAATATCAACCGCATACTGTAGCTGGCTTTATTTCCGCAGCAAAGGTCGCGGCATTAAACACGTCGCATATTTCATGATCCGAAGGAGTGTATAATATAATGGCTCGGTGCAAGCTACGCCTAGGCTTTATAATACACGCGTACGCACGCGGAGCTCATACGCGCGTCTGGCGAGATTAGCCGAGTGCAGGCGAAACCGAGCATCGATTAGGCTTATCTAATTAATCAAGCCGAGCGCAAAGCGCACAGGCTTAAATACCACTTGTCAAAAACGCTCATACGGATCCGAAACAGTATAGGCGAATCGATCACGAGTGATTTGGCTTTACGAGACCCGTATATAGCCGCAAACTAATAGTCGGAATTAGCCCCCGGCACCGGGCTATATACCGACTTTTATGACTATTTCGCGCTTGATTTTGTAAAAGCCTCGGCAATCGCTTGTAGGCTCGACTCCCGCTCACATATTTATTTCGCGAGTATATCCTTTTATTTCGGCACGTAAGCCCTTGTATATAGCTATATCGTGGCCGTAACGCGCACCTGCACTCACGCCCGAATACAGCTCAACTCCATTATTCTCCTGTTACCGAGTCGCTCACTGCGAACGGCTACAAATGGACTGCTCATTATTTATGGCTACATGTACAATTCACGAATTGTTATTTCATTCTGATTTGAAAATATTATACGCTAATATACGATACATTTTATATGGTATTGATTTGGAGAAAATAAACGACAAAATTATAATGAATATAGAAGAGCAAAAAGAACTGTATTCATAATCCTTCGTTTTTTTTTTTTGAAAATTTTAAGAACTAAATGATACCAGGTAAAAATTTCCATATTAATTATACGTTTTTCTGGCAATTTTATTTTTTACAGTTTTAAAATTTTCAAACGATACTTGGGACGAAAAATTGTAAATATAAAAAAAGTTGTTATTTACATAGATTCATGAAAATCTCGAATAAAATTGATATTCATTATCTATAAATAATCTTTATCTAAAAATAAACTTATTTTTAATCTTGTTAATTTTTTAGAGTTAAAATGTTAATAAACTGAAACACTCACTGTCATAAGTTGTGATGTACGAAAACGTATCATAAATATTTATACCAAGGAATGTAATTTAATGAAACAATGTGACGATAAAGCGTATAAAGTGTAAAGTACGTTCGTTTGTATGAACAATCTAGAAAACATAAATTTGAACATTAACGTAACAAGCAGTTGAAGAATATTGCCAAACTATACATACATATGATATATATATATTTTTATATGTAAATAAGGTTCCTTCTTGTTAACTTCTGATACACTAGTGAAAGCGATGTGAACTAATAGTAAGGAAAATAAGTCGAAAAAATTTTACGAATTTTTGAGAATCTCAAATTTATAAATATGTAAATTCAACCTTACATTTTAATTGACGCGCGCACGTGCCCTGCAAAAAAAGCAGCAAACGCACGACACCAATTTGTTGACCTCGCGCGCGTAACTTATATGAAAGCTGCCGCCTACGAGAAACTCGTCATAATTGAAAACTCGCGAGAAGTCGCGAAATTACGTCACATTTTGCCACGAGCTGAAAATCGACAACTTAAATAAATGCATATACGCGTGCATGTACCACTTCTCTCCCTCTCTTTCCGTCTATCCTTGTCTGCTTGAAGAAACTTTGCTCGAACGAAGGAGGACGTCGTGCGAGCGGGAAGCACACACCCCCACGACGACCTTTTGTAAAGATAAACAAACCAGGTTATCGACGTTAGAGTTGCAATTAAAGATGCACCCGCGCGCGCGCGGCAGTTAATATAAATTATGAGTACGAAACTTGATATTGTACCGGTGTACATATACATAAATGACTTGTCTTAATTTCAGCCAAGTTGGGGACGAGTGCGCGCATATCTATATACATAGAAAGCTGTAACTTTGCAGCAGATACGCGAGCTATTTTCATAATTAAGTTGAGTCTTGTTTCGCTTCGCCTATATCCACCGATCCTATATCGCGTAAATAATATTCCAGACAGAGAACGAGATGAAAAAGAAAAGCCGACTGAGCTCGATTCCGAGATTTCGTGTATCGAAAAATAAAACGCAGTGCGCGCTTAATACCCGGGGAGGCTGCCGCGTGTGTGCGTTTGTTACATTCGGGCGCGCAAACTCAACTGTGTGTCGATACCAGAAGCAGAGTCTCTTCGCTTGACGTGCACTGTACCATATATATTATATACATATAGATATATTTTAACTCGAACACATGGCACGCGGTACTGCGCTACATTTATATAGCTATAACACACGTACACCCCCGAACAGTCATTCAGTGTAAATAAGCGCACAATTGGATTTTATATAAAGGCGGCAGGCGTTCGTTACCCTCCTTATATACATACACACCCACACACGCACACAATTTCTTGAGCGTGTGTATATACATCCATGATGTCCTGATTGGTTTGATATCGTTCGCAGAAAGATTTTTTTGTTTCTTTTATGGTTCTGTCCTTATTTTCACAGAACTATCGACACGCTCTGTGTACATAAACTTTCATGTACCAGAGAAATTCGATTTTCAAAGTGTACATACTGCAGAACAGTTGAATTTTCCAAACAGATATTGAAATAGTTGTAATGTTTTTGCTTCAATCGAATAGCTCGATAATACAAATAGTCCAGTCAAATTATTCTACTTTAGAAGTAATTTACTTTAATTTGAGCCCGCCTAGATATTCTTACGGTGTCTGTAAGTCCCTGTTATTGTTATTGACAATTGAGGCGTTTTTAATAAACAAATAAACCGATTCCAATGTTACATATATCAAATTGAAGGTCTTGCAAAGACCTACAAATTTTGTTTGCAACTTTTTTTCATACAATGTACGGTTTTCAATCTGTAGCCGAAAAACCGATTTTCCTACTTTCAAAGGGCCCAATTGTTTCAATTCCAACCGACTCAACTGTGGCATTTGTTATTACTTCATTCCTACCATCGAACCGTAACGAATCCCGGTGAGAAACGCCGGTTGCGAATTTTTTCACTTTTAACGTACAGTCAGATCTAATTGGACTGGACTAAAAGTTTGATTCAAAAATATTTATGTTCGATTTCGCTGCAATAGTTTGAGCAAATTATTAGTACATTTCGACTTTGTGCACGACGTTTTCGCTCCGTTTACTATTTATAAATGGCAATGATTCTCAAGATCACTAAAAGTCGATCGGTAATTTCGAGAAATAATCAGTTATCAAATTGTTATTACGAAAATTTAAATGGCGTAACGAATAAAAGGTTAAACTATCAAAATTTTATATTATTGTTAAAAGTTTGTTTGGAGAACAATCGTATCACTTGTATTTAATATATCACTGTTGCAACAAAACTTACTGGAAATTTTCATAGTACTCTGTAAAAAACCAAATACATAAACATGAATGTGTAACTATTTTAAAATTGCGAGATGTAAAAATGCATTTTATTGAAAATATACAAGAATAAATTGATCTACAACCATAGATAAAGTGTCACATTTTATTTAGTAGTTTTGAAAGTGAATCATTATCCTTAATTTTTCTGAGTTAGTCTGTTGTTTTACAATTTAAAAAAGGTATTTTGTTTTTTCATCTGCACGCAGAAGTGAAGAGGATCGCATTTGTAAAATTAGAAAAAAATTTCCTTCATTTTTAATTTTTTTTTAACTGTACGCAAACCTTTTATAGCATTCGACAAACCTCACAAGTAAGAAGTGCTTTTTCCATTTAAATTTCAATACAGTGAAAGAACACGAGAATTAAACTACTACCCAGATTTTAAATGTAATGAGTAGAGCAAACGAAAGTATCAAGGAAACTCTTGGAGTTTTGTTTTTTTTACCAGATAAAATCATTACAATTAGACTCGTTTAAATAGAAAAGCAATTTAAATTTTTTCTTTCTCAGTCAAGCAAGTTTCAAAAGACGCCTGATTACAATTCATATGATGCACGTTAATGGTATAAACTGAATATAAGAAATTGCGCACTAAAGATAAGAAGGGGTAGGAAGAAAATTCTGCTGACAATGTGCATTGTTGTATAGGTCGTCAAGGACCTGTAAAAGAAATAGATAAAAAAGACATCAAAATATAAAGCGAATGAAAATGTTCGATTGAAGTTTCCATATAAAAGACGTAGAATTCATGTTATTTCTCAATTGACAAATGCGTTGAAGTTCACTTTCGTGTGTGTACATGTGAGCGGACGAAGCGCGCGTATGTGTAAAAGCAGAATAGACAGATTGGCAAGGGTATGGAAATCCGATCGAAAAAGATGCTCCTTCAAATTGGAATGAAATCGCAAATACCTAGCGAGCTCGTGGAAAAGTCTCAAATTTCTAAGGTAAGAGATCAGCTTTATTTGAAGACTTTCTGAATTTTGAGAGCAGAGAATCGAATTTTTCTTTCAAGCAGCAATTACACTATTTCATTTTGCAGTTACGGCGAGCAAAAGAAAAGACGTACGCTTATTTTATCCAACTCACGCTATACACTTTGATCATTTTGAATCTTCTTTGTTTTCTCTCAGCCGAAAGCTCGCGATGCACGATATACATTCTTTGGCCTTTGGCCCTAAACACACATATATGAGTAACTTTTACGGCATCACGTTATAAACGTCTCCATCGTATGATTGCAGCCCCGCGTGCATATGCATCGCGCAGAAAGTCTATTTACCTGTGCCGAAGCGCGCAAGCTCCATTGCTATACATGTACGTAAAACACACACGTACATATAGCATGTCAGCTCGTCCTACTGCAACGGCGATCATAAAGTTTTTTTTATGGTTTATGCATGATAGTCTTGACGCGAGCCGCACCTCGATGTGAACTTTATGCGAAAATATCACCCCATATACCTACCAGAGCTGCTACTATATATTTATATCACCCAAGTATGCACCCGAGTGAGAGGAAAATCGCGTAATTTAGCTAGAATTTTTTTCTACACTATTTTTCTGTTTTCTAATAGTATGAATTGTAAAATAAAGTCACGTTATGATACAGTGCTGTTTTGTACAAGCGTTGTCAAACAACGTCGAATATAAGCGTCGATCGGACGTTACGATAAGAAAAACTCATTTGATTTGCAGTTCCGATAGAGTCAAACAACCGATGCCCAACGCAGAAAAAAAAATTATCAAATTGACCTTAATGAATAAGTAAGAGGAGAGCTCAAGGTCGTGTAGCGATTTTCGAACATTATTATAGGAGATAGAGTGAGAGATGGTATCGCTCGGCATGAAAAAAAAATAGCGAAGCTCGAACACGACATTACGAACGACTACGCAGCAGAGTATATAGTAAAAACGATGATGTTCAGTTGAAAGCGGCTTTAGCACATTACTAAAAGAGAGAGCGAGAGACTGTAAATTTCACAGAAGCTTCGAGCTGATAGAAATGTAAGTGTTATTGAAGTGAAGGATATATAACGCGAGTATGGTTTTGCCATAGCCCTCCGCGCCTGGAACCCGACGTAATACAATTTATTCGAGAAAGTATTTCAACTAACTCGCGAGAAACTGTATAATATAGTTTTTTTTCTCGTTCCAACATAATGCAAACTAAACTTCTTTTATGAGCATCGTGCAGAGTTTCAGTGAATCAATAAAAAATGTAGGCTCGATTAGAATTACGAGAAAAAAAATGAAGCCAACAGCTCAATCCTCTTATGTGCTTTGTGCAAGTTTGCAATCATTACTCTTTTTGTATTATGCGGTGCTGCACATACTCTTAAGCTCGTACGAGAGCTAACGAGGATCAAAAGGCATGTATGATATTTATTGCATCCCAAAAGACTCGCCAATTATTTATTTACATTTTACGCCTGAGTCTCCTGAATTTCCACAGCTCGGACGAAATAACTACTTGTCGGTTCTCGACATGCCCGAGACAATCGAAAGCCTGAGCGGTGCGATCGCGGAGAGGGAAAAGCCATCGTCGAGCTCGCGAGACGGCAAAAATCGACGAGTCAAAATCGCATGGACGAAGGATGATTCAGCGAAACTCGAGCCCAATGATGAGCCGGTGCAGAACATCTTGCTGGAGCAGCTCAAATTCTGCTGCGATAACTCCAGCCTCACGGGCTACAAATACATAACCGAGCGCAAGCGCACCCGCTTCGAGAGGTATACAGTTTCAGCGTTGCATTTGTATAAAATTATTATAAATGGCACATTAAATAATAAATACACGAGCAGGTAGACGAATGGAAAATTACTTTTGATATCGATAACCGTAATGCGGAACCTTCCATTATACGTATACACGTGTATCGATTCGAGCGCGGAATGGGAGATAATGTTGTTTACACGGAATCATAAGAGGAGCTTTGTTTGATCACTGGAAACTGCTCCGCGCGCGCGCGGCGTTCTCGTTTACACTGTAATACGCGAAATCAATTTCTCCGTAAATTTATTTCAAGTGCCATGTTGGCTTTTCGGAGGAAAATCGTCTGGTTGAGCTGCATAATGCGCGCGTGCAACTCTGATTAATATATATACGCGTTGAACAAGCGTATCGATTACCGTCATCGACGATGCGTTTAAATATTCGCGCTTTGATTGCGAGAGCTAAAGCACGTCTTTTTTTTGGCCATTTTCAATTACACCCTTGTCATTATAACGTACATATTACCGCTTGTTTATCCTTTGATTCATGCACACACCATTGACGTGATGCAGATTGCTGTGGATAGCCTTTCACCTGCTGATGGTTTACACGCTGGGTGCCATCGTTTGGACCGTCTTGCAGGATTACAAAAACTCGCCGGTAGTGACCGTCGTCGACTCGGATCATTATCCTTCCCAATTACTCGATTTACCCGGTACACGAAGCTTTTGATTTTGACATCGAAAGCCTTCGAAGCGTTAAAATTTTGATGAAAATTTCACTTGCTCACAGGCGTGTCAGTCTGCAGCATCAATCGAATAAGCCGAAGAGCAGCCATGAAATTAGCCGAAAAAATGTAAGAGTTTGCGATAAAAAACGATCGGTATATTATTAATTACTACACACCAGCTAGCAAGGGTGGCAAATCGTCGGCTGCGAGCTCCACATAATGATTGCACGCGAGCTCGCGCTTGCTGCAGCTCATTACTAGGCATGCAGGCATAATAACTCGAGACGTATTCTTAGCCCTCGAGCATTATACGTACAATGCACTCTTATATACATATCGCAGCGAACATTTTCTCGTATCCGCGTGTTTACGCTTCGCACCCTCAGTCTGCCTACGTATGTATACGCGTATACGTATGCGTTGGCAGTGGTGGTGCTGGTGGTGATGCTGCTGCTAGTACAGTTGCGGCGCTGCGGTACTATAGCAAAGTAAATCACGGAGTAACAATGAGCTCGGCAGGTGTTCCAGTTCTGCTTCCGTGGGCTTGCTTATATATACAAGGCAGCTATAAGCGCATTGTGTGTCTCCTTCCCTCTCTCCCTCCCTGCCACCCTCTCTCTCTCTCTCTCGCTTACTCTCTCCCTGCATTATTAGCTAACTCATAAGAGTGCCAAAAAATGTATAGAGTAAGAGAGAGAGAGAATTCCATTACAAAAAAATGAAAATAAGCAGAAAAAATAGCAGCGCCTTTGCCGCTAGCTGCCGTGTAGCTATAAGAGTTTCTGTAGCTCGCCCAGCTACGGGAATGATTAATCGCTTCTGGATGGAGGGGTAAAAAATATCAAATTGGACTTTTGATTTATGTAATGCGAAGAAGCTAAGAAGGATAGAGACAGACCAGAGATGCTTTTTAATTTTGTTTACTTTAACATTATTGTAGGAAAGATTTATTTCCCGTAATAACATGTTGTTTTATATTTGTTACTTTGTGAGAAAAGAGCCAAATCGAAGATCACTGATTTACCGACCAGTCGTATTTTTGTGCTGCTGCGTCAACTTGGAAATCTCTACATGTCGACCTTTAATCTCAAACCCGACGACAAGAATCAACTCGATCAAATTCTAAGATTATACTTTACCGACCAGGAAGACGTTATAACCGAACTTATGAAAGAGGTAATTACAAGAGATAATTTTAACAACATTTGGAAGAGGTGAAGAAAAATGATCGATCTCTTTTACACAGTTGACACCACAATGCAACGAAGTAATAAGCAAATGTAGTTTTCGGTACGAAACGAAAAACTGCTCGGAGCTCTTTTCATTTAGAAAGACTCAGAACGGATTCTGCTGCACTTTTAATTATGCTCGCGAGAGAGATGATTTACACAGGTAATTAATGATTTAGCGAGTCGAGCCAAATTAATAATTAACATTTTTCTTCGCGTCACAGACCTCCTCCGATAGAAAGCCTGCCAAAACACGAGCAATACAAAATCGAAAAACTTGGTGTGATCAACGGTTTGACATTCTTACTGGAACCTCTTTTGGATGATTACTTTTTTCCGTTCTTGCCTCTTAACGGCTGGAAAGTAATGTATACGCCGTATAAGCTACGGTCATCTCGCGCGCAGTAAAAAACGTCCATCTAATTACTTAAATCTTCGCAGATCATGATCTTCAACTCGGGCGACTATCCGGACAACACGTCGGGCGGAGTTTCCGAAGCCCTCATCTCGCCGGGCACCGAAAATTACCTGACCCTCGACGCCGTCTCGTTTTATAGCGAGCCGTCAGTTCGTCGCTTCGACGTGCACGACCGGAAGTGCATTTTCCCCGACGAGATATCGGCTCTTTACGACGGCTACACGTACAGCGACTGCATAGTCGAGTGCAAAGTCGACGACGTCTGGCGAACGTGCAACTGTCATCCGTTTTTTTATCCTCAACGAGGTGCTCTTTTTTTGGGATTTTGTTTATGTAAATTCGATGAACTCGGACGCATACATTGGATGAATAAGTTAATCATAGTCACGGACGGTCGCGTTTTATCGCGAGTATTAAAATCGATACGGCATGTAAAAAAACACGTTTGTTATGTTGCTTTTGGGCATCGACGCGCGCATTGTAGATTAAACAGCGAATTAATCATTTTTACACGATTAATATGACCTCGGTACGCTGCATTACGCAGTGGGTACATAAATAAATCAGTACAATAAATCTAATGACATTTTTGCACTCAAAGAACGGCTGTTTCATCAGCAAAAATGCGTACGTTTCGAAAAAAATTGCTACCACTCAAAGGATTACTTTCGATTTTGCCAGAAAAAAGCGTGTTCGATCAAATTAAAAACGTCACATAAATTCGAAAATTGAATTGCTTTAATCATTGCAGCTCATCTTGAAGCGTAGGGTGACTCTACGAATACTACTCGAGCTCGACCCAATATTCGGCCACTTTTAATCAAGTTTTATAAACGTTTGGGCATGTTTTAATACGATCGAAATGGCTCAGTAGAATATACAATCATTCAACGAACTTATTTCCAGTCGCGCAAGTGTTTTTAAAATGAAATAATGAAAATATATTGTATTTAGTTGTGCTCGAGATGTATCTGAAGTGATTTTTCTAACGACTACTATTTAACTCAACTTTGCGACGTTTAAACTTTTTTTTTGAATTTCTTGTTGGACTCTATCAACCTCGAGAGCAATTTTCAAGTTTTTATCATTGACAAAAATTGTAATTATTTGTCTGAATTGTACTAGAAAATGACCGGATACAAGATATCACTTCTCAACTTGCTGATTATTAGTTCAGTCGCTTTTTATAGCGAGTAGCAAGTTCGAGCCTGATCGAAAGTGCAAAGCTAACTCGCATCTGTGTAGCCGCAGCGATATCCTTTTTTTCGACTTTACCTTGGGTATATACGTTATATACAGCGAGGGTGAAACCAGTCAAAGGAATTTCAGTGCGAGCATCCAATAGATAAAGAATGTAAGCCCCGATAGAAACGAGTAGCGAACTAATTCCTCTCTTTCTGCTCTGTCTGTACGTTATGTGCCTTTCTCCGGTTCTCTCTCTCTTTCTCTATATATCTTTTCATGCTTAACTTTCTGCTTCTGGTGGTAAGAATATATCCCTGGAACATCCAATAGAGCAGCTATATACTATAGATCTTTTAAACTTTTGTTCACATATATGCATAGATTCGTTGGCGCATTTCTAATTGAATTTCTTCGTCTCACTTATATTAATGCTAAGTAGTAAAAAAAGTCGACTCGTCGAGAACAAGGCGTATAAATACGGCTAGCACAAGATGCTGCCTATAAACATACACAAGTAACGAGTGAATTTAGTTTGTGTTACCTTAGTTCGAACTACTATCGAGTTATGTGCGCTTTGAAAAAAAAGGAGAAGAGAAGAGAAAACTCATCGTGGGTTTTTTCGCCTCTTCTCTTTTTCCCAACTACTGCACTTCGTAACGAGTTTGAGTAAATGTATATACGCGCGCCGCTGTGACCTCTTTGACTGGCGCGCATGCATATATACACACATGAACGAACGTGTGTGGCTGCTATGGATGAGAACCCCCTTGTATACAAGACTCGATTTGACATTATGCGATTTGCGCGCATCAATTGGATCGATCTTGCAGTACATTTTTCGATCAACTCGCGCGTACGCGTGCTCGTGTTCGCGAATAACTTACGACTTTTAGATTCATATAGGTGAAAAAGTTGATTCTTCATAAGCACTTGTGCTTCCAAATATTTTTTTTGTCAAGTAATACGTAAAAAATTAATATGCATTTATTTCCACAGATTGGCGACGAGTTTGTAATACATCCGATGTAAAATGTTTGCAAAAATATAATTGTGAGTAATCGCGCTCGTCTATTGTTTGCCTTCGAAACTCATAAAAATTCGAATCTATCATCGCTTATTTGTCCACGCTTCAGCCAAATGGTGGTCTGTCCTGCCGCATAACATGAAACAAGACGACGACGAGGCAAAAACATTTAATTTCATTAGCAACGAGTCGTGGTCGTTGCGCTGTAAAAATTGCTACCCGTCCTGCGACGATGTGCACTATTACCTGACGACTTCGAGCGTAAAGCTCGAAAAGACGAGCTCGCAAATTTCCTTTCTGTGAGTCACGTATATGGTTATTATAATGCTTAAATATGTGTACAGCGAGGCGTATCTTTCATTTATCGAAACACAAAATATCGCAATTATAGGAGAGACGTCAACATCGTAAATCAAAGTCTGGTGCACATATTTTTCTCCAAATACGGAACTGTGCGTCTCAAGCAAGACATCGCCTACTATTGGTATGAACTGTTGAGTAAGTAATATGCCAACTATTTCTCCGCGTGCTTTTGCGTGCTATATCCGATGAAATATCGTTTCGCTGAAATAACCTCACATTCTTACGAAAAAAGAAGGAAAAACGTAAAAAATCTAAGAATCAAAGTTGGAAAACAAAGCCTGACGCGATTGTAAAAGGGTACAGCTTTGGGACCGGTGATTAATGGTAAGCGCAAAACGTAGAAGCCTGAAAAAAAGAGGAAAAAAGGAGAGATGTAATACTTTAAGCAACAAAAGTGATTCGGTTAATAATTTTGCAGCGAAATTGAGCGTTGCCCGAGGTGACCCCGGTTCTTACATAGGCATCGTGTACAAGCCGTCTCGGGTCTGACTTTACCATAGATAAATCGATATCGCGCGCCATTTATTATATTGTACCTGTGGGTGAATTTCAGTCGCGGCCGAGGCGAGCCCAAACTTCCCTACACGTCGTACGGTAAAAACTAATTAATAACCAGCATATTATCGATTTATTGGCGCAGGGGGGGGGGGGNGGGGGGGGGGGTTTAAGCCCTTCGTTCGCATAGGCATATTTCAATTATAAAATATTTGCCGCATCGCTGACTAAAGAGATTCATCCTCGCTAAATTATCATTGGGAATAAAATATCCGCGCGCCTCCGACGCTTATCGTCGCGCGACCGAGGCTTTATCGTATAATATGCTAATCGCGCCCGCGCGCGCAACTTTTCCATTCTCATTCTACGGACAAAACGCGCTTGTAATAACTATCGCTCAACTTGCGTTCCGACACTGGTTTACTCGCGTCGCTCGCCAAGCGCCGAGACAAACTTTTTGCATATCGTTTGCTTGATTATGGGACAGCTGCGCGATGATACCGCGCGCGCGCGAGTTTTGCCTTCGGCCGCTTGAATAATTCACCGTTTACTCGTCGAGAAAACTTGACAAAGCTTGTATGCTTGCGGGAAGAAAAACAAAAAAAAGTAAGGGACCGGGGGAGAGGAAAAGTTTAGAGAAAATGAGATTAACGGGGGGGAGGGGGGAGCGAAATTTCAAATCCAGTTGCGGCAATTAACTTTGGCTCGATTTTTTTGTTGTTGATGCTGGTGCTGCTGCTGTTGTCGGTTTCCCGGAGCGCAGGCAACATAGGTGGCATTTGTGGCATATTTATTGGCTTCAGTCTGATAAGCGCCGTGGAATTCATTTATTTCTTTCTCGTATCGAGCGTCCATATATTGTCGAGAAAAACAAGGAAGAGACGAGGTGCCGCCGCCGCCGCCGCTACCGCTGGTGATGGCATCGATGAAATTGTCACAGATAGTCGATCTCTGTACGACGGCGTGCAACGAGTCGGCGTTGTAGCCGCAGCCACGGCCGCACCCTACGGCACCACCACCGCAGCAACAGCAGTAGCAGCAGCACCACCACCAGCTCGCCACCGCTGGTAAGAAGAACGACGGAGAGCGATTCGGATGTACAGCAGCGGGGGACATCTTCCAGTCAGCGAATAGTCGGCGAAAAAATTGCGAGTGTGATTTATGTTGCCGCGTGGAATATGTGACAGGCCTCGGTAGCAGCTACACATACGTATACGAATGAAATGTAACAGCGCGCGCGATAGTCGTCGAGCTTTTTTCAGCTTTTCTTTGTACATGTACCTTTGTTATACGCTATTTTGCCGCCCAACTATTACTAGCTATTTTCACTCTTGGTTCTATGTAAAACGTTAAAAGATCACCACTTCTCCACGTAATATTTTAATATTGAATCTTGTGTACAAGAAAAAAAGGTCTACGAGTAGGCGTTATGAATAAATCTGCACTTTTTCATTCAGCATTCATCGATAATTGTACTTTTTAATGTAATCTCCCTTTGTTCGAATATTTTTTTTTCTCCTCCTTTTCACGAGTGCTGGGCGCGCGTTTCCGATTCGAGGGTGGCTCAATAATGTGCCGCGCATGTACGCACGCAGCAGCGCAAGCAAAACCAATGATTTATAACTGCACTCTCTTTTTCTCTAGCGCGCGCCCACGCGATAATCCCGCGATATCGGAGCGAAATGGGACAAAAAAAGACGGAGCTCGGCAATATTTCGAGCTTGTTTGCGCGACCGCAGGTGGAAATGGTCCTTTTTCAGCTGCCGAAGCGCCAAGCGAGCGAACGAAGGGAGAGAGAGGAAGAGAGCGAGGAGTATCGAGCGCGTAAACAAGCGTGAAATTAACTCGCTACAATCGGGCAAGGGTTTTCCCGTGCACGCGCTCCGTACCACGCTGTATCGCGATATAAACGCAGGTTTAGAAATTGACGTTAATCGTTCGTAAGAGCGCACCGAGGCTAAATTCGACCAGATGAATCGCTCCAATTTCGCACTATACTCGCCCGCACGAATCGTAACTTCAAACTGGATTTTTAATAATCGCAAAGGGAGCAAAAATTTCGCGTGGGAAAATTTGCGAGGAAAATTTGCCACCGCGGTAATATTCCTCGCAAATGTATGCACATGCGACGCGCAGAACGTATTAGTGGCTGAGCGGTGTAAAGCAACCGTTACCATAGCGCATACCTCGAGTAGAGCTGTGTGTAAATGTACGAGGGCGTGCAAGTTATACAATACCTTGCAAGAAGCGAGGAAAGAGCATGGAGCATCAATGCCTGGAGTGCTGCTTGTCACGCTTTTAAACTCGATTTTCCACCCCTTTTCCTGGCTGGCAGTCCGAAGCAGTCAACAACTGCTGGGCAGACTCGCAACGTACTAGCCCCGCGTGGAACGTCGTTGTTCGCGAGCAAAGTAGATTAGTGGTCGGTGCTCCTTTCGTTACTCTCTTGCTCCGCCGAGCTGTCTTTGCGACGTGTGCGCGTTGTACGATGTATGAAGCAAGAGATGGCCCGGAGCAGCAATAGCATCAGCAGAAGCAACGATACCAGCTTCAGTCAGCGCATGTACGCGAGTCAATAAGTGCGAGCATGTGTACGTGTGCTTCCTGCACGAATAAACGTGTAATAGTCAAGTATGTGCTGCATGGAAATTATCTTGCACGGTAGGTACTTGTTTTTATCCGACGCTCGTCAGTTATCCCGCCGAACGTACGTTATATTATAGGTACGCACTTTTTTTCGCGCTCTGCTTATCCGATATGCTTATTACGAGTAGCGCTTACCGTTACGATGAATATTTTCCGCGCGAGCTCGAAACGAGAGAAACTGCAATTACTCGCGAAGAAAATGTATTTTTTTTTTTGTTGCTTTTTCCTTTTTTCGTTACATGAGAGTTTTCGGAGATTTTTGTAAAAAGTTTCGCTCTCGACGGCAGGAGAACAAAAGTTCGAGCTCGAGATTACGGAAAACACTGGTACGTGGATGCTTGACGCGCAATACATACATACATCGAGGCGATCTATTAATGTACGTAGTAAAGCGCACATGCATACATATATACGTGTGCAGTGCGGTAGATTATACATACGTACATCGTGTGGCTCGCGCGACAAAAGTGTCAAGATTGAATAATCGGCGCATTATGTACAAAAAGGAAATACCAACTTGTGTGCGGCGAGAGAGAGGCTCGAGACACACGCGCGAATACTTTGCGCGCCGCGCTCCTATCCTCGTGTGTTGTACCTTATACCTACCTCTGTGTGTTACACAGTGTGCACGCGGTGCGCGCTCAAGTGCGCGTGTGTGTCTATGCTTGTGTGTTGTGCCGTGCACAGCAAAATAGTCGAAATTCGCCGAAAGGTGAGTGTGTGCGCGGCTCGCTCCGCAGTATAAAACGTACGTAGGTGCAGCGAGAGGAGAGGAAAAAAAAGCTTCATAATCATCATGATAATGGGTTAGCGCGCAGCTCTCCGAGGAAGAAGGCAAAAAAAACCTCCAAGGCGGAAAAAATCTGTCATAAAAGCGGGCGCGCGACGACTACTTCACGAGTAATTATAACTCCCTCCGGGGCTTTTTTGATATTTCAGCTCGCTCTCTCTCACTCTTTTTCACATATATATTCGTGTTATAACACACTTGCATGCATGTACTTGGCCTTTTCTCTCTCACATACTCTTCACCTTCTTCGTTTCTCCTTATTCTCTTTTCACCGCTTTCAACATTTTTAATCTGCTGCATGATTGCGACGAGTTTGCGAGTAGTTGCGATGTTTCTTCGCCGATTGTTCAAGCAGCCGACACTTGTACGAGAGAGAGAGAGAGAGAGCAAGTGCGAGAGTATGTGTGTTCGACTTAAACGACGTTTTGAGAGCGTTTGTCACACGTATAACGCGTTATACACGAGAGAGCCTCTGTGTCTTATGCTTGCTTGATATGAATGTAGGTTGACACACGCTGATTATGACGATTCCGATTGATAAAACAGGAAAATGAGCGACTATTATGTGCGATGACGGAATTCATCGCGCGCGCGTCTGATCGGCCTGCCACGGCGCATCGTTGCACCGCGTTACTCGCGGCGGCGGCGGCTACGGTGCAAGCTGCGAATTCGGTCAAGTTCGAACGACTGGTGCGCGTATCGTGCCCCTGCGTACACATGCACGCAATTAACGGCACGCTGCGGGCGAGAGTTTTTTTTTCTCTCCGGTGCTTCAAAATTTCCCTCCTTGACGAGCTGTAATAATTACTAGTATATCTATAACTTGTAAAAAAAAACGTGTGCGTTGGCGCAATGTTTGTAGATCCATTGCACTTTTCTATAACGGGCCATACTCCGAACTGTTTGCGGCTTTTTTGCCCCCGCTCGAGCCATCGAAGCTATATACTTCCCCGATTGTTCGCTATGCTCTCGCACAAATACACATATCCATAAAACGAATTATCGTACGCGTACTCGTGCAGGCGCGATGCCGCACAAAAACACAGCAGCAGCACACCAGTTCCCATCGACGTGCAATTGCGTTCGCGTAATTTACGAATTTTCCAGCCTGCGTGTGTATAACGCGCGCATATATAACGCACAGTACTACACCGACTTATATATACACGCACGTGCGCATTTTAAATGTCCCCGCACTGTACGCGGGCCGAGTCTTGCCAAGTATTTTATTGTTCCGCGCGTACACTGCGAGCCATATAAATACGCCCGCGCGCGAAAGATGATTAAACGCGCATATCGGTAATAAAATGTATAAATATCGACGCCATCTATGTACACGTGAGCTTGGGAACGTGTTACGATTACGATACATAAAATATACACATGCGTGCGTGTATGTGTGGGCGCGCGGCGACTGTCACACGCTTACGACTGCGGTCCACGTGTAATTGAACGTTCATTTTCAAAGCGTATGGCTCGTTATTTATTCAACGTGACCAAAACATGTTTATGAAAATGAAGGATTTTGTCCATGCTCCGCTCTCGAGCTTTACGTGCTAAAAACAGACACGCGATACAGCTTCCGACGTGCGACATATAATTTATCCTGCGCATTTATTTTTTCAGTGATTATTTTTTTGCAAACGACGTAACCAATTCGTAATGATCGAATATGATAAAAGTCATTGGCAACATCAAAAATTCCTCATTGCTGTATTTTATCGTCCCGGACGTATCGAGACGCGCTCGACGATGTAATATAAATTGTAAATGTATCGCTCACGTAATGCGCAAAACGAACAAATAAACTTATCCGCACGTATAATAATGATCATTCGCAGTGTAATCTTTCAGGACAAAATACTCCCTCGAAACCCATTTATACATGCAAACGGAGAAACATTTTTTTGTCGTAGTTGCCACTGCGTTTCTGAAAGTACGCCCTGGAACGCAGGCAAGAGACTTTTGGACTCTTGCGGGTGAGTTTGAATAAAATAGCGAGTTTTCGCAACAACTGTACGCGCGCGCGCGCGCTGTACGGTACAGCATAAACACACAAACACGTCCGCACAATCGAAACTCGACTGGCGCGTATAAAATGTGCAAACATAACGTATATTTATTTATATACTCGCCTGCAGCCGTGACTATTCTACGACGAGAGAATACAGATGGACAATTTCGAGCGCGTACATTGCGTATGACAACTCGATGAGGCCTCGCCAACAACGCGAACAACAACGTTGGTCGCGGACCATCAACTATTCAAGACATATTGTTTTACATATTTATACGCATTCGAGTCACAGCCGAGAGAATGATGAAAAAAAATAGTCGAAAGTTTTTAATAAGGAATTAATCGTAAATTTGGGTAAAAAATAATCACCTTACTCGGTTACGCGACTCATTAAACCAGCGCGACGAAGAAAAGAGGAAAAAAATGAACGAAAAACAACGAGCCCTTGTGGAAAAGTGTCCAGTACGTATTAAGGTCAAGCTGCGCGTACGTACGCGTATACCCGCACATATCCACACACACACCCACACACACACACACATGCACTCGTGCACACGGAGGGCCGAGGTGCAATGATAATTTTCCTCGCGTGGCCAGCGGCGATGCACATACTCTCGCACACATATTCACACGTACAGTCGTTAAGTGCTCGTCGCGCCGACACCTCCTGTGCAAGCTGCCGTCGCTGCCACTACTGCAAGCTCCGCTTACCGTATGTATGCACCACACGCACACAGTCGTGCGCGGCAAGGTATTCGCGGTGCGCGCCAAAAATTTTGCTCGACTTAGTAATGATGCTGTCGACGCTTGCAGTCGAGCTTTTCGTGTAAGTTTCGTTCTTTTTTTTTTTTTTTTCTTTGGTACAAATCAAAAATCTTCAAAATCACGATTCATTTGAGATAGCAGTTACGTCAGAATGACTGCCAGACATTTACATCATTACGACAGTAAAATATATTTTTGCAGTGATGCACGGTGCATATAGTTACTAATCTTCGTTGTTATACGGTATTTTTCCTGATTTATATGCGCGAGTCACAGATGTTTCACAGGTTTGTGCGTTAATACATCCCGTACGCCAACTCGATACATTATTTATTTTCATTATCGGTCGTTTGCAAATGCCGATGGCAATGTCGTCGCAAATATATATATGGCTGTTATACGCGTACACGTACGCGTGTACATCGTGTATGTGCGACGGAGGAAAGCTGCTGTTGTTGATGTAGCTACTGCTGCTTCGCTCGTGTTTATGTTTGTCTAAGTGCGCGGCTGCTGTTCATGAATAACAAAGACGAGCCAAAAAAAATCAACCATTGCCGTTTGGCTGCATCGAGCACGTTTAGCAAAAGTCAGCACGGGCTATTGTTTCGACGTCGCGATTGACTGAAATGATGTACGTGATCGACCCAATTTTCATAGCCTATCGCCAAGGCCATTTCTATTGCCCTTTGCGCCGCCAAGGCTGACTATAAGGCAGCCGAGAACAAAAGAAAACATTCGCATGTGCGCGAAAATCGTGAATGTGTCGACGCGAGCATCGCGTATGCATTATGTGCATACTCCTTCGAGCCAGGAGACAAGATGCCTGGGAGACCATCGTTAGATATTATAACGCGCATAAAAATTCTTCGAGGCGTGAGCCGCATAGTATCTGCCAGCTGAATGTTGCTCCCCGAATGGCATTTTACTGGCTCGTAAAAACAGGCGCGAAAACGTTATGCGCGCACCTAACCAAAGACTGGCATGCCCCAACTACTACTCAAAATGTTAAGTACACGGATATTTTTGCTGCGAGTGAACTTGCCCTAGCGCATCTTGTAAATGTATACTCGCAGTAGGATGTACAAAGCGAAAGCTATCGCGCAAATTATTTTCAGAGCTTACTCATTTTTCGTTCATAGTTTTCGAATGATTCACTATCGAATTAATCATGAATTAGTAGCCAATAAAAAACATCAATGGAAAAACTTTGCAATCTTTGTTTGTCGTTATGGATATTTATCGCGAGTAATCGATACAGATAATATACATTGGATTTAGACTAAAAAATTTTATGAAAATATTCCGGACGTTGAACTAAATGATAAAACTACTATAATCTAAAATTTGCAAAAAAAAACCCGTGATAAGATAATTGTCACACTATTTGGCGAAACTATCGTCGACTATATGGTAGTAAACCACCATGAAATTACCCCAAAGCTCAATAAGATGATTAATTGATTGTCACTTCGCTTCGATATTTACTTTATTAATTTTTTAATAAGGTACATACGATTAAATTTACATAGTGAAACGTTTATTCAGATAAAAAAATTCTTCTTCTCTTTTTTAATTTTTAAAACACACGTGTATTTGGTTTGTCAATTGTTACTTCCTGAGATTTGAAGACTTTAAGGTAAGTGAAATGATCAACGAATGTCACTCAAATATTTTTGTTTAATAAACTTATTCGAATTTGAAATAACATAAATTATCGACAGAATGTATAATTAATTTTCATGCAGCTGAGATTAGGCAAAATTAAAACGGTTGAATCAGTTACCCATATCATTTTATCTATTTGCTAAGAAAACAAAGTTGGGCAGCTATTCAAAGCTTATCAATCAATTTGTGTCTCGTCTAACACTAATCAAACATCATAATCTAACGATCGGCAAACACGTTAATACAGTAAGTTATATATTCACACGCTAAATGACGTTTTGACATTTTTTCATATCTTCGGTTTTGGTTTTTGACAATATTGTCGTAATTAATAGTTCTTTTGTCCCCGAATTTGCGGAGCTTCGATAAGTAGTATATATAGCCGAGTAACCCAATCGGATTATCATCACTTTCAGTTGTGAGCTCAATCGAGAAGATCATCAGTAAAAATCTCTCAAGTAAAAATGGCAAGAATGAACCTCGTACTGTTGGCTTTGGCCTTGTTCGCCGCAGTGGCAACCGCAACCAACACCAAACATTGCTCAAATGGTGAGTTTTATCAAATATTTCACCCTTAAAAAAAATTTTTTTTCTCTGTTTTTTTAACATGGAATTTAACTCCGACGTATCATTTTCTACAGGCAAAATTCAAGATCCAAATATGGTTCAAATCGGTGACTGCAAAGCACCACCATGCAAACTAAAGAAAAATACCGATGTTACTATCCAGTACAAATTTACACCCAAAGAAAAAGTCGAAAGCTTGAAAGTCGCCGTCAAGGCATCCATGATGTTCGGAATTAAGGTACCATTCGTCGGCGTCGATGGTTCTCAAATTTGTGACAAAATCTATCGCGCTGATAACGGCCAGAAAGTGGCTTGCCCCTTGGCTAAAGACGTCGAATACATTTACAAGGACTCGTTCCCAATTAAAAGCTATTACCCATCCGTAAGTGCAAATACGATTGATTTAATCTCATTTTTAAAAAATCTACATTAATTTTTTACTATAATTTAAAACTTAATACATTTCAGCTCTCCACCACTGTCTATTGGACTTTGAAAAACTCTTACAAGACTGTCTCGTGCTTCCAAGTGGCAGCTAACATCGCTTAATTCGCATAATTTATAATAATTTTTATATTGTAGTATATTGTAAAAATAAGTTTTTCTATAAATAGTTAATAAAAACGTTTATATTTTAAAAAGTGTATTTTTATCATTTATTGAGATCTTTTTCGAAGTGAGATTATTTTAATTAATAAATTTTTATTTGTGAAACAATCCAAAATAAATAACGTTACACACCAGAATTTATGAAAAATCAATAGTTAAAGGCTCGATTTCTTTACGCCAATTACTTGCAAAATTCCAATCAAAACTAACAACACTATTGTCATTTCGGTAGCTAATACGTTTTTTTATGGCTTGAACACGAATTCAATAAAACTTGGCAATAAAATTTTAATAAAAATCAGTCCGTAGCCACTGTTTTTTGCATTGTTTCTGGATATACACCTACTAAAAAATAATTCGCACACACGAAGCTTCAGATTTGACGCATTTTATAACAAGCGCTCGACGAAACTGAATCGAACAAATGCCTCCGCTAACCTACAGACTCATCTTGACACCTTTTGCAGTGCTTGAAATAATAAATACATTTTATTGATAACTTGCAGTATTGCGCAACTTCACGACATGTTTACTCGGTGGTTTTCGACTTGATTGCCTCGTGTCATCAGCCGTTTGCGCATGAGCTTTTATAAGGACACGCAAACATTCAAAGAAATATTCAAGAGAAATTCCATCGTTCGCTACCCAAAGCTCGCAGTCTAAGATGGCGAGGATCTGCCTCGGACTGTTGGTTTTGGCCTTAATCGTCGTAGTCAGCAGAGCCACCAAAGTCACACATTGCGAAAGCAGTAAGTTTTCGACAGCGATGCAAATAATCTTGTTAAAAGTTTCGACAAAAAGCCGAACTAACGCCTCTGATCCTTGCAAAACAGACGAGCCGCTGAAGGACGACACGGTGCAGATCGCCGATTGCGAGGATCCGCCGTGCCAGCTGAAAAAGGGCACGGACGTGAACATTCTGTACAGATTTACGCCGGAACAAGACGTGCACAGCCTAAAGCTGTCCGTCCAGGCGTCCATGCTGTTCGGCATCACGCTGCCGTTCATCGGCGTCGACGGATCCGACATCTGTGATAAAATTTACCTAGCCAGCGAGACGGATCAGAAGGTCGCTTGTCCGCTCGCCCAGGGAGTCGACTACATCTACAAGGACTCTTTCCCAATCAAAAGCTACTACCCATCGGTGAGATCGATGACTCATTACTTTCTGGCAGTTTTTATAATAATAATTAAATTAACGATAAAATAAATAATAATTTATTATTGCAGATATCGACGACGGTCTACTGGGCGCTCATGAACGACTGGACGTCAGTCACGTGCTTCCAAGTACCGGCCGAAATCGTCTCCTCGTCGTCTTAGTTGTTCCCCCCGACCATCGAACTTTTACTTGTTAATTAGCGTAATTTATTTTACACGTTTAATACTACTAGAGCATGCGTAATCGTATAATTAAAATCTCTGTCGTTGTTTATCGTTAAAACTTTTGTATATAAATGCATTTGCAGAGTCTAATAACAAAAAAAGATGAAATTTCAAAGATAACGAGTTTAATGGTTTTTCGAACCCATCATCGGGCACGTTTATGATTTCCACCGGATTGAATAATTCATGTATTTGGAAATCGGCGGTGCATGTTTATGCTGGCGAAAAAAAAATTAATCTGCGCGGCCACGTTCATTCGTGAGCGTGTGTAATATATCACGCACTCAATTCGGCAAAACAGCATCGACTCATACGAGGACCAAAAAAAAAAAAGAGCCGAGTGAGGTACAGTCAAAATCGAGCGGACAAACGTGCTCGGTTTGCCAACTTAGCCCTGGCAAATGGATGCACACGTGCATTTACACACACACACACACACACACACACATCCGACACACACGCCCATAAATGCACGAACACGGTTAAGTCAGCGCTCTCGGGCATTCTTCGTGTGTCGACAGATTTTCCATCATTATCCGGAGCGAAAAAAAAAGAAAAATAGGATATCGAGGGTCGAGAAAGTGCCTATTTTATGCTGCAGGTATATTTTCCTGACCCGCGTAACGACGATAAATCATACTCTGTGCGGTCGCGAATTTAATGTTTCGTAGATATTTATGTATCGGCAGAGCTTTAACTGCGAGAATGACTGGACTTTTTTTCATTTGACATATTAATAATAATGATCAAAACGACCGCGTAAGTGTGAATAAACTCTCGAGTACGACCAATAACAACTAATGATTGATTTCGTCATCGTTCAAAATGTACTACTATGAAATTATTAAACAATTTTTGTATAAGCCTCACGTATCAATATTCTACGCTAGCGAAAATTTATTCCCCGCATCGTTTATCACATTCTTATTAAGGGGACCGACCTGTGTTAAAAGCTTAAATTCAGCTTCAGCTAAAAATAGCTATATGAATCGAAATAGTGGAAATTTTTTTTTTGTGATAGTAAAATATGTTCATTCTACACCAGATTGACGAAAAACAACTTCTACCCAAGCTCTGAAATACCAATTACATCACTTTTTTCATAAGACGAAATATTGTGTTATAAATCACTTGCCGCATGATCTTGAAAAGAGTTTTTCATCAATATTGATCTATGGGGTCTCAAAATCTTCAGAAAAGTACTCTCGTCCACCTAAGCGGAGCAGAATTTTGAAAAATTGCGTACAACTTTATATACACGTCAAAATGTGCCAATTTTTGAGAAAATTAGTATTTTATCAACACTAGAAGCCATATTAAAGCTCTTGGAAGAAAAACAAACTTTTTTTTTCAAATTCTGCTCCGCTTAAGTGGATGAGGGTACTTTTCTGAAGATTTTGAGACCCCATAGATCAATATTGATGAAAAGCTCACGTCAGAATCGCGTGGCAAGTGAATCCTATTATAATATTTTGTATTATGAAAAAATAAGCGTAATTGGCATTTCAGAGCTTGGATAGAAGTTTTTTTTGGTCAATCAGGTGTCTAATAAACATATTTTACGATCACAAAAAAAAAATTTCCACTATTTCGATTTATATAGCTATTTTTTGAATTTAAGCTTTTAACACAGGTCGGTCCCCTTAATTAATGAGATTCGACTAATGACATAATCGAACTTGATGAAAAAATAATGATTATTCAAAGACGCGTTCTCCTCGTCATACGCGTATGCACACCTGCATTATTACAATATTGACGATATACTGCACGTGGGCACGCACAAAACCGCGATCGATTTTGTTTTGGTAAAACCAATACCGAGCATATCTCTCTCTCTCTCTCTCTCTCTCTCTCTCTCTCTCTCTCTCTGTCTTGTATATTCGCTCGATCGACTTATTGATACTGTTGCAAAATCGAAGGGGGTAGAAACTTGCCGAGATCGTTCAATGCTCGTCGATATATGCGCGGGCCATTTCATATCCGTATAGTCACCAGCTATATACGAGACAAGTATGCGTGTTTACTTTCGAAAAGGATCAAATATCTTTGATACTTGGAGCTTATGTGTGTGGATGGGGGGGATACGCGAGTCAGGCTAAATTTATATAGAATCGGGGATGGTTTGCAACGAAGTTTCTGCGGCTACACGTTTTAGTCAACATGAGCGTATATCCTTTGGCATGCATAGAGGCAGCAGCAGCAGCAAGACTTGTGCGCAAGCTGTATATATATATTACTATCCGGTCGAACATTATCCTTCGTCGAATACGCGCCTATCTATTTCGGAGCTCTCGTATTCTAGGTCGGCACGTCGTGGTGTAAATACTTACGTGCTATCATGGGTATGCGCATGTGATCTTGATTGTTTTTGCTTCATTAACAGCACTTATCACGGTTTCCCTTTTTCGCCCCTAGCTTACAGATTTTTTATGAAGGTAAATTGCAATGCTTCTCGATACGTTGAGAATGCTTTTAATTACGAATAAGTTGCAGCTTTATCTATGCAGTGTTTCCTGACTCTCGGTTATGCATTAAATATTAAAAACGATGAATAATAGTCAAATAGCCGCTAATCTCTGGAACAAAAGATCAATTACGATCCTGAAAAAAAAACTTGGCATTATATTCGAGCTCTTTCCATGCTACGAAGAAAATGTTAAATCCTTCCCTCCCTCGCAATCTCGAACAATTAAATTCGCGACTCTCGACGTGTCCTTTCTCTCTCTCTGTAATATTCCAACGCTGCAACTTGCGAACATTCCCCTTGTCTCTGCACACACGTGTACTACGTATGTGTTTGGAGCAGCGCTCGTATTCGTGAATGCAGCATCTCTTCCAGAGAGCTCGCGATATCTCTTCAAGCTTAAGTATATGTGTGTGTGTGTGTGTGTGTGTGTGCGAGCTGTATGTAAGCTATAACGCTCGGCTGAAATGGACTTAGAAGCTATTACCAACATGTGAGAACAATCAGTGCTTCTAGCCTTTGGCCATACGTAATTCTCCGCCGGTACTGCCAGCGCACGAGTACTTAAAATAATCTAATATAATTCATAAGCGGGTCTTTCCTTTTATCTAAAGCTTTGCGAGCGAGTACGGGCGAGTTTTGAAAAAATAACCTATCTTTTCTCTCATTCTCCAACCGAGAAGAAGGTCGAACACTCGTAGTGAGTACCGAAAATAATCGTATCGGCAGGATAATTCGACGAGTTCTTCCACGCGTAAATATTTATGCAGAGAAAACCGCAACTTGTAGTCGGTGCTTGTAAATTCGCGTAAAACCAGTTACAAACTCAAATGTGCCGTGAATGCAGGCGCGGGGCAGGGGTCACAGTGCGCGGGGGTGGGCAGAGAGGGGACGCATATCAAACAGGGAAAAGCGGACATGTCACGGGCACCACGATAACAGCTGGTATCGTTGCAACACGCGCGTTCGGCGCTTGTTCCTGCCAGCGGATCAGATTAGATTCGCATTGAAATCAATTACAGGAATGGGACGATATCGAGCCGAGGCTTCGACCGCTACGCGCATCTCTCCCTCTCTCTCTCTCTCTCTCTCTCTCTCTCTGTAAGTGTGTGCGTGTACACAAGCAGACGTCAATTTTCAGTCTAATTAGCGATGCCAATGATTACACGCGTATACATATATCTATACACATAATATATGTATAGAGGTAGCAGCCTTCGAGCTTATGTAACTTGTTCGATCGAAAGATGAAATTTATGTACTCCTACGTGTCCTTGCGGAGCAGTGCGCGTAGCGTTCCGTTCAACGGGTATAATGTAGCAGACATAGCTGCGGCGAATATGCTCCTGGTAGACCACACGGATGGACCTTTTAACTTATTTTATTGGAAAAACAAATCAAGTCGTGTAATGTTTCGAAACAAACATCTTACTCAAAATTATGCGCAAGTCAGAATGGAAATTCCACTCGTGAAAAACAACCAATATGTCTTTATAAAATCAATCCAAATAGTACTCGCAATCAATACAGTAACGGAAATGTATGTGAACTATACTGTCAAAATTTACGATCGCATATTAAATAGGTAATTATTACCTTACATGAATGCAGTTTTGCTATCAATGGTCGGCTGATGACAGAAATGTTTTCGGTCTTGATTAGCTCTGGATCGCAATAGTTTTCTCTTTCACTGTGATACTGTGAATAACAGAATTCTAATTTAAGTCTTCTGCGCGTATCAGCTGAGCTGCTATTTGTTTTCATTTACAAATCTAGTGTTTCTTAATCTTACGTTTTATGTTTACTATTAAACCACATCAGCAGCTCAATATTCATTCGTGTTAGCTCCTAAATAAATTCCAAGACAACATGTATTTTTGAATGTTCACAGTAAACGATAACTTTTACAAATACTTATAAAACTAATTTTTTATAAAACAAAAAATTATTGCAGTAGAAAAAAAGTCTTTAAAAATTATTACTAATCAATCATAATTTTATTGTTTTCCTTGGTCAGTGGCATATCCAAAAAAATCTAAAGAAACATTTTTCTGATGTCATTTGAACAACCGGAATGATGCAATGACCTTAACGTGGTCAAATAAATCAATTTTAATTTTAAACCTTGAAAAATAAATTAATCAACTGATGCTAAAATATCAAATAGACACATTGTTACAGTCCGTTTTGGCGGTGATTATATGCACAAACGCGTTAAAGCTCACGCGTTCAACCCCAATCAGGCGCGTGCAATTAAAAATATATGCATTACACAGATTGACAAGAGGCGCATCCAGTTACAATGACCATCAATAAGTATATATACGTTCCAGTTCGTGTGTAATATATTAGGATGTAACAAGGGCATAATATGATAAAGGTATACCCAAGCGGCATGGCATCGCGCGTTTCGTCGGAGACCACACAACGTATAAGCAGCATGTATATAGTTCACGCGCACATGTACATATGGGCTATATCGCGTCAAACGTGGGAGGCCGAAAAATGAAATGCACACAGAGTTCATTGAAAAATGAAAATAAATAGACGGTTGCTGAAAATAGAGTTACAAAGACTAAAGAATGATAAGCGCAGATGTTATGGTCATAAGCATTATTTATTTTCAAATTTATTCGTTCTCGCACTCGTTATTTTTGAATGTTATTCATACACTATGTGGGATTGCCAGGGTATTTTATTCGAATAAACGTGAAAAACAGAAAATAAAATAAAACCATGTTTTTTGATCCATCGAATATTACCGTATTGACTGTTATTTGATAAAAAATTGTATTGTAGTCTTCGAAAAAACAAATTCAAATATTTTTTTGTTGTAAGGATACAAACAAAAATTTACTTTTGAACTTTTATGCTATTTTTTTTATATTGTCAGGGATTTCAGACGACGAATACGACTTTTAGCAATGATCTCGAGTTCTTCATCAAGATTCACAATCAATTGAATCATTGCTAAAATATTTTTTCCACGGTAACCTCATGGAACCACAATAACATTAAAAAGTGATAGCCCAACTTTGAATCTGTATAGATGTATGAGGTGACATAGAGACCGCAAATTTGGTGACTTTTTATTTTTCTATATACTTTATACAAAAGTACATACGATACAGATATTTAACTTTTTTTTAGCCAATCGTGGTTGACGCGATACAGCCCATATAATATAGGGAACTCAGCTTACGATCGTGTATAGATATACGCGAAGCGCATAGGTGAAGGACTCTATTAAAACACGATAATGGATTGCTGATTACCAGGGAGAAACAGCCCGAGGGGGGATGGGAGCAGCTATATTTATGAGCTCGAGCTGCTGCTTGGATAACGCCGCTCTTCGGCAAATTTACACTGGGCGAGCGCGCGTGCGGATGCATCAATTGCGCGCGCGGACGTACGCGCACAGCCTCTCCCGTCCGACCAGACACTGTGCAGCCGCAGCAATAACACTCATCTTGGCGCGCATGCCATCGCTGTTGCTGTTGTTATTGTTCGTCGCTGTCGATAAAGTTTACTTTTACACGAGTTTTGCTTTCCCGAAAGTTGCAACAAATTATTATACGATGCATATACTACGCCGCGTGGACACTTTTCTCTACGGAATCATCATCGATCCACAAGAAATGGGCCTGTATACGAGGTATCGTCGATCCAATGACGTTTTCGACGCGGACTTAATTAAAAAGAAGAATACAATACTCCGGAGTATGGCTCGGCGTAACTTTGCTCTCGAAGCGCAGCGCATCGGAGAGGGAAAGAAGGGGAGTAGCATTTATCCAACTAATCAAAATTCGCCTCACACTCGAGAAATTAACTAGCGTATCTCACTCTCTCTCTCTCGTGGGATACGAGCAAGATAGCGGCGTTTGCTCCATGTGCTTCTAATTTTCTTTCGACAAATATCCGAGGCACGCACAGAGGGCGAAAAAGAGAGAGACCAAGAGAGTACACGCGCAGTAGCTCGCAACTGTTTCGTAACTAATCCATCCTCGCGCGCGACTACTCGCGAGGCAGTGAAACTAATATGAACGACACAGCAAAACTGTTATTATATGTCACACAGGAAGAGAGCAGCGCGCGGGGCTGTGTAGACGGACGACTTATACGTACACTTGCCATGCGAAGGCTAGATCGGAATGGAGAGTTATTCCAAAGTTGCAGAAGCAGCAAAGAGAGAGAGAGAGAAGAGAGAGGAGTAAAGGAGATACTATTGCAGCTTTTCCAGCGCGCTCTCTGTCTTTCTCGCGCGAATTTCTCTTACGGATAATTCGAAAGTTCGGCGATGCAAACTTTCGCGGTTCAGCTATTTCTACCCAACGTCGACTTCTCACTGCCTTATACATATACACACAATCTTACCTAAAAGTGTTTGTGTGTGTCGTGCCGCTCGTCTGTGCGTGCAGTAAAATGGGTAGCATAATCTAAAGTTAAAGAGACACTGAGCATCAATCTTTGCCTTTCTCTCTCTCTCTCACTTTCGAGCGATGACCCAAATGCGCGAAAGAGACAAAGTGATACGAGCTCCAAGGCAGAACTATTGGGATATTACATCGATGTGAATGCGCCCTAAAAATCCTTTGGATGATACCAATATACTGACAGATATATATATATATATGAAAAATGTATGCGCTAGTTTGAAATTCTATTTTGCCTAGGTATCCTTGGCGAAAATGTACAGAGAGAATTCGAAAAAAGTGCGCTTTATGTAATTTGAAAACTGACGGTTCGCGACAAGTAACAAGGAATTCTTGGAAAGAAATTTCCGTCGACGTAACTCGAATTATATGGAGCTCAGTTTTCTCGATGCACCGGAAAAATTTGTATCGGTGTGAAAAAAACATTAGCCGAGGAAAAAGTTTACTCGAATCTCGAACGTAAAACGAGCAAGAACAGAGTTTCAACTTGGCTAGGTCATTACAAAGGTAGTTTAGCACTGCACTGACTAGCCATTTTAACATTGATTCATAGCCGTTGCTCCGTAACAAATGCCACCTTCGCTCTTGGACGTGTATTGGCGCTTGTAATCGAGTCGATGTAGCGGGCGCGCGACGTTGTGGCAAACAATCAGCTGCGACTTTTTCACCGTTCCTAAAGTCGACCGGTCAAAAAATAATCAATTGCATACCTGCACTAGGAGATGTTATTTCAACGCAGTGAATTTCTTATGATCTATCAATTTTTAAGATCTGAAATGGATTCGGAGTGTGACCATAACTTTCAAAAATCAAAGTGTTGCCGAAAAAGAGAAATAAAGAAAAAAAGGAAACGGTCGCGCGAAAAAGCTTGTATAAAGTGAGCCGAGTGAGTAAATTCTACGAGAGCCGACGTTGGTGCAGTCATGAAGTGAAGAATCGGCCTGTGAAAAACGAAAAAGAGAACGCGAGAGAGAGAGAATGGGGCTGACTGAATTCGCTTTTTATCACTGAAAAACCCATCGACGCGCGCGCGCGCCTGCACGGCCGAGTGCGACAGTTTGCGCTTAATCGAAAAAATCTCACGCTCGGACTAACTCCCTTTTTTTCCTTCCTCTCTCTTTCTCGCACTCTCTGTATTCTCTCTCGCGAGTTAAAACAGTGGCAATAACAGAAAGACGGGCGCTCTCATCCCAGTTATTTGCATTTAAAGCGGGAAAGAGACCGCGAGAAAGCGGCGCGTAAAAGACTCTTCAAACGACGTTGATAGATACCTTCTCGAGCTCGCACACTTGTACCATTGCGACTGGCCAGTAAAAAAATTCGACTCATTTATTGCGCCTCTGCCGAGGCTTCTGCCGCGTGACTTTTAAAAGTTTTTGTAAAACCGAAATATGTCACGTTGATTCATGCGTGCCTATTATTGATGCGTTTCGTTGTGCTTGAGTGATGAATGGGCTTCAATGCAAATTCACGGCATATTTTCTTCTGTAAAATGTCACCGCGAAACAAACATGAATCGCGCTCGAGGACTTCTTTTATCCGGTCTGATTTGTTAAGATCGAGTGAAAGTGACACAGCCAACTGATTGGCTAATTTCATCTATTTTTTTCAACTATTGGGACCTCGTGTATACAGAATATAAGTACAAAATTCTTGAGGAAATGATACGTAACTATTGCAAGTATCAGAAACTTCATATATTGTAAACACGAGTCCTCAATTAAAACTGTTTATATATCTAAATATTTGGTTGCGACCAAGATGAATTGTGGATGACTAAATTGTTTTTTTAAATGGTTTAATAGGTTGGACTAAAAATCTACATAATTTTCAGTCTCACAAAATGTCATTAAACATATTTTTTAACTATATTCATAAACTAACATCAACTACGGTCTAATTATATTTAAATGGAACGGTTGTAGGCCAAAGAAGGCGTTGCACGCCTTACGTGATTTACGAGAAAATCGAGGAATAGGCTGGCTTGCCGATAGTTTCGAAGTACAATCTGGCCTGCATATTCATGCGTCGGAATTTCCTGAGCAATTCCTGATCATAGACGCCAGCCAGGAGATTGTCGCGAGCCAGAGCCTCGTGCATGCGCGCCTCTCGCCTCGTCGCGAGCAGACAATTCCAAGGCGACCAGGGCTGATGCGGATCGAGCCTGGCCAGGCACAGCTCGTCCGCCTGATTGCTCTGCGAGATGGCCGATCTGCCGTGCCAGATATCCCGCACGAGATAGCGAATGGCGTTGGGTCCTAGAGCGAAGGCCAGACTGGTTGCGCCGTCGGGCCTGAAACAGATCCAGCGTTTTTTCCTCGACCCTTTCAACGAGCTACATCCGTGCGCTATTATATACGGCAAGATAGATAATTGGTTCATTTTTCCCCCTCGCTCTCACCTTGCAGCTTCGCTCCTTCTGAGCTCCTTGAGCATCCTCTCGTACTGCTCGGATGGCACTTGATTCGCCTCGACTGCAGCGCGCCTACGAGCCCTCAGAGCTTTGCAATCGATGCATAATCTCGATGGCCTCTCGCGATGATCCAACTCGAAGGCCTCGAGGCGCCTCACTCGAGTGCACGACGGACACCAGCGCGTCTTCGGCACCGCCTTGAGTATCGCCAAACGAGAGATATTTTTCACTCTTTATTTTCCATATAATTTCGAGAGAGGAAAAAAATTCATAATTGTATTAAACGTGCACGTACCGGTACAGAAACGTCGTGCTTCAAGGTGCTGCGAGCCAAGCGTAAGAATCCCAACTTTATGCGACTCCTCAAGCTTCGTAACTGTTTAGGATCGACTTTTAGAGATAAGAGAAATAATTCCTGGTCGATGAGGTTTTCGAGACTGATGGAAGCTGCGCAGGTGTGTCTGCAAGCCAATTTTTTTAAACAATACAAAGTCTCCACCCGATTGGACTCGTAATCCGGAGGTTTTTCGTCGTCCTCCTCATCGAGCATCAGGGTATTGTAAATCTTACGATATTCAATGGCGAATTGCGCGTTCATAGCGTTGGATTGATCGGTCGCTCTTTTATGTTTCGCCAAACTTTGATTGCGATCTATGATCATTAAATAAATCATTCAAATTTTTAATCATAATGTGTGATATTTCGAATGGTACTCACTTTCCAAAATGACGGGCTTGGCGAGTTCATCCAAAAACTTAGCCCGGTTCCACTCGTCTTTTCTGCGAACCATTTGAGTCTTGGCGGTCTCTATGACGCGTAAAATATTGATTTCCCGCTGCAAACGACGTTGTTGAGCGACTCGATGGGTCACCGCTTTATCGCTGCTTTTTTGCTTGGACTCTTCGTCAATTTCACGCCAACAGCGATCGATCAGTGCTCGTAATGCACTTATATCTGTTGTTTTGTGATCCTCAACTGGATCAGCGTTGCTGCTCTCGGATTCTCCAATATCGTGAACGTGACATAACTCTAAGCTTGGCTTAGGTGATAGTTTTTCTCTGCAAGCAGATTCGTTATTTATATTAATTTTCAAGTTTGAAATCATTTTGAGAAATCGAAGTAAATCTGACCGATGAAGTTCTTGAGATGCCGATGGGTAATTTGCATTTTCATGATGTTGATGGTTTTCGAGCTTTTTAACAGTCATACCATGAATTGGACAGTAGAGTTTTATTGAGTTTTTCTCCGTTAATCGATTTTGTCTATTGCGCCTTTTCAGGTAAGCTCTAGAAAAAATGTTGCAAGTTAATTTAAACTGTTAAAGTCATGAATCATCGGCAAGTACACTAGTATTTTTACTTCATTTCTTTTTATCAGAGCAATTTTCTGTTTGTATCATAAAACTTATTTATAAATATTTAGATTCAAACGATGACTTTGAATGTGAGATTTATCGAACAATTTTCAATGCGGTTGTATCGGACCATACAAGTGTGTCGAATGTCAAAAGACATTTTTTCGGAAAAAATTATCTGAAAAATGCAATTTCCGTTTTGAAAACTCAATTGTATCGAGCCACAAAAATGTGAGGTAGGTAAAAAAAACTTTGAAAGAATTAATAATTTCCAAAGGATGTATTTCACGGATAAATTTAATCTTTAAAATGAGCCAAAATGTATCGATGAAAATTCAAAGATGAAATGAATTTTTTGCAATTTAATCTAGTCTGAAATGAAAACCATAATTTTTTATAAATTCATCGTTCAGGTAATATATTCTTTTTAGCGCATCCAACGACAAGATAATTATCGCATCGACTAAATAGCCCATTTTAAGGCTATCCGTAAAAGACGCGTGAAACTTTTTTACCGAATGAAATATAATCTTGCAGATAGTCAAATTGTCGAAAAGCTAAATTGAAAAAGTTCACCTGAAGCATCGCTGTATCTTGCTGGAGGCTTCGCGCCTCCTCTTGAGCTCGTCGACATCGATGACGATCTCTCCCAGCACCGGAATCGAGCGATAACCTGGATCGGCTTGAACGGACCTCGACACTCTCGAGTTCGCGCTCGTGGCTACCGTGCGTTTCTCCACGATGGTTTGCACGCAGACCGAGCGGGATTTTTCCGCGTCGTCCTGGCAGCGATTGGAAGCGGCGGCACACGGCTTATCCTGTGCGCCGATGGTGCTGATACTCGTTTGGGCGACGGCGTCGTGGTACTCGATATCGTGCACCGCGTCGCGCCAGCCGCCAAGGAACGGCTTCGGTTCGGATTCGTCTAGGATTTCGACCATTATCACCATATTGTCTGCTACCTGCGGGCTAATTTTTTACTGAAAACTGAAAGTCTAAAAGCATTCGTAATGGTAATGCATCAAAATCATCAGAGAGATAAAAATGAGGTCACAGACAGAAGAAGAAACACACACGCATACGCACTTTCGCATTCGCTTAATTTTCTTTTTTTTCGTCTTATAGTCACACAGAGTATAAAATATAAAGCTTGCATAGCATAAAATAATGCATTCCCAAAATCTAACCAGCATGCCAGGCGCGGCGACAGCATAATACCCCAGAAAGCGGCAGGCGGCAGCGCTTGCGGCCAAGCTTTATAATGCCGGCATTCTTCGAGCACAAAATTATATCGTGTATGAGGGTACGAAAACATCTCGTGATAAGAAAAAAGAGGGTGGCGAAAAAAAGCGGAAAAGTAATTACTGTAATACCGAGAAACTTTATAATAACTGAGGGGGGAAAAGGCGTAAAAATTACCTATTTCACGCGCGAGGTTAAAAATCACTCGCAAACGAGCTCGAGCTTTTAGTACGAATACCGTTGAAAAGAATCGCATGTACAAGTAAGAGCGAAATTATTTACGCGTCGCTGCAACGGTGATCGAAAGAAAGGATTCTTTTCCCTCGAGCGGCAGAGATGGATTGTTTCGTATGGAGGCCAACGTCGAGTTTATATATAAAAATTGACGCCTCGTGATGAACGATCGCGAGACTCGAGCCACAATGGAGACTGCATCGAGTTTCGTGCCAACTAATTATCGGTTCACCGAAAATATCACAAATTATTTACTTACAATTTCAAGATTGAGCTAAAACTTAAGGGAAAATACGTATCGGCAGCGGTGAGTAAAAATAATAAAATATATGTACAAATTTTTTCGAGGCCGAAAAACCAAATTAAAAGCGCAAATGAGACAAAAACGAGTCAAGATAGAGGAAAATCCAGGCGTCGCTAGCCTCGTGGAGCTTTAACAATCACAAAAGTTCTCTCGTAGACTCGTTGCATACTGCACGTGCGCATAATAGTAATAAACGCTTGGCAAAAAGAAGAGAGAAAGCTGGCGAGGAGAGAGATCTTTTCGTCGGCCGGCGAGTGGCGAGCGGCTCGGCCATTCGAGTATTTCCGTTCTCTTTTTCCGCCTTTTGACACTCGTGTGTGTGTATACTCTCGTGATCGCATGCGGCGACGCGCCTGCACCAGAGCTTTTATGTCCCTCCGAGCGCTTGAAATTCATTTACCTATTTCGTAACAATTTCTCGACTTCCGTCCCACTCTGTTTCTCTCCCTCGCCATACGTATAGTATTTATGCTCTTTATGATTCGGCACTATAGTCGCTCGTTAAATTTCCAATTTTACACGGCGCGGCAACCCGATTAATTTTCTTTCGATCAACGAGATAACGGTGCTTTCGAAATTCAGTACGTGGAGTCGATTTTCGATACCGTAGCGAAATAATGTAATTTTTTTTAATGAAGAGCGCCTGATAAAAATTCGGAGAGAATCGATTCAGTAGTTTTAAAAAATTCATCAACGAGCTATCGAAGCGCGTTGAAAGTTTTCAAATGCAATTGAGTGTCTTGAGCTTGCTTTCGCTGTGTCCTGATTCTGGCTGACTTTGAATTTAAATTTTATTCTTGAAAGTATGAGCCATTCAAAAATGCAATAAAAAAATTCAACTTTTCGAAAATGACAAAGAAGGTATAGACCCGTCAAGGTTTGACGAAGGCGCGTTAAACAATGTTCAATCGCGTGCATCGAAAAGAGGACCGTAAAACGAAAAGGCGGCAAAAGAAAAGAAGAGTAGGGTGTCAAAAACAAACGCCAGACGGCGAAAGAATGGAGAGCTATACAGAGACTTACACAGAGCGCGCGTTATAATGCGCAACAGCAACTCTCTTTAGCGCAGCTTTTACTTTTCTCTTCTTTTTTGCCTCTTCTTCTACTTCTAAATTATTTCGCCCATATAAGTTGCTCGGGGGAGGGGTAGAGCATAGCGCTTGCACCATTCCCGAGGGTAATCTTCGTTAATGGAGTCGCACTGATGCGTGTCAGCCTCGACGCTGTGCCGTATACATATAGCCGGAGTCGTGCTGCTGCTGCTGCAGCTTTCCAGGCGACGCTGCGTACAAGTATTTATATACATAGATAAATGCAGTCGCCCGAGCGCTAGATTTTCGAGCTCTCTCCGCACGCGCGTATGCGTAGAAATTATCATCCTTCATAATTATTTGACCTCGCGCGCGCGTTTCTTGGCTTAGACTTTGCGCGTTCGAGCAACGGGGGTCTAGCTTCTCCGTGTCTGCAAATATGCAAGCGACTATGTGTGTGTGTGTGTACAAGCACTAAGCAGTCTACTACCCGATCTCGCAAATGGATTATTTAACCTACTTTGCCAGGCAACTGCAAGGAAGCCTTTCTTCGGTGTCTGCTCATCATGTGTATACGTTACACAACAGCATCAGACTAGCAGTTTTGGCAAATTTTGAACGGAGCAAAAGAAGCTGCTTTAGGGCTACGTCCATTTGCACATAGCCGAAACTCAAAGATATGTACGCGGTCCGTTTTAATCGAATCACTACTTTTTTATTTATGTCTCTCACGCGCGAGTCAATCCAAAGCGTCGTCCCTTCTGAATTTTCAAATTCTCCGAAACGTTCTGTCCTAGAAAAAAAAAGGATTCCGGCATTAATGCAATAATACATTGGTTATTGGAGAGAGAAATTGCACGCCTTGATGAATATTTGATGGAGAATGTAGCTGGCATGGTGGCGAGCAAAAGAGAGTAATAGCACGTGCGTATACCCTCCCTTCCTCTCTCTCTCTCTCCCTTTCTCTCTTGTAGTCACGCCGGAAATTTGATTTATGACGATTGTCAGAGATTTGTTATCGCCACGGCGCTGAGCGTTTGCAACGTGCTATATACCACGGCCATCGCCATCGAGCTTGCGCGTCATTATATGGGCCGCTACTGTGCGCGGCTGCATGCATACTCGCGCGCGTGCACCTATCGCCGTGTCCTACACACATCTACATATTTATTTTAAACTCGATTCAATTTGTTTGATTAATAACTGCCTTTATCGATGTTCCGTCGCTCGCAGCATTGTATTCCCCGACTCGACTGCGCGTATCGATTGTTCGAACGGTGAGCACATTTTTCCGTGCTTATCTAGGTGTTAATTTATGTGCCGAAATGAGCGACGCGCATTCTCTGCTTTTCTGGTCGAAACTATGATAAAGTGACAATTATTTAATCTCGTACTTGCGATATAAATAAAAACAAAGACTTTCAATTTGATTCCATCTACTCGAAGCACTCGCGTGGAAAAGCAAACGCAACAAAAGAAGCTTTTTTGAGTATATTTACTTACGATCTCAAGCTTTGCAAGTTGCCGTAACGGCTGCTGCTGCTGTATATAAGTACGTATTTCTCACTGACTGGCAGTATGGCTATCTTCCAGTACTTTTCTTTTTTCGGTATATATGAAATAATTTTCAAGCATCATCGTCACCATGGGTGCGCACATGACACAAGCACACAAATATACACACACACGCGCGTATAAGTACGTATGTAGGAGCGACAAACGCGCAGAGCAGCTCTTGAGCTTGCTGCTGGTGTCTTTGCAAGCTCACCTCTCACTTTCTCGCTCGCTCTTACACATTCAATGGAGATACGTGTACACAGTAACGTGGCAACGTATATATAGCTTAGGTGGCTTGGTCGATTGGCAACATAACGTATAGCGCACACAGTGCTCGGCAACTCGATTGGTACAAATCACTCTAATACTATAACTCGAGCTTTTTTCCTCTTTCTCTTTTTTTTTCTCTTTTTTCTTTTTTTTTTTTTTTTATCGTCTCTTTTTTTTCCTTCGTGGAATTGTTGCGGGAAGCGGGATGTACAGTGACAGTATATATACACTCGAGTGTCTCGAGCATTACTCGGGGGTAGAAATAAAGAAAATCAAAGCTTGTAGGTGTTATTGGGTTTTCGTGTACTCTCGAGATGACGTATACAGACACAATCACACTGGGCGAGTACTTCCAAATAAAAAGTAAAAAACAACTATCTTCGAAAGCTTATGATCCCGCACTTGACTTTCGTCGTCAAATTGCTTTCCTTTCTTTTTTCTCTAATATAGGTAGTAGATAAATTTCAAGCAACAATTAACCATGGAAAAAAAGAAGCTTACGCTTGCAGTGACACATTTATTTTCAAAAAATTTCAACCTACATCGGCCTGTTTAAGAGATGGATGGAAAAAAGAAACTCGATGATAAGAATGATATGAGCATGTTTTCTTCCTTTATTTTCCAGTATCTCTAGTGAAACTCGACGAGCGCGTTATACACGCTTAATCTCACCGTGCATGCGAGATGTGCGCTGCTACTGACTGGTTGTTATAAAAGCTCTGCTTCAATTGTCGCAGAGCATATTATTATCGGGCGGCGCTACCAAGTGTGACTGGCAACCGCCAATCTTTTCTTTCTCCATGCCTTGGCATCTTTCGAAAGCAACGAGGCCCCTGAAATTCAGTGAGTTACATATTTTTATTCGTGAAAATTGTTTCTCACAAGTGAGTTGATAGAGCAGTTCAAGATGAGAACGGTTTAGACTACTCGGCCTGTAATTAAAGCAGGACGAAATTGCTCGTGAGCTCGTTGGCTGCAAGAGAAGAGAGAGAGAGAGAAAGAAGGAGATAACAAATAACCTGAAATCTATCTTGGCGGTGGTGTGCGCCAAGCTAATCTTGCGCTGCAGGTGTTCTGCGTAATGAGCGAGGCAACCGCTGGCAGCCATGCAGTAATGAGCCTCGGTCTCCTGCTCGGTCAGGAGGACGCAGTTCCAGGGACTCCAGGGCTTGCTCGCCTCGTACCTGGGCAGTCTCAGCTCGCGCGGATCGTCGCACTCACTGAGGACCGAGTGGCCGTGCCAGATGTTGAGCACGAGGTGGCGCACGTCCAGGGCCGACATGGCGTCGGCCAAGCTGCCGCGGGACTCCTCGTCCTCGCGGATTCGCTCGAGGATGTAGGCGAAGGGCTTGAGATCGACGGTGGCCCGCGTGTTGACTCGCAGCCGGACGCAGGCCTTGCAGCGGAGCGTCTCGCGCATACGCGTCGCCGCGGGAAAGTCGCACGCGGGCCGGAACTTTTTGCAGCTCAGGCAGAAGATTCGGTTCCTCTGCAGGGGCTCGCGGAACTCGTGGCGGCTCGCGACCCGACGACACCTGCAGCTGTGCACGGTCCTCACGAATTGCAGAAACGAACCTGCGATCACAATATGCAATAATCTTGTATTTCTCGCTCGATCGATTCGATGGAGCTACGGAATTGCGTACCGAGTATTCGTTTTCGCAAAAAATCAAGTTTCTCCTCGCTGACGTCTTTCGAGAGCAGGAAAATCTCCTGATCAAGCAAGCCGCGCAATTTGTCGGCGCTGCGACACTCGTGGCCGTCGATGCAGCTTCTGGCCTTGACGAGCAGCTCCATTCGGCCCTTGGACTCGCCCGCCTCGAGCCATCGATACAGCTGCCAGAGCTCGAGGGCGGCTTGATTTCTCAGAGTGGTCATCTCGATGCGGCGCCCCTTGCAGTCCGTCCAGCGCTTGGGTCGGCAGTTGACGGCCAGGAAACGCTCGCGGGCCGCCTTGGCGCGCGCCTCGCGCACGGCCCGCATCTTCTCGTCGATCTCCTTGTAGGTCTGCTGTCGAATCTTGAGGAGCTCGAGGCCTCGCTGACGCGGCGACAGACAGCCGGGCAACGAAGGTGGCCGAGTTTCCAGATGATGGAGGAGCGCGTCGATGTCGGCCAGGTTGCGAGGCGAGTTCAAAGCTCGACAGTCCGCCTCGTCTCGTTTTCTATGCATACGGTTTTTGCTTTTATTCGGAGAATTAGCAGGGGTTCATCGCTTAATCGAGGCACGTAAGCAGACGTTCGTTCCTCCGGTGGCGAGAAATTATTTACCCTGTCATAATTCACGTAACGTTGCGAGCGTTATTTATACAATGCGATCGCGCGGCCCCTTTTTCATTCTCGAGTCGTCTCTCTTCCTTATTCGTGCAAGTTTATTGTTCATTATTGCGCACGCCCACTCACCCTCGCATTTTCATTCGACCGTGAGAAATACGAGCTCTATTTAGCATAATGAAGCAATAAAACTGTGCATAATGAAGTATGAAACGCATAAGCCGTTGTGCACGCCATACGTGAATAATATATTAAACGCGTGTCTTACAATGGCAAATAAAACGCACCGAAAGCCCGAAGAAATGCTTTTGAAAAATTCGCGCGATGCGTTTTCCAAGCCCTCGCGAGAACGCTATCTACTCGAGTCAAGTTGACGAACGATTCCCAAAAAAACGTCTCATCGACGAGAAAAATTTCGACACATCGACTCCTACTTGAGATACTCCAATTTTTCCTGCTCCAATCTGTCGCACTCCTCGCGCAGTCGTCTGTAAATTTGCGCGCTCTCCTTGATCAATCGGAGAACCCTGTAGGCCCGATAGCAGCGCTGAATCAGCCGAGCTTTTCCATCCAGATCCATGCGAGCTCGCATCTGCTCGAATGTCTCGTAAGGCCTGACGTCGAGCACTCGATCGTGGATGCTCTGTACGTAGCAATCGTCGCTGCATTTTTTTCAACCAGTCCCGAAAAAAAATCATTGTCATTATTCTCTGCGCTGCTTTCCGTTTTCTCCGGGGCGAGCTCGCGATCGATCTCACCTGTACATTTGGGTCGCATGATCGCAACGCGTCTGGGTCTCCTTTTCAACGAGCACGGCCGTCTGCACGCAGCGAGATGTTTGGCGCTCAGGGGGTATCCGAGGTGGTCTCGGTGGCGTTTGCGAGCTTTTGTCGTGAAGCGTCTTACCAGTCAGATGATTGACCCACCCGTCCGACGGAGAGTTTATCAAAGGTTGTGCAGTCAAGAACACCATGCTTAAGCCTTGATTATTTTCATGCGATTTGATTGGACTTCATTATTTAACCTAAAGATTGTTTATCGGGTGGAAAGAAAAAAAGAACGTTAAATGTTATTGTAACAAGAGTGAATAATTAACAACATTTCAGGTTTTCAATTTTCAAATTTTCGTTTATTTTCCGTTTCACTCTTTTTTTTACCATGCTCATCTACAAGTGTGCTCGTACTGTACAAATGAATTTATACTCACAGCATAAAAATCGACGAAAATATCGACGTAACAAAATCGTACCTTGTTTTAATTTAGAAATTCAACAAATCGAACCAACAATTTTAGCATTAGAAAATTAGTAAAAAAGCTAATTTGTACTCCTGTTAACATAATCATAAAATCAAAAAATATTTTTTTTTTGATTTTCATTGAACAACTCGACAAGCTCTTATTCATATTAGCTAAGTTCAATTATTTACAAAATTCAATATATCGTAATTCCACATTCACATTACGAAAACTTCTTTAGTGCCTAACTAAATTATCAAGTCTAAAAAGATGGTCTCGCTATGAACTACGAAATTTATATAATATTTACAGAAACGTTCGATTGGAATCATCGAACTAGTCCGGCTTGAAACCGTAAAAGATAGTCTAAGCAAAAGGGAAAAATCATAAAAGTATTTACTATGGAAGACAAATTATAGCAATGAAACGAAGCTATTAAACCTGTATTCAGGAATTGTATTTTTTGTAGTATTAAAATAAGTTATATAAATCTTCTTGATATAGATTAACGTCTGATACTGGATAGAGCGATCCCTGTGATGCTTTTTAAACGATCAAAATTACGCTATTTAATTGACGAATTAAGGAAGTTTAATAATGGGAAAATGTTGATGGCTTGAAAAATCAAAGATAGGGGGCTCTTTGGAATCCTTCTTATGGCCTCCAGCAAGCAACTTCAAAACAACAAAATTTGTTTTCACAACTTTCATTAAGTCAGTAATCTGAAAGAAAATTAACCAATAGAAAAACTCTCAGTTAGAGCTCAACATTTTTTTAGTTTTTTAATGACCAAGTACTTACCTCATTTACTATATTCTGGGGTGGATTAAGCTCTAGTGCACGCTCTAACACAGTTTTGGCTTGATGAAAATGTCTACAGCCTTCTAAATACTGAGGTTCACTAGTTAGTTTTTCCTAACAAAAAAAATTGTATAATATTATAAAAAATAAAAGTTGAGACTGTTAAAAATAAACATATACTTACGTTATTTCGATACCTTAAGTGGTGTGTCATTTCGATGAATTTTTTATAGTTCACGGGGGGCGGAGTAATGAGTGACGAAAAAGGATACAGTCGATGTTCATATCGTACACCTTCGCAATCAAATTGACTTTCTGGTAGCGGAATTTTTTCATCTATTTGAAAACCCACCAAAGCCTAAGAAAAAATCCACACATTTGAAAATTATTAAATTTTTTTTTCATTTTTAACCATTATAATTCTTAAGAAACTTACTTTATAAAAACCTCCACAAATATTTTGCAAGGCTTGATTCATTAAAATTTCTAAGTAGTAAGGCCTAGGCAATGTTTTACGTTTTTTACTTTTTGAACTTTTTTTACCACTTTTACTTTTTTGAGCTTCATTGTGAAGGTCTTGTTCCATGATGAAAGAATCTGCTCTGGTGATGGCTGACACCAGCCATCCATAGAGAAATTCATAAAGATACCAAAATATATAATGATACTCATGAACAGAATAAAGTTCTAGCTCAAATCCACTCAACAAATACATGACCATTGCTCTTAGAGTATGATATAAAATCCAAGTTCCAAAACAAGCCAAGTGTGGTCTTGGACAATCACTTTTTAAGGATAATGAGTGCATGTAACTATCAACACGCTCAGCCTGTTATAAATAAAATAATATTAGTAACATTTTTTAATACATAGTAACAAAAAAATGTTACTTTACCTCATCTTGTAAAGCCGCGAAATTCTCAAACAAATAAGCTATTCTATCTCTTTGTCTTGCTCTATTATGTCCACTAATTTGAAGTAAGGTACTAAAAAAATTGGCACAATGCACTAAGAAATTATCAATGCAGTCTTTTGCTTGGTGGTTTTGCAATAAATTATTTTTTGGCATTAGTACTGGAGGAGCAATAAAATTTCTAGCTGCTTCTTTCAAAACATCTGTTAAATTTTGTACACCAAACACTCTATTGGGAGTAGGCAAATAAACAATTTGTAACAATGACCTAGATAATATACATGGACTTGATCTTGAAAACTCCATGAAAAAGTCCTGTCAAATTTAAATACATATATTATTATATTTAACATTTTATAAATTAATCATTAATTTTGATATAATTACCAATGCACTATGAAAATTAGTATAACTTGTAATTTTTGTCACATTTTTAAATCTATTTATAAGATCATCCATATACACAAGGGCTTCTATTCTAGGCCTTATTTTTGTATATCTTGGTAAGGTCGGTGGCAACTGTCTTTGGTTAATCATAGGATCAAAACCCATAACATTAGGATGATCAGCTGAAAATAACAATGTTATCAAGACCTAGTACTATGATTATTGTGCAAAAAAGTCATTATTTACTTATTTCATCAGCTTTATCTCCTCTATTAATAGTTTTGATCATTAATTGAAGCATTTCAGAACAATTAGATAAAATTCGTTGACATGCTTGAAGATTTGTCGGCAATTGTTCTTTTCTACCCATCATTGTTAAAACTTGATAAAACATTTTAGTGAATCTTATTCGAGCATATAGAGCTAAATTATCATTGTACTAAAAACGAACATTTTACATGAATAAAAATAATCTTGATTATGTAACATTAAAGTACCCAACAATTTTACCTCATCATCCATTTCATCCGCAGAAGGTTTAACTCTAGTCTTTTTATGTAAATCTTCTTCGATTTCTCTCATCATGGCTATAGTCTTTTGCTCTGTTATATCAGATTGTAATTTGTAACCACCGTACATTACACTTTGAAAATCTTCCTCTTCATACACTGAAGCTCTTATTATGCATTCTTTTATCTCTTCAATGATTTTATGCACAGTAACACAAAACATTTTTAAAGTTCTATCTTCAATAGGATTTGGGTCATGCAAATATAAATTTGTGAAAACAGTTTGTGCCAAGTTATGACCTTCTAGCCAAGACACTATACATGCATATGTAGAATCAATTATTCCGATAATTTCAGCAGCAGTAAAATTGCTCAGTTTGATGACACCAGATAAAGCTGCTTGGTGGAAAGTATAGTGCTTGTTATTGCCTCTATTGCACAGCATCCCAGCATCCATTTTTGGATCCATCATTTCAATAGCTGACATAGCTTCAAATAAACCAAACAGCTCATCATGAAGCAGTTCTCCTAACTCAAGCTCTAAAATGATAAGAAATTACTTGTTAACACTTTGTGTCAAGTTCCAGAGCATGAAAAATAGAACAACTGCTCACCCGAGATAGCCTCAAAAAATTCAGATGTTACATTGACCCACGATTCACTTGATTCTTGCAAACTGTAAATTTGAAATTGTTTGTTAAAACAGCGTTGATAAATCTTTCGAACAGCACAAAAACAAGCAAGAAAAAAATTTTTGCAAATCGATAACTCGCGATTAAAGGGACTTTGAATTACGAAACATGACTTACGATGTTGGTTTTTCATCGCACAACTCCGACAGTTCTTGATTGTGCGAAGTTTCTGCCATTTTCAATAATTTTTTCGGTAATTTTCAAAATAAACTAAACGTGAAACACGAGCTGATGTGTGTGTTCCTCTACAGCTTCTTTACTGTCCGATATCTATATCTGTCTCCTACAATTCAGTCATAACCTCGAGATTATCTGCACCTTTAAAATTTCTCGACAAATTTCTGCTGTAGCAGCAGCGAGCAGTGGAGGCGCTTTTTATGACTGGCCTAGTGCCTACTGCCAGTTCACGATTTTTTCCGCGACAAAGTCACTAGGTATACGTCTGGATTATCACTAGAGTTTGAGAGATGAGAAGCTCGAGCTGGCTGCACAACTAAAGCATGAGTTGCTATACCTACAGTGGTCTGATACGCGTGCACAAACTCCATATGTAGGTTTATTGCCAATCGAACGGGTGGGGATAAGAGTGCATAGACGCACCAAAGTCTGCCCAGCAGCAGCTGGTGTATGGCATATACATCGCAATCATCGACAAAGCTCGCAAGCCGCTACTACGCGCGCCACCAATCGCAACGCCGTTGTTTGCACATTATATATCATAAGTAATCGTCAGACGTAGCTTTCAATTAACTCTTGATAAATTCGGATCTGCCTTCTACGTTCCAGCGGTTCGAACGTCGTTCCGAACAGTCGTTCGTCGTTCGAAACAGTCGCGATCGCTGCTGCATCTCGCAAGTCCGAGATCGTTCCTACAAACTGACAAGTGATAAAAGCTTCAACTGTGCCGTCCACCGCAGCGATGCCGGAATCCGTCAAGATGGATCATTTCGATGAAAATTTTGACAAAGTAAGCGACTCATCAAATTGTTTTATCCTCGACACTGATGCTTGATTTGACCCTCTTCAGGAGCATCCAAAAAATCTGATACCGGAATTATGCCGACAATTTTATCAGCTTGGCTGGGTCACTGGAACTGGGGGTGGCGTTTCCATAAAGCACGAGTGAGTTTTCTCCGAACTTTTCAAAATTCACTACTCGAAAACAGTCTCTTATCGTTTGTATGATATTTACTCAGTGAATTTTACTTTGTACGACGACTTCATTGATAATTGCCTTATCTGACTAATGTGGATAATTTAGCTATATTACATTAGTATTTGCAAGTAATGAATTTTTTTGTGGATAAACTGTATGTAAAAACTTTTTTCTTTTCTTTTTTATAGGGATAAAATATACATTGCACCATCTGGAGTGCAAAAAGAAAGAATCCTTCCAAATGATATGTTTGTTCAAGACATCGACGGCAAAGATTTGGAGTTACCTCCGCCGGAGAAGAAATTAAAAAAATCTCAATGTACCCCTCTTTTCATGTGCGCTTATACATTTAGAAACGCTGGAGCTGTCATTCATACTCACTCGAAATTCGCCGTTATGGTAACTCTTCTTTGGCCTGGCAGAGAATTTCGCTGCACTCATCTGGAAATGATTAAAGGTAAATTACACTTTCACTCGTATTTTATAATTTTTTAATAACACCAAAATTTCGAAAGGCATCCGAAACCAAAAACTTGGTAGATCATATCGCTATGACGAAGAACTTGTTGTACCAATAATTGAAAACACTCCTTTCGAAGAGGACTTGAAAGACAGAATGGCCGAAGTTATTCAAGATTATCCGGAAACATGCGCTGTACTCGTTCGTAGGCATGGAATTTATGTCTGGGGCGATTCATGGCAACAGGCCAAGACGATGTTAGTACTTGACATATTCGAATGAATTGTTAAAATGTATGCATATTACTACAATTTACTTTTACAGGACTGAATGTTATGATTACCTTTTTGATATTGCTCTACAAATGAAAGATGCTGGGTTGGATCCAATGATGACTCCAGAAAAACATGAATTGAAATATCAAAGAAAAACAACCCAGGTATAAAGGTTTTTTGGCATGTACAAAAACTAATTGTAATTGGCAACGATCATGTTTTATATATATTTATATATATGTATGTATAATGTATAATTTACATGTTGAGAATAATTTACAATTTTTTTTACTGTTTGTACAAAGTATAAAGTGCAAATACTTATTTAGTATAAATTGAGTTTCAGAATTTATAACGAAAGTTTGTCGTTACATGTAAAACATAATAAAGTGCAAAAATCAACATCTTGAAAATTCTTCAAAAACCAAAATTACATTATATTAACACTTATTTACAAAATTGTTCTACCTATTATTTGTTTTTTAACTTTTTAATAATAAAAAATATATCAAGTTATTTTACGTAGTTTTAACATCAAATGGTTGGAATTTCGATTTTATTTTCTCTGCCAACATGAATTCTTGTTCAGTACTTAATGCGCAGTCTTTCCAGTCAAATCTGTTTGGACAATCTAGAATTCTATCGCAGCAACATACTTCTCTTCCAAATTGTAGGGGAAAGTCGTGTTTGATTTTATGAAATAAACGAACTCCATCAGGCAACTCAGCGTAAAAATACAATGTTCCTGCAGGTGCCACTTCTTGCAGATCATTATTCATCTCTCTTAATGGTTTATGATACACATTAGATATTTCCTGCAAAAATTATACACATTTCAATCAAGTTTCCACACTAACAAAGGGAACTTATTTTTAACTGAAAATAGAAAATTAAAATAACTTTCAACAATAGAAAATCATACTTAATTTATAGTAAAAAAAAATTTTTAAATGTATGTCCTACACTAATTATATTGAAAAAAAACATTCACTCCGTGAATCTATTTTTAAGGGAATAGTTAAATTGTATAATTAATACTCACTATAAAAGTATCTTTTAATGAAGAGGCTTGATTCTTATGAACAGGTACAGCTTGAATTTGAAAATGACTTGATTTGAAATTTCGTTCAAAAAATACTGGTACTCGATCACTGAGAGCATAATATTTTTTAATCGCTTCCTGCAACAGAAAGAAGTTTTTAGTAAACCTGTACATGTACATGTTAATAAACTATTTATTATTATTAAAAGCCTTATTTTACCTTATATGCTTGCAGTTCTTTCCTAGCACTATCAGAAATTACCGAAGAAGCTTGATGATGTCCTATTGGTACCAGAAGAAAGTGATCTTCAACTATTCCTCCTCTTGGTAATGTTAAATAAATATCATTTCCTGTTGAAATTATAAGATGTTTCGAACAGATTTTGCTGTCCAAGCAGAACCAACACTTGTCCTTATCAAATTCAACTTTACGTCTTTTCAACTTTTTTTTATCATTAGAGTCCATGTCATAAAAGAACTGAGATTTCTCTTCTTTTCTTTTAGCAGATGGATTCTGCTGCAACAATGCAGCTGGATACGGACTTGCAGTTTCGTCTGTTGTTTTCATCATCAGATCCGATGTTTTGAATTTATCGACTGGAGTCAAATTGAAAGCAAAAATCCATTTCTTTTTATCTTGATTACCAATTGTTGCAAGAGCAATAAATCGCGTAGCTATATTGATTCCGTCTTGACTCTCGTTTTGGTTCCTAAAAATCAATACTTTAGTCAAATAAACTGTATTTTGAAAGTAATTTTTTCTGAAAAGCATGCCTGATAAAATTACCTATAAGGTGGTCTCTCATAATAAATATTTTCCATGCCACACGCATGATATCGAGGTTTGATATGTGTTGCTAACCATGATATAAGCCTCGAACCGTTGTATTCAAAAGTAGGCTTACTTTGATCTAAATTCGTTATAAAATCTGGCCATTGAGAGGAAAGCAAAATATCTACACCCCGAAAACTCGGTATTTTTATACACGTATTCTTTATTGAAATGACATCTTTTTCGCTAAAAGTACACTCTTCGGGGTCTTCGGGGCTCTTTCTTTGAACACCACTCAGATAAGCAATTTTGAGTCCTGAACTAGACGTATAAACACCAGATTTCCCCAAGTATGTCAGATTGGGGCAGATTTCACATCCGTTTTCTTTTGGATAATGTTCTACATCTTCGGGTCTGTAAGGACCAATTATATATGTTGGTACTGGTATGGTTTTGGATCCTTTCTGGTATGGTACCAGTTGGGAATTGTTGGCCCCAAAGAAATTGCCAACGCAAAACAAAAAGTCAAAAGGTCCATTTTTTTTATTTATAGCATCCACTTTGGTAAACAAAAACTTGAAATTGCCCTCGACATTGCCACAGATGAGCACTTTCTGCTTATCACTCATGTCTTCTAATGCTAAGACGTTATTTATTCAGTTTTTATAGGTTAAAATCCAACAATTGTTCTCGACTACGAATATATCAGCGAAACTGAAGCAGAACTACACTAATAAATGATAAAAAAAACAAAGCACTTATATTAATCGAAAACTTAGAGATGATTTAGATAAATATCTCCCGTATTAGAATCAGATGAAATGAACAGGCGGAGAAATTTTTGGTTGTGAAGTCACTTAATTCACACAACACAATAAACATGCTGCAGTCTCCAGACAGTGAACGGCGATTGAATAGTACTCCCGTGACCTCTCACGGTCTTCAGATGAACACATAGAATATGTTTACAGAACGAGGATTAGTAAATATGAATGTCAACACCATAAAAGTAAATAATTTTTTGAATGATTTTTAGATGAAAAATTAGGTGAGTATTAATTCGTTTAGTACCGTTATTGCTATGAAAAAAATTTACTTGACAATAAATTTCGTTTTGTATGTATATATTTGTATGTACTGCAAAGTTATTTTTCAATTATTACTAATTAGCTTATTCAGCATTTATTTGTTATATGATGAATCACTAAAATAAAAAAATTCCTCGATCAAACTAATTTGTAAAATAAAGTTCTTATTTGATATATAACTATTAGATAATGATTTTTATTCTTTTTATACTTTCATTTTAATCTTACCTTATTTAAGGAAATTCTAACTCAAATAAGTAATTAAATGATTTTTGTTTTTGTGTAAAATAAATTTATTTATAGATTATTTTTTATTTTTTAACTTAATTCAGTATGCAATTTACTTAAAATAAATATTTTAATATTTACAAATGTACAAATACTGATTCTGTCAATTCCTGATTAAGGTAGAAACTCAATACTCATTCTTTGACGTCATCGTCTAACTCTTCACCTTTACATTCTTCATGAAGTACAACATATTCTCTTGAAGAAAATCCAAATGTAACAACGTCTCTTTCTTGGAGTTCATAATATCTTTTTGGCTCAAGTTTTACTTTGTTTATAAAAGTACCATTAGCTGATTCCAAATCAATTAAGTATGGTCGTACCCGTTTTCCAGAAGATCCATTTGGTCTTTTATAAGCAACAAGACGATACTGTAACGCTGCATGCTGCTTTGAAATAGATGGGTGATCTAGTGGTAAATCAGCAATTTTGCGATCTCTTCCAATTAGATAGGCAGACTGACGATGAATATACAAAACTGGCAATGCCTTTTCACCTTTGAAGGGGTATAAACGCCATCGTCTAATTGGTTTTCTGGCTTCTTCTGGCTCTGAATACTTAATCACCACTCCATTTACTGTGTTCAAATCTTCTGTCAGCTTTCCAGAAGTTGCAAAATTTGGTGCCTCTTTCTGCTGAGGAGGAGCTTCATCTTCCTTTTTAACAGGTCTACCCCAACCAGGAGATGGTTCTTTTTTGAAAGATCCCTAGGAAGAAGGAGCAAAGCCTTTAAGATAATGTGTAAGAATCTCTCAATGTTACATAATTTGAAGGCTTAAAATAAAAAAAGTTATTGTTCAAACGCCATAAAATGCATAAGAAAAATCTTACACATGAGGCATACAAATCATCTCAGTGAGAAATAGTATATTACATGCCTAGGGAGCGAAAAACTGAAAAGCCTCAGAGCACGTTTAATTATCGTCCGAGGTGAAGCCGAGGCTGATAAACATGTGCTCTGAGGTTTTCTTTTTCGCTTCATAGGTGCGTATACTATTTTTCATGAATCACCCAGCAGAAATTAACTTTTTCGTTTTGGCCCCCGGGACGAAGAAGATTAGTTTCGGCTCGGGTAGCATAAAAATACATATTGGAAATTTAAAAGTGGAAGAACAATTTTTTCCCAAAATTGAATAAAGTTTTTTCCATTTCAAGCTTCATCATTTTGTACACAAACCGCGAGATTTTGAGGCTTTCTAACCTCAAACGTCAAGGTGGATTTGTGTTTTCGTAATACCATGTTACGAAAAACTAACCTGTTCATAGCGTGATGATCTAAAGTTCTTTTTTGGGTTTCTATCGTTATCGTGACGACGATGTTTGTTCCTGTCGAAGTCTCGATTATCAGGATAGCGAGGTTCTCTCGATCTGTCTTCTCTTGATCTGTCTTCTCTTGGTCTGTCTTCTCTTGGTCTGTCGTCTCTTGATCTGTCCTCCCTCGACCTATCGTCTCTCGGTCTTTCTTCATCTCGTCGTCTTTTGCTGGAAAATTCACGACTGTATTCGTAACGGGAATCATAACTATATTCACTTTCTCTACGTTTGGACATGATAACGATGTAGGATAACAACGCTGGATGCAGGTAATAACTTTTTGTCAGAATAGAATTAGGTGCTAACAATCGTAACGTTCTTGCAAGGTGTTCATTCACTGAAAGCTCAATGATATCTAACTATCGACTTACTGCTTAGTATATGACGTGTCTTCACACTCTCTGTGACAGTCAGACACTAACAGTCCGCTCCCACAGTATCTCAAGCGGGAACGACGCGGCCTCTCGTAAAAGTGCGCCGAAATTCAAACGTGCATCATAAAAATTTATTCATTATTTTTTATTATTTTATATTTTATTATTGTATTATATATCAAACTTATGAAACATTTTGCGTAAGCTGAAATTCGCAAGAGAGTATTTAATATATCTATAGATATTAACAGATATATAATTTAGCTTGGGCTATATGTCTCATAAGCTTGAGCTACCCTCTAAGTAGGTACTCCACTATATATACTCCACTATAAGTATAGTGGCAAGTACAGTAGTATATACTCCACTATAAGTAGGTGAATGATATTTACAATTAACGCCCACCTACTGTGTGTAAACGATTGAGCGCGAGTTTTCAAATCCTTTTTAAACGTGACCGAGTACGCTGATGGTACGTGGTCAATTTATGCATGCATGAAGCACGCTGAAAGATGCCATTATTAGATCTTTCGGAAGTTTAAGACAACATATCCAACGATCAAGCCAATAAAATACTTCTGCTACTTAGAAATTGAAAACTTAAAAAATATTGTTTTGTGTGCATTTTCGAATTAATTTTACTTTCAAATATTACACCTAAAATTTGTCACAGAAATTGAGATTTTAATTGTCAGGGAAGATTTTTTTACTCGTATGTCGTTTGTGGTCGGTTGACCTATCATAACTCAAAAACTGCATTTAACCCAGCCTTTTAAAATTGTGACTGCTTATTTCTTACAAGTAAAAAATTACCCAAAATAAGCGTCATCTTCAAGTTTTTTCAACCTATGGAATTTAGTTAGTTTTAGGAAAAAAATTTATTTTAGAGGTTCCCATAAAAGATTATTTTCATATGAATATTATGAATCGTATGTTACATCAAATCCAGCACTCATTGAACACAAGAAGATCGATATACTTAATTCTTTACGATAAATTAATCAAAAATCATGTTTTTTAGGTGGGACACACCAAAATGATCCCTTAAAGAATTTACTCCAAAAGTATTATAGTTTAATATATCAATTATTTTTATGTATACATTGATATCATATGTACATGATTTTCTATTTTTAAAGGGTTAACTAAAGTAAAATCATAAATAAAACTGTTCAATGACCTCTTAATTGCTTGCTATAACCATCTCTTTTTTATCGTCGATTGTGAGTACGTAGTAAAAAGGCGATATCTTTCGACCTAGAGCCGTAAGAAAGTTCTAAGATTTAAGTAATAAAAGTTGCAGCCTGCTTTGTTAGCGAAAGATCCTAATGTATCATTCGATCAATAATATACATATAATATTGTGAACAAAATAGATGCCACTCACCGACTTTGATACTCGGTAAGCGATAAACGAAAAATGTTCCACATCTTTACTTATAACATTATCTTATCGAGTGTGAAAAAACGAGTTGATGGAGGAGCGATAAATAAAGTCGCAGTTGCTCCTCTTCGAATGCGCACGGCGCTCGCTCGTACAAATAGCGCATAATATACAGCTATATATCGAAGCGCACGCGCTTATTGCCGCTTATGCCATGCCGGGCACAATCGCGTAAGTAGCTATATAGTCTAGCGAGCACCGGCATCGTAATAGTAGCTGCCTCGCGCTAAGCTCGGTATAATTGTATCGAGCAGTGCTGGATTAGTCTCGCTGTCCGACGCATGTGCGTTTTCAGTGTATTTTCGTCGGCGCACGTGTGCATACGGTCGTCTGCAGTTTACGTTTTTTTTTTCTTTTTTTTTCAACAGTGAATCTCGTTTTTTACTCTTTGTTTGTTCAATGACACGGTGAAAAAAAAGTGCAGTGCATAGTCGAACGTTTCTCATTTACAAAGTAAGTGATGTTTTCTTAGCTCCGAAGACAGTTTGGAGTTGGCTCGGAAACTTTACGTAGCGCGTGAAAATGTGTGTCTGCTACGACTGTATTATTCTAGTGAGTTCGTGGAAAAAAACGAAGCGTCCATTCATGCAGTCGACATCAGCTGCTGACCCATTAAAACGCTCGGATGTGGACGTTACACACATTTCACGAATTTCTGGAAATTGAATTCTGTACACAGTGTGAAAACAATCGTGTCAATTCGGACGCGTGAACTTTATCGTTTTGTACTTTGAATAACAAAAAGAGAGAGAAGCAGAAAAAGAAACGAGGTCTCTCAATTTTAATCGCATCATTCCGTTTGCTTAGGCGTGAAATATGCGCGCGTGACGCGTGTGATAAGCCGACTATTAATTAAGCCTCCTTTGCGTTGTACGCGGATCGCGGCGCGCGAAAAAAATTTCCCCGCGGTTACTACCTAGCGCCGAGCATTATATCATGTTTGTGCGTCGACCGAGATGGAGATTTTCAATGCCTGACCGCATGCAGTTATTATTAGTCACTTTTTTTTATAATCGTGCGAATTGTAATTGGTTTTTTCTCTCTAACGATAACGAGTTAATCGACATGCGTACGAATGAATGAATTATGCTAATGATCTTTCCGCGAGTATACGAGCGCCTAATGCATAAATACAATGAAACGTTCGCGCTAACGTACGCGTACGTATTATTTTATTTTTCTCGTATACAGTTTCATCCTTCATACGTACATTACATTCGGTGCAATTCTTTTATCCCCGACAATGCACGCATTCCTATCGTTCCACGCTGTTTCTGTATTATTTTTCTCGACTAAAATGTATATACGTGTGATATTATATTGGTTCTATTCGTTTTATAGGTGCGATTCGACGAGCGGTATCACTAGCAGAAGACCAACCCAAATCGATTGATAACTTGTGAAAAAAAAAAATCAGTGGTATTGATTTTTTTTTTTGATTTTTTTAATAGCGCATCCATGATCCTGCTACGAAAAACAATGGCTCCGACGGTGAGTTATAATTTCATACATCGAATGAACTATGTATCGCGTTGATTTATAATCGAGTGCACAAACTTCACATGATTGGAAAAAAGGAACGCTAGCGCGATGAATCACACAACCCACATTTTTTGTCAACTCAAGCAATCAGAGAAAAAGTAAAGTGCGTCGAGATAAAAATGATACAAATGACGAGTTTATTTAGACTGATGCACGAGTACATCGTTTCTATGTATTTATAATAATATATAGCAAACTTGATAATAATTATCGATCGTACAAAAAAAAAAACACGGATGAGCAAAAAAAAAACCACGTACAGGAGTTCGAGAGATTATTTTCGCTATTAACTTTATCGGCAATCGTTTCCATTTCATTTTTACGTTCGATTATTTATTGTCAACATTCATATAACGACTCCAATAATGACAGAGTTTCCGATGACCATGCCAGAACTGATTGCCACTCGTACACTAATATGTATAATGATCGATAAACTTATATATCTTTCGGATATATATTCGACAATTTAGCCATGGTTAATGTCTCTTCAACAATTAGTGCGTGAATACTTAGTCAGTGTCCATGAATCACGGGACATTAATAATTGTATATACGTATCGATCCTTGAAAGTGACAAAAATCCGCGAAATGTCACAGAGCTCGATCTTGCCCTCGATATAAACTCGCGCTCGCGATACATTTTCAAATGAGTTTTACATTCTTCGCTTCGAATAAGGTCGTGGCGATGCGATAATGTTGCCGGCACACGTCAAAACACATGATTTTAAGATTGTGTTCACGCTCACACGGAGTCCTCGATCGCGGAAATAAATAAAAATCTCTGTAGTGGCATACACTCGAGCCTTGAGAAATTTCGGCTGATTATTCAATCGTGTCTGACACTTGTTTTGTCACTTTAGATTAGATAAAAGAGTATACGAGTGTGTATATGTATTTGTGCATGTGTTAGGGGAAGGGGGGGGGGCACCTGCTATTAAGACAACAGTCGACGAGCGTGTACTACTTTTGAGGCTTTTGTTGCACTACGTGCACACTATAAGCCAAACCATAATGTGTACACGACACATTGTGATGTAAATTATAAATGCGACTCTTGCAATTTTAATTATTGTTTTCTTTTTTTACGTACTAGTGTTTATAAATCTACATATGCCTTTTGTCGCTAAATTAAAGTCATCTGTCAACTCGCGACTTAATTAATTTATTTGTTGTGCTTGTCTTGATTGTAATAAAAAGTAAATATTACTGCATTAGATGCTTTCGCAATGGTTTTATTATATTTTAATTAAACTTATTAATTTTAAATTTAGACGAGAAAATATTTTACATGATATATATTCAATTTACTGATCTATCATTTATTTCATTACAGATGACGCTTGAGGAGCTGCAGCTTTATTTCTACATAGCCTGTGGCATTGCTGTCTTGTTGTTCGTCATCATACTGTTTCTAATATGCGGTCTTAATGTCAAAATCAACCGAAAAGTATCCTACAGAAGGTGAGTGATCGGTAGCTAATTTCTGAGGAGTATCGATCATTATAAGTAATAAACGTGCAATGTTTCGGTAGCCTCGATCATCTGAGATCGAACCAGATCTCCCGTCAAACCCACATGATGGCGGACTTTTGTTACACCAATCCAATGATAATTCCCGGCGAGGAGTTGGCTCGGAGGGGCTTCTCAATGTACAACGGCGCCGAGACTAACGTCGATCAGGAGCCAATCCCGATGCAGCATCATACCGTCCGATCGCACAGATTCAGCAGCGCCCCGACCCCGACGGAAACTCTATCCAAGTTCTAGAGTCTATTTACAACGAAGAGAACTTGCTTATCTAGATATACGATTTTGATATACGATCGGAAGTGTGCAATTATTATTATTACGCGTGTGGCGTTGTATTTTTTTAACGCATGGCTGTGTGATGCGTGTGTTTGCGTGAGTGTGTAATATGTGTCAGTGTGTGAATTGAATTTAAGTATCTCACGTGTTCAATGTAAAGTTTTGACCGTCAAAATTTTATTATTGAAACGAACGTTCGATACGATGTTGTTTCTGATTACTTGACTTATCATTTATATGATAGGTATACGAATGTTGTTGTTACCAAGTGGACATTTTTGACACTTTCAAAAATGTAGAAAACTACTTTTACCTTCTTACTCATAAGATAAGTTACTTTACCGAGGTAAAATAGAGCTGTACACATGGGTGCGCTGTTGTGTACGAATACCCAATGCGATTCCTGTTGTACCCACATTTTTTTGTAAATCAAGGTAATCGAGTGAAACAGTTGATAAAGATTTTTTTTATAAAAAAAGTTCCTGTACATTACTGAAGTTTAATCAATATGTACCACATTCATGTCAGATGAATAAAGCATTTTTAATTAAGTCATTTTGTGCAATGTCAACTATTTAAAGCAATATTTTCGAATGATTTTGTTGGTCCGTTGATTGTATTAGTGGATTTGTAGTCGGTAACGTTGTAAAATTTGTATTGCTTTAAATGTACACTATTGTCGATGTTAAAACCTCTCTCGTATAAGCACGAACGATCGAATTCCATCCGTTAGGTGTATACGAGGAGGCACTAATTCAAGGATAATAGTCGAGCAAATTCACGGACAAAAGGAGGCAATCGAGCGAGCCGACAGGCGGAAGCAAGTAGCGTCTATATATTGGCAGAGCGCCAGGCTCGAGAGAGAGAGTTTATATCCACATGCTCGGTAGCATTCAGTCAACCGCAGCATGGCTTGGTAGCATCCAGTGTAGTCCGCATTAAATACCCCTTTAGCGCGTCTTTCGTCGAGGGGAACTTTCTACCTGCTACATCTATAATATGCGCTGCTATATAATATCTACCGCTGCAATCCATGCATGTGCGAGCTCGTGCGAGAATCGCTGCAAGCTCGTGTGTGTGTGCGCGTCGCGAGAGCTGCAAAGTATAGAGGGAGCCGCGCGCGAAAATGTCGCCGGCGAAAGGTGGGGATTATAGCTAGAGGCGGATAGGCCGGGTAATTGACGCCCGTACGGGAGCTCGGCGAGCAAACAGGAGGCGGCCCCATACGTGCCGTTACCCCGGTAACCGGTCGCGGCGCTTCCTGCTGCTGCTGCTGCTGCCGCTCCTGCACTGCAACGACTACTACACCCCTCGCAGTTCGCGCTATATCTATTTTCAACGTGTACTCTCGTATATGTTTCCCGCGAGTTGCGAGTTACCTATTCTGGCCAGCTATGAGTATGTGGGTGTAAGCGCACACACATATATATTCGCAAGTTACATGCAGAGTCGCTTTCGAGACTTTTGTTTTTTTTGTTTTTTTTGTTTTTTTAAATCTCTCGCGTTTGTCGCTCCCTTTTAGTTTTTCTAGATATGATACACACGATGCTCTCCTTTTTTTACTCGCGCCTTTTAACTATATATACGTGTACCGTGTACACATGACTGTGCCCTCGCTGCCGCTCCACATGTACACAGGTAGCTATCATACGTATGCCTGTGTACGAGTGTCTATGTGTTTACGTATATTATACGAAGCTCGGCCTCGAAGCCTTTTTTTCTCTTTTTCTTTCTTTTCGTTCTCCTCCGCCTCCTCGTCTTCTTATTCTTATTTTTGCCCCCCAAGAGTGCCTTTATTTTGCCTTTGTCTATGCGAGTGGGCACTAATTGTAGACTTTTTGCTGTGTATATGTCGTACAGTAGAGCGCATACTTTGCGTAACTTGAAATTAACTATCATCAATGTCGTCGTCCAAGTCGAGCCGGGCGCGGCGGCAAAGCTTCGTGTCTTCTTCTTTTTTTTCTCGCCAACTTCTCGTGTGTATACATTACACACGAGAGCATCGCTCTTTACTATGTATATTATACGCGAGACACTTTTTTGTTGAAGATGTCGCGCGCGCGCGCGACGAGAGATGCTGTGCAAGCCACTTTGAGATATGTACATTTTTGTCTGCCCATTCATATATTCAGCACACGCGCATGCTTAAAGCTGCGGCGCGTACGCAAATTGCGTACTTTTACGCTCTCCCGTAGTAACTGCACGTACGCGAGCTTTCGCGACTCGACGCAACTTCAGCCATTCATTTATTTTTTTTTCTTCAATCGTAGCGTAAATCCCGAACTAAGTCCGTCCTTAAAAGTTTTTAAAGCGAAGCGAGGGAAGAAACTAACGTGGCCATTTTTTCAGGAAGGAAAAGAAAAATAACATAGCATCTCGAGCGACCAAATCGATGGACATCCAGGATTAAATTGAATAAATATGAAAATGCAGCTAGAACAGGGCTGGTTTATAGCTACGTGCGTCATACGGGGAGAGCCATGAACTTTCGAGTGACATAATCCAAGTGAATTAGCCGACACGCGACTCGCAGTTAAAGTGTTATTCTAATGGCGCTCGCCTCTTATTGCGAGTATTTGGTTTACAAACATCGCGCGATATAATACAAACTGCGACGATTCGTCGGGAATTGAAGTATTGCGCACTACACCCATGATCTTTTCTATATGGGGGCTTAATATGGAAAATCCGCATATATAGCGACAGTATACAGCGGCGCGTTTGATCGCGCTAAGGATTATCGCGCTCGAGCATTACATCGCATGCTTTTGCCGAAGGTGACGAGCTCGGCGGCACACGACTCGACAAATCGAGTGCATATGCTGCCATGCGTCGCGCTGCATTCCCCCCTTTATGCTAAGTCTCTGCCTCGTGTATTATAATTTCGATGCCACGTTTATATCCATAAATGCTTGTAATGCAATGTAAACACACGCGGGTGGAACACGAAGAAGAAGCAATAATACTTATTGGCCCTACCGTACATGGAATACATTTAAGAGAGCTTATTGATCATTGCAGTGGTAATTTACACAGATTTTCGAGAAGTTCCCTGCTATTCCAAAGTTGTGCGGTAGGACTTGTATTGATTTTTTGGGCAGTATTACGATAGGATATACATCATCTTTTTTCACCTCGTTCAAATTTAAATACATTGAAATTGAATGAAAAAAAGCATCGATAAAAAATGTTCTAGAACTTTTTCAAAGATTCATTACGTATATGTGGATTTTCAACTTTTTAAATCTATATCAAAAAATTAATTAATGCATTTTTACAGCAATGCAATGGAAAATACTTGATGTTCTACCACTGATGGGTATCATACGTACAAACGATTACCGCATCAACTAAAACATTCCCCGTAAACATATCGTGCAATAAACGGGCGTGTCGTATCCGAGCTGTCGCCGCACCCCGTGGCGGCAGTTGACGAACACGGAGCATGTACGTATATCGCGACATGATATACAACAATACAGCCGAGCCGAACTTTCTCAGCGCACTCGCGTCGTTGTCCGTATATTTTTTTTCACATGCATCGCGCGTATACTCGGCACACGCTGCACGGTGAGGTGCAACGGCGTCGTGTGCCGCGCGTTATAATATCGACGTCGCGTATAACGAGACTGCTGGACTCCTGCGTGTAGGCCTAATAATGGGGTATTACGCTCCACTTATACGAGTGATCCTCGCATGCTGAGTCCGAGTCGCAAAGTCGCGCGTGGACCGCCGCGCCGCGGGTGTCTTTTTATGCATTACGATCCAGCTTTACGCACACTTGAATCTATATACTCTCGTCGACGTGTAAACGAGATTCTAGGCTTGTAAATGCCTCTCCGATATACTCGATATCGAAAATGTCGAGATCGTCCGGTCAACTTTTTCGCCTATACGAGAATCCACGACCAAGTTATACGCAACGAAATTTTCACACGGACGAATTTTTTGTATACGCAAAAAAGTATTTAGTACAGTCGATAAAGTAGCCGCTGATTTATATTCACCGCGCGTTATCACATTTTTAAGAGCGAAACAGCCTTTCTCCGAACACTCGTATTTAATGTGCTGCGTCAAGCGGAATCTCGGGCCCGATCTCAAGTTACAACCATAGGAACGTAATACGTAGTAGAGCGGCAAATTTTGGAACTTTTCAGAAATGTACTTGTAACAGCGAAGAATATAAAAAGAGCCTACGTCAAGTGCGATCGAATAACCATGGAAGGGATTTCATAATGTGTACTAATCGAAACCAATTACCACTTGTTGAATAAATCAAAGCTTTATTCCATTCCACTCGAGCCGATATAAATTTTTCTCAATTAAATCGTCAAAATAAAAATCAACGCGTCAAAATGAAAATTAAAGCGAAGCTGCCTGTAATTGAATACACACATAGGGTAATCGATTCGAGCACTTGGCCACCAGAAAAACTCAATGCGTATACATGTATAATGCATGCGCAAGCAATACAGTGGGCAACCTGTCCGCAAACAGCTTAAGTAATCGCTCGAGCGTATGTGCGTTTATGTGTGTGCCGGTGTGCAATTGTGCGTTTCGCACATTATATATACGATATACAAAAGGGAGAGAGGAAATCAAATAGCCGAACAAATAATGCGAATAAATTGTGCGGTATGGGACGACGAGAGTCAAAGATGCTCACTTTACTTATACATACGTGTATCGTGTGCGCGTCGATTAGCATCGAACACATCCTGATATATGGTTGTGTGCGGTAATCGGAAACCGTATGGGCCGTCAAATATTGGCTCCCCCTTATGCATGCGTTACATCTTTAATGGATACGACACGATATATACCGCTCATATTTGTAAGCCGCGCGGATTTCGATGGAAATTCATGAGTTTTCGCCGAGCGATGACTTATCGTCGTCGTCGTCTTATTACGAGTTTGTCTTGTTTACGTCTGGATCACAATAGAGAGCTATCGGACGGATGGCCACTAATTGTCTCAGCACGTCGCTGCTCGTTACGCGCACGTCCCGATCTCTCGACAGGCATGGGCCACAATTACGCGCTCGCTAAAGTTCACGTGCCCGCGCGTACGTTCCACGTCATCGCGCGCAATTCTCGACTACGTGTGTGTGTATATGGATGTTTGCATGCACGTATATAACAATTGGAGAAAGAGAGAGCATTATTATCCGAAGGCACGACGGTGGTACAAGCAAGCGAGACGCGCCGATCGCCACGTGGCTGCTGCTGCTGCTGCACAACCCCCCCGCCCATAGCACACAGCGCACTCGACACACACAGCGCGAGCCCCTTTTTTCTATTTTTCTGTCATTTCGCGCTATTATACTAGTATTATCCGAGTGCATATAGTTGCTATACATGTACAGTCAGCATCCAGCGGTGTGTTGATCGCGGGCATCGGCTCGTACCCGCCTGCGTAACGTATTGCTTTATTTAAATCTGTACGTATATAATATGTACGTGCGTGTGGCTTTTATCCGTATCGTGGGATCGCTTGGGCCGCAGGTACACCTCAGGGGGTATAGTACAAGCGACTCCGTTAGTTCATAATATACACGCGTGCACTGCTCCTGGCTTGACTTCGACTCATTTGACTTTTCTCGCTGTAAAGCTGTGCCTTGCGTTTAGCCGCGACCATTGTCAGGATGCTCTTGTTTTGATGGGATTCCTGACGTTCATGAAAAACTTTACAGCGATCTCGACAATTATAGTCACTCATACTTACACTTACGTTTTCCCATTAATTAAAAATTGGTATAGACGATTAGTTTATTCCTTGGAATCATCGTCACGGGAAATGCAGGTAACAAGTATTATCAGTCAAATTTAAATCAGAGGAAAATAGGTTTTTATTTTTACCATATTGTTTTCATACAGTTGTACAATATTTACAAAATCTACGCGTTTTATTATCCTGATTTAACATTAGATTAATCTTATCTATATTTACATGTAATGTACAATTGAGATCATGTTAAATTTAGTTAAATTTTTAAGTATATCTACATGATATAATTAATTTTCATAGAAAAAACACGTGAATCACCAATTCAATTGTGTGTAATCATTAAATTTTCATACAACTACCGTAATGATAAGTGACAAAACTCGAAAATATTACATACTATTTTTATAGTACTTGAGGTTGTCTATTGATTATAATTGTTATATCGATTTAAACAAAAAACCCGGTTACATGAAGATTTTTGCAATCGCTGCTTATGACGGTATTATTGATATTTATGATTGGTTAGCACAATGTCAGCTATCAGTCTTCAAATTCTTCTACGCTATTATTCACAAATTACACCTAAACTATCATATGAATTGTCTATCTACAATCTACCATAATTTCCACTCGTCGTAATTTTCCGATAAATTATATGTTGCTCGAAACCAATAATCGTTATTTCATTTCCCTAGGTTTTTCAATTAAAAATTATTCAAAATAACTAGTTGAATCAAATCAAGGAAATGACATTAATTCCAATTAAATTGACCCCTGAATTATACTTATCATTTAATTTCGAAATTAAAACTGCAATAATTTTTATAATAAACTTTATATTACCGTAGTCATTCAATTTTTGTACAAAAACTAATCTTATCCCTTTGATTTTCTTAAATTTTTTGCACTGCTGATTACATCTCACAGTGTTTCGAAAAAATTAAATTTAAGTAATTCAATATTTACTATGCTGTTGAGATATGATATCAATTCGTTATTTACTGAAACAATTGGATAGAATTTTTATACAAATTGATTGACTTTTAGATACCCAAAAAATAACGATTGAACTTTACTTACAAGCTGACACGTAATAAATTATCACTCTAGAAATTAATTAAAGTATCAAAAAAAATTTCAATTTTTGAATTGCAAGTATACAAGCTTTTCAAAATTAAATTTTTTTTTCAAGATTAATATAGTAGCGATGATATTTTTAAAACTGATTCAAAAAAACTGTGAGTATCTTTAAATTCCGAGATCTCTGATTGAATAACATTTCATCCTGAATAATTTTATCGGATACACACCCAAAAAGGAAATATCTTAAAATAAAACTTAGTGTCAAAGAATTAGATTTTCGAAAACTTGAGAGGAGTATAAATGATGATTATCGATTGATTCATTATAACAATTGTGGACAACAGTTTCGTCGATTTCGTTCCACAGCAATTTATTTACATTTGTTCAAAAGGTATACTTGTTATTCCCTTTGATTTTTATTCTAAATGGAATGTGAGCCTTGTGGAATTGTATACGAATTCCGAAATGCAAAGTCAACACATATTATAATTAAATTTTTAACGACAGTTCTAAAAAGTCTAAAGTCTAGAGCTATTCGTCCTTATAATAATTTTTCATAATATTTACAAAAGTCACACTTATTTTAACATTTTTTCTACAATAGGAATTTCAAGTTCAAAGTGTTTAATCACAGGTTTTAAAGTTAAAACGTTTTTTCGTGATGATCTTATCATTTGATTTTTTTTGGTTTTTGTATCATTCAAAGAATTCAATTTTGCTCTGGCGATCAACGACGCAAACTTGAAATTCGCAGAATTAATTGAGACTACATCAACTCATTCATACAACATTCATTCGTACATTCGTACATTCGTTTTGAACATTTGCGTTCATTCTCGTGTGCTTCTCGGAGCGCATTATTTTATATTATTATCTAATAAAGTTCATAAAACAATGATGATCACAGACTAGAACGCATGGGCGTTACGGTCGACATCGACGAAGAGGAGCTTCTCGGGGCTCGTTTCGCGATTGTCAATGACAAGTTCAAATTTGTCGACGAAGACGACGAGGTCGAGAACGACCGATTGTTATCAGTGGACGAATTGCTGATGCTGCGACGGCATCATCGAATTCGGACTGTACTGCTGCGGCGCGCCGAAGAACGACATGTTCAAATCGTGCCCGTTGCACTGGAGCTGCTGCAGGTTCTGCTGTTGCTGCTGGTGCTGTTCGTGTTGATGCTGTTGCTGCTGGTGCTGAAGCTGCGTGAGAGGCAGCTGCTGCTGCTGCTGTTGTTGAATTTTGGCGCACGCACCACTAGTCTGCTGACTCGCGTTCGCGTTGCCGTAATTTATGCCGCTGCCGTCCGAGGAGCCGTCATAGCTGAATCCGTTGTAATTCAACTGCATGGTCGCGTTACTGAACTCGTCCTGAACGTAGTTGCTAAAGTTTGAGAACATGGCTGCACTCGCGTCGATGCTGGCCACCTGCGGATTCATCTCCGCGGCCTGATAGCCATTGTTGTTGTAGCAGGTCTTCATCTGAGCGTCGCAAGCCTCGGAGCTACCGCAAGTGCTCGGCGAGGCCGAAAAGGCTCTCTGGTACTCGTGCTGCTGAATCTGCGACGGACTGTGTTGCTGCGCCTGTGCCAATGGGCTGTGTTGGAACTGCTGCTGCTGCTGCATCTGCTGACTCTGTTGCTGATACGACTGCAGACTCTGAGGACTCGGCTGCACTCGTTGCATGCTCGAGGGACTGGGCTGCATCTGCTGCAAGCTCTGCGGACTCGGCTGCACCGGCGTCATGCTCGGGGGGCTCGGCTGCATTTGCTGCATACTCGGCGGGCTGGGCTGCATCCCGTGGACGCTCGCGGGACTCGGCTGCATCTGTTGCAGACTCGGTGGGCTCGGCTGCATCTGCTGCATGCCGGTGGGACTCATCTGCTGGGAGTGCGGCGAGCTCAGATGCGGCGGTGGGCTCTGCTTCAGCTGCTGAACCAGCGGCGGGCTCTGCTGCTGGAATTGCTGCTGCATCGACTGCAGACCGTTGTTGCTCGGACTCTGCATGCACGAGGGCAGGCTGGACATGGGCGAGGAATTCTGTTGCTGCTGCTGCTGCATCGATCCCATCGAGTAGCCGGGGTAGGGGTAATCGCCGCTGAAGCTGCTGCAGTGCGAGGGCGGCGTGCTCGGGTAATTCTGACCCAGGGGTTGCATCATGTACGGAAAATTGTCCGAATGAAAGTCCTCGTCCTCGACGAGCTTGGCGCCGACCTCCTGCGCGTAGTCGTTCTCCACGGGCAGTTCCATTTGAGCCGGCATCAGATGAGTCTGCGGCTGCGGCTGGGCCGGAGGTGGGGGCTGCGGCGCCGGATGCGGCTGCTGCTGACTGTGATTGATCTGACGCGCGTTTCTGGCCCGCGGCGGACTCCTCGAGGGGGGCGGCAGCGGCTCCAGTTGCTGCAGCTCGTCGAACACGAGGCCGGCCGATTCCCGCTGGCTGAGAACGTAGTTCACGGCCACGATGCAGGTCTGGCGGGTGGCGCGCGAATTGTGCACCAAGGTCATGTAGGACTGCATCCAGACGTAGCCGCCGCCGCGCGTCATGAATCTGTAGTAACGTGACGTTACCTGACCTTTGAACAACACTGCGAACAGAAAAATGTATGCCGTTTGTGAGTAAAAAAATTTTTTGTTCAATCTCGAGAGCTTAATTAACCCGAAAATACGAGAAAGGAAATTTTTAAGTGATGCAGATAAGAAAGCGCAATGTGTTTGCTGTGTGTTGAAAACTTCCAAGTCAAGTAGAGCCGCGTCAAAAGAATCGCTGACGCTCCTAGACGAAATTTTTAGCCTGTAGTAGAGCGAGGGTTCAATAGAAAAAGATGTAGATCGATACGAATGCATCGGGGCTCTCTCGACCGAGAGCTTTTTCCTCGCTTTCGTCAAAGTCCGCAAGCTCGTCCACTCGTCTAGGATGACTAGCTCGTTTGACAAAAATATGTATTCATTTTTTCGATTCCGGTACAGCGGTTGAGAAGCTCGATGCACCCTTGGATCGATTAATTTCGTGTATGTGTATATACGGATTGGATATAAAGAAAAAGAAAAAGAAGATGAAGCGAAGAAACACCTGACGCGGCGCATTACATGCAAAATTCATGCATGAGAATTGTCTTTGATGTGCGCTGTGTATACGGAGCAGCTCTCACGTAGCTACACTTTACTAGCCACTCGGCTGCTGCTGCTGCCACTGCTGCCACTGCTGCCCCTTTTTGCACTTTCTTTTCTTCAGTCGCGAGACATCACGATTTTTCTGTAATGCACGTGTACTCGTTGTGCAGTGGCAATGCAGCCGAGTGGCGTTAGTAGTTTTTATCTTGCCTCTTTTTTTCTCATTCTCTTCTTCTTTCTTTCTTTTTTTTTTTTTTGTTTTGTTAGCCAAGTCTTTGACTTTAAGAATGAAGAAAAACTCACGGTGTACTACTTACAACTCAGACGCGGTCATATTATAATGAGCGCGTACATATATTCGCGTGGTGTTCGTAATACTAGTAGTAGTAGTAGTAGTGGTAGTAGTAGTAGTAGAAGTTGCGAGTGAATAAGCAGCCATAAAACAGTCAGGCGCAATTTTTTCTTTCTCCCCTAGACGTTTGGGTACGTGGATACTTTTGCTCTTTGAGCAGCACAATTTGGACGTTAAAAAGCCGCTATTTCTGAACTCGACCAATGGCTCGAAGCGCAGTTTTAACCCTTCGGAAAATAATAGTAAAAGCTCTCGAGTCTCCGATGGAAGAAAAAACGGCGTCTGAAAATAGTCGAGCTTGCGCAGCTGGCTGGCCGTATAGCGAGCTCGAAAATACATATTTCTTGTTTCCTGCGACTGCATGCGTTTGTACATATTATATCCGCGTGCGGCTGCAGGCAAGTGCGCATGTGTGACGGATGCTATAGCGCGCGCAACGATCTCGCCACATTATCGATTCGAAGGCAGAGACACGGAGTCAAAACTGCGGCGGCTCTATAGCGGTGTATTCTTAGCAGCGAGTCGGCCAAAACGCGAGAGCTACTTTTTGACTACTTTTTTCTATCGTGTAGCATACCTGTTTTGCCTTAAGTACCTGTGCGCTCGAAGCAAAAGAGAGCGAGTCACGCGTTGTATATGGTTTGTATACAAAACGTCGAGATAACGCAACAAAAGACATGTCACATTATGTGAAACGCACAAGAAAAGCTTACACGCGTTTGCCGCACACAACCGCGAATAATAACAAGTACAAAACGACCCGAGCCCAGGAGAAATGGAGATTTTATTGCTCGCTACGTGTGTGCGCGATATAAAGTGAGAAAGAGAGAGTTGCCAATGGTAAGGGATGAAAATGGAGGATAAATGGTAGAGAATGAAAGGGAGGCCGAGTTCGTGTTGTAAGTCTGTGTGTGTGTGCGAGCGAGAGAGAAATCTAAGCAGGGAGGATGTCGTAACTCCCCTCTGCGTGTCGCGCCGCGCGCTATCGTTGTTTGAACAGACTCGCGTGGCAGTTTCACTTACGGCTTAGTCTCAAAGAGATTTTCTATTTTATGTGTATGCACGTGTATGTGTGTGTATGTGTGTGTGTGGCTGTATAACTAAAGAAAGAAACTTGGCAACCTCGTTTTTGTTTTACTAAAAATAAACGCTTGCAGTTGTAACGTTCAAGCGGAGCTTTTTACTTGGAAAATTTAGGAAAAATGATAAAAAGAAGCACTGACGAAGTAAATTGTTTCGAAAATTGTTGTACTAAAAAGTAATGTAACTTACGTAATCTATGTGCTTGTTCCAACACCGTCACGTCCATAGGATGCACGTACTTATAAATCGTCCTGTCGATCAGCTCTTGTGGTTCGTAGTTCGTATATTGTTGGGAACTAAAATGAGCAAAAATGTTTAAATTATAAAAATATCGATAAAACAAAAGTAAAAAAGACGAAAACTCGATCTCCCGATGACTTACGCTTGATCAAGGAAAATGAGCTTGAATTTGACCGAGGCTCTGAACATGAACATGTTGGACTGCATCTTGATTTCCGTGTTGGCACTCGGTGGAAGCGAGTGTCCCAAAGCGAGCAAACCCACGTTCATGAGCTCGTAGTTGACCACCTCGCCGTACTCGTCCCTGACTTGTTTCTGTTTGAGCTTCAAGTAGCCGTTACAGTGAATGACCTGCAAGCAATAAATGTTTTGTTTTCACTCGTTGTCGCTTCTTCTTTTTTTTTTCGTTGTTGTTGTCGCTCGAGCAAGTATTCGCAAACATCATAATATTGTCGTTGCGACGTGCAGCGTGCAGGCGGTTGAGCGACCTCTCGATGCTAATAAAAAAAAAACAAAAAACTTCCCTCGACGCGATCTTTCAAGTATCCGTAGGCGCGCGCGCGTGCATGCATTTAGATGTGCAGTCGGAGATTTAATTCGCTCTCGAGGTGCTGCTCGCATCCGTATATGAATTCGCTCAGCCTCAAAGGAAGCGTCGCGGCACTTTCTAAAAAGGCCCAATTAACGACATTTTGCTACGTGTTCGAGATTACACGAGTTTGGCGCTAAAATACGCACCCGCAGCCGGTGCAGCGTACAAAGTGCAGTATATGCATGTGCATAGTAGTAGCACAGGATCGCGCGAGGGTGCAATTGGGTATTTGTTAGGCAAATTAGGCGTGTCGCGCGCACTCGACGAGGCCTGCACACGCTGACGCGATGGGCGTGTGAGATTAGCTCGAGCCGAGAGGAATAACGATTTTTTACTCGCAAAAACCTCCTTGTTCCATGTACCATGAAATACGTATAGAGAGATGGGAAAATTTATGCACGCGTGGGATGTGCAATGGAAGAGCGTCGCGATCGCGAGACAATGAAGAAATGCGCCTAGCACCCCTATTCGTATACACCGAGTCATTGAATGCGGGCTGAGTATGTTCTACGATGATGTTGGAGAATATACGTAAAGTAGCTCTTTAAAGGTTTTGTCAGTTCTTTGTCGTTTCAGTTTGCGCGAGAGGCAATCGACGTGGAAAAATTATTTGTACACTCGACGATGATACGGATCGACGTAAGTCATAAGCATTTCAGTCAGTATATCCTCGGTAATGTTGGTTATCTTCACGGAGTTTTCATTGTTTTCCAACATAAACATGGCCCTAAATACTGGACTGACCGCGGACAGTACAATTTTGTGCACTGGAATTTCATCTTCCTCGACTATCAATTTAACATCACTGAGTTTTTCACTAAAAAATGACGAAAAGAAAAAGCGATACGTGCCTTGGAAATATATTTACCTTGTAGCCTTTGAAGGTGAGCCCGGCGTTTCGCTTGGCCAAGACGCACTTCATGCGAAGAAAGAAGTAACGATGGATCTCGATCTCCCCGTTGGCGTTCGGATGGGGCATCGGGTCGCGCTGTATGAAATTGCCGTTGAGCATGTTCTTCATGTCTTGATGATCTCCCGGATAGATGTACTCGTAGATGCTGTTGCCGGTGAGCTCGACCTGCGACAGGCCCAGTTGCACGCTGGCCGTCTCGCTTATGTACATGATCTTGCCGTCCGGATCGATGACGAATATGAAGCCCTCCATGGTCTGGAGCAGATGCGAGCCGAGCTCGCGTATCTGTGTCTCGCCGTTGCAGCCCGACGACGGTTGAGCGCCCCACTCGTCACCGAGACCTGCGCAAATCCGTCGGAAACAACTGGGAATTAGAAAATTTTTTCAGTCACTACGACCAATACGTCTACCTGGGTCCCGGATACAAAGCATATACAGCATCCTTCGAAGCTCGTCAAAGGGCGCGAGGCGTATACATTTATTAGCGAGTCAGTTTCTTCGCGCACGGTTTGGCAGTCGTAAACCGTGCGTCCCTTTCTCTCTCGTCGTGGTCGTGCATTAATTCACCTCGTCGTATTTTCCTTTGTCGCGCGCTAGGAAAACGAGCGTACTCGACGACGAAAAGACGTCGGGTAAGTCGCTTTGAGACTCGAAAGCGCGTGTGTAACGAAGAAAAAAAAGGAGGAGAGCTGCGAAGAGAAGAAAGAGAGAGAGAGACGAGGAGACGAGAGTGGCTTTGACGCTTTTAACGCTAGGTGCGAAAACGAATTATGAAAGATCACGACTTTACATGCGCTCACACGGCCACAGACGCGCGTACATTTTACTCTATAATATACGTATATGTTTAATACAAATGACGATCGAATTTGCTTTGGAAATATCGCGATAAGTGTCTGTCGCGGTGACGAGTACGTCTTTATTTGTATATATGGGGTACGATTGGAATCAATCGTTCTCGGCTCTGGGCGATCTCGCAGCTCTGAAAAAGGGAGTCGTCGCCTGTGTCTGCAGCGATCTAGTGCGAAAAACGCGTAGCATGCGCGACGGCGCGTCTGCCTGTGTGTGAGAACGATCGATGACGGCGATATACACTCGCTTCGATCGATTTGTATCAATATTATCGATTTTTAGCGCAACGAGAAAAATAAAAGGAGAAGAAGAGAAGGAAAAACTTTGAAAAATAACGTATACAACTTGTTTACGCTCGTTAGGCACTCGAGGTTGGTACAGTAGACCCACCGCATCTTGCACCGACGCGACGGATACTCGCGTGCGTGAAAGCGGTGCACAAGTGGACAAATCGAGTCCGCAATATAGTTCCGCCGGAACACGTCGTTCGTTGTAGAAAGAAACCGAGAGTTGCGTAGGTGCCACTGTACGGCATAAAGACTGCACGCGAAAAAGGGATGCGGCTACTTGAAATTCAATCGAGCGAAGTCTGCGCGCGTGTATAGTCGTTGGATCGGCCTCGGCCTCGGCTGAGTGAATATACATATAAAGCGACGAGAGAGAGAGAGAGAGAGAGCCCGATGGGGTTCGGGGAGGTTGTTTTGCTTACAAAGCAGAGCGACGCGCGTTGTTGCATGGCGCCCCCTGTGTATACTCCTTACGGACTGAAAGAACCCCGAGAACGACGACGACGACGACTACAATGCATTAAGTGCGCAATCACACCCATCTCATCCGATATACTATTTGCTCCCTCAGCCCTTGCTCGCCCTATTATATGTATTATATAACGCGCTGCGTACTATGTGACACGGGCATGCTATAGCGAATCAATAGACGCGACTTCTTTCTTTTTTTTACTAGCAATTATCCCTTGCGTAATTTTGATTCGCCATTTTTCGTATAATCGAAGTACACCATGGTCACTGCAGGTACTCACCATTGGGAAAGAGATTGCGCAGCTTGAGATAACTCGAGGTCAGCCGAATGACGCTGGCCTTGTCCAACTGCGTGGTGATGGCCGAGGGCAGAGGCAGAAGCTTGGCCAGCTCGTTGAACTCCTGGTTCTCCTTTTCGCGCCTGTGCTTGGCCGCGTCACGACTCTTGGCCTTCATCGCGAGTTCCGGCCCGGTCAACTGTGGCGAAGACGATTGCAGCTGCTGCTGCTGCTGCTGCTGTTGCGTGGGCGACGGTGTACCCTGTGCCGTCTTTATCGGCGAGCTCTTTGGCTTTGGCGCAAGTTGCTGCTGAATGTGCTGCTGCTGCTGCTGCTGCTGTTGTTGTTGTTGTTGACGCTGCGAGTACGGGCTACGGTTGTGCTCGTAACTGCTGCAACTTTCTGGACTCAAGTGGCTCGGACTCAAGTGCTTGAAGTCGCGGTATCGATTCTCGATGTCCTCGTTGTTGTGGTTCTTCGTTTGATTATTGTTGTTCGTCTGGCGCGACAGTTCGATCTTGATCATCTGTTGCAGCGGCTCGGGTAAGGATTTGTTCCACGAGTACGAATCGCGCAGGCGGTTATTGCCGAACAGCTCTGCTTCCAAATCGCTCAGCGATTGTCCCGCGCACGTCTTGGCCACTGCGAAAATAACGAGTAAATGACGTTAGTCAATAACCATCTGCGGCAATCGTATATGCACGTCGAGCATACGCCAAACTCCGACGCTTTGTTGTGATATTGATATTTTAATTGAATAAACATAGCCGGACGATCGACGCGCGGTCAATGACTCACCCGGCAAGGCTGCCAGTAATAAAAATTGTTTTGACGTTTCATAAAATATACATAAGCAGACATTACGAACATATAACAATCGTCGAGTCGTTGCAAGTGTCAATTGCCGAGCGCATACCGTCGTTATTATTTTATTTTATAATTTATACGCAAATACGTGTACGCAAATACGCGGATGTATATTATACGCGTCGAGTCGAGAGAGGAGGAATACTTTTGAAATTGTAATTTATACGCAGCCACCCGTTAAAAACCCAACTCGTCGGTCTCGTCGCAGGGCTCGTTACCGAGCCACATCGTACCGAGAGTCACTCGCAGTTGGGATATGGGCGTGCTCGTGGCGAAAAAAGACGAGCATTGCCACACCGTCATTAAAAAAAAAAAAAAAAAAAAAGTACCAAGAGCGCAGTCTTTATTAATCCCAGTGCTGCTCTGCCCTACGCCATCGTACTTACGAATGGAAATTTAGACTCTTTGAATAATGTATGTTGTTGTTTTTTCGTCTCGCATTCTGCCCAATGTCGTGCACGCGTTTAGAAATCCTGTACAATGTTCATTACATGCATCTGCTTTCGTTCATTTAACGTCAATTACAATTTCCAATCTCTATTTAATAAATTTTTCTTAAATTATAAATTGATCATGCTGTAACGGAGCAACGACATAATCAGAAGCTTGAATTTATTCCACTTAAAAATCATCAAAATTTCCAGACCAAACCAACAGGCACCGGTGAAAATATTCACTTTTCGCGATCATTGCATTTGCATGCATGTAGCTTTTTTTCACTCAGTCGCGTATCTGCGTACGTGACTTTTGCATAAATATTCAATGCAGTGTAGATAATACATCATTGAGGAAAACTATACAAGAATTTTTATTTTAAACAATCGTTGATCGAAAGGAATAAAAGGAGGCGTTTGCGAATGGTATTCCATTCGATTTAGTTTATTTGATGACAGAAGTAATCGTACAATTGTCCTAATGATCGGTGAAAAATGCAAATAAAAAATGTACCTTTTCTCGGTGTGACATCGCTAATATATGTATCGTCGTGAAAAAGGTTCCTCTTCAAATTTTTTCTGGTTAGACTCTCCATGCCCTCGGCGTAAAATCGCGTATCGCACGCGACCTCGTTAAAACTGAGCTGCTTCATTTTTGCACTTTTATACGTTCAACTTTTCACACTCAAACGAGTCTATGTCGGATCACTGCATCTCCTATTTTGGCACAGCTACAATTTCAAAGTACAACTGTGTTTATGATCACAAAGCCGAGAGAGATATTTCTTCGACGCGCGAAGAAAATAAACAGCCGAGAAACGAGAATTCGATCGCGCACGCGCTCCTTCCGACGGCTGAAATGCTACTGAATAAATTCACCAGTGCCGAGCGAGAAGTCAACGCGTTGTGTCGTCTCCCCCTCTACGCCATTTCTTTCTCTCTCTCTCTCCGCTCTTGCGGTAAGAGCTTTCCGTACGAATGCATGTGTAAGTATATATATACGAGCCGCGCTCACACACTCAAAAAGTTTCGGAATGGGAGTTTTGTAAATTCTCATGACTTTCTCATTCTTATTATTGGGCCCGAGCCCCATCATTGCATCATTATGTCTCGGACTCTGTATACAGGCTGCATGTATATATCTCTTAAGCTCCTCCCTTGACGCAGCTCGTCGACGCTCTATTATACGAGGCGTACAAACGCGTCTGCGCCACTCCCCCTCCACTTTCATTTTTAAGCCGAGCCGAGCATCTGTATATATATATGATTTCTCTACATCTATAATGCATTCAAAACTCTTTACTTGTTGGTAACAAATTGTCTATGAAAGATTTTGGACGTATTGCTCGAGTCGAGTTCTTCTGATCAACTACCTCTGGAATTCATCGATGGACTACAGAAGTTCATCAAGTTGTGTTTAACAAGTGGCATTCAAAGTATTTACACGAAGATATTCATACCTGAGAATAACCTTTCATCATAAGAGTTAGTCATTAAAGTATCAACAAAAGTAATAAAATAGTTATCGTGAAAATTATCAACATCTTGAAGTAACAAGTAATCATTACTATCCGTTTTAATGAAAAATTAAATATTCTTATTTTAAAAAAAAAACATTTTTCCTGTAGTTATTATTATTGCATTTATCCCATTCCTCATCATCAAATGTAATTATAATGATTATTGAAAGGTCACCTTGGATTACAAAAATCTAATTAAGGATATTCATGATCTTGGTGAGTAGGTAAATAGTCAACAAATTGATCTTTACATTATTTTATCGACGTTTTGACTAAAACTCCCATTCCTCATCAGGCGTACTACGTTAATGTAAAAATAATGGACAACATTCAGATATGAATTTTATAATGCATAGCCAATTCAAGAACAATTTTTTAACTATTCATTTACCTGCTCATGAAGATCATAAGAATACTTTTCATACTAAAATATTGTGACAAACTAGATAAATTTTATGTATTACAAAATCTAGTTACAGAGCGATGAGTATTATTGCGTCACTTTATTAAATCTCTCGACACTTTGTCAACTTATCCATAGTGACCTTTTCAAGACAACCAATTTATTTCAATACTATACAAGTAAAAAAAATCAAAATGTTTGATATTAAATTTATAAAAAAAAAGCTAGAAGAGAAGTTGACCAAACGTCGAGAGACTTATACCAAGGAAAAGTTTTTAACTCGTGTATTGAGATTTCTAAAATCCAGAGTCATCGAGTTCAATCGATTGACGGTTTAATAATTCTTATAAATAGTTGTTGATTGAAAAACAAACAAAACGTGGTATCAAGTTTCAAATTGAACAGATGGAAGTAGTTAACCTACCACGATATTTTTTATTACACAATAATCACCTGCATTTAATTGTATGTCGACAAAATTTAGCTGAAGAGACCTGTATGCATTTCCGGTAGAAGTAGAGTAATGGTTTTTTGTTGTGACAACTATCTTTTTAAGTTCACAGTTCAACGCAGAGAGGCACACGACTGATAGATAAAGAGAGAAAATTTCCAGATGGCTACTCGGATTTCAGTTTTTTTATTGAAAACAATAGCTTGGACTTTCCTGTTAGAATCAAATTTTTGGGAATGAAATACGATACGCCATGATCAGTGTCGTGTTTCAAACATATGTACTAATTGAATAGTTAGAAAGGCTGTACAGATACTTCAACTACGAGAAAATCTAAAAAATTAAAAAAGATTGGTTAAACTTTTTTCAATAATATCTTATAATTTTCAAATTTCCAACGTCTTTGCAAGTTTGAAAAAGTGAGAAAGACACGTTAAGGTAAGTTGGGTGATCATCATAACAATTGTACTTTTTTGAGTATTCTCGGCATGCGCAGGTGGAAGCTCAACCTAAAAGTGGGTTAGAAGGCGAATATAAGCCAAAATATCAGGAATTTAAACTTTTATCGTTCAATAATTCATTAGAAAGCACGAGGACCTATATTTTTAATGCACTAATCGTAAGGTGATGACTTTAGCTTTTTAATGGATAGTTTTTTATTTCCCTAGTAACACAATTCAGCAAGCTATAGTCCTTTTATGCTCAAATTTTGACAGCTTTCCGTTAGAGCCCATGTTAAAATATCAACTTTTGGATTGAAAATCCGGGAATATTAGCAAGCAGACCTAGGCTGAAATTTTAAGGGTCAATCAGAGGTGACTTAATGAACAACCATTCAAAGTTTCAGCCCAATGGTAATTTCACATTCAATTTTCATCCAACCACCTTAAAATAACATTTTATAAATCACGAGCATAGATGTATGACATAGTGCAACTATTTTTAAACATGGAAAACTAAATAATTTTCAAAAGCGAAGGATAGTACAATTTTTTATGAGATTTGAAGAGTTTAAATTTTTAAAGACCTCGATGACTATCTGATCATACTATATATACTACTCATCACTATAAGTGATTCATAAGAGTATCATGTTCCAGCGGCTATGTTTAACAAAAAATGTTACATTTCGGTTGGTGAAAAATTGTATGCAAAAAAGAAAAGCACGTATTTATACCTTTCGGCTTCATGTTGGCAGCTTTTAATTATGGGAACTACTTTGCTTTTAGCGGCCTAGTGTAATAATATACTGTTAGTTATTCCAGTTATACATATTGGAATAAGCTGAAAACAGCCACGTGCTATGTGACAAAGTTTGATTCGAGCGGGCACATAGCCCGAAAAATTGTCTTTTTTGCCAATAAAGGCAAAGAAAAACATGGAACATAATAAGAAGTAGATGACTCGATGATATACAACGAGTTCGCCGATTACTTATAAAAGCGCGCAAGAGAGTCGCAGGTGAATTTCGCAGTTACCGAGAAGACAGAATCCACGCTGGGAAACTCGAGGCTCGTTTATTTTCGTTCCACCGATCTATAAACTTTTTGTTCTCGATCCAAAACGGGAGACTGTATGGCGCCCATTTAAAAGGGCCTTTTTCTGTCAAAAGCGTGACTGCCTCAATGAGAAAGTCTCGCATGTATAAAACTTCTAAGAAGGCGTTCAGGCAGATTCGCAACTTTTTTTTCATTCTATCGATTAGGCTAATCTGTCCACTCTATCTTCATTTTTGAGCGTTAGTTGAAAAAAAATAATATGAAAAAGACGCCTTTTGTTATTAATTAGAGTTAATTACGAATCAATTAACACTGTGATTATCGAACTGTCAACACTTTTTTTCGCTGACAGGTGCTCTTGTTTACATATGTACTTGAAATACAATGATCAACCTGTTGAAATTACTATGATTGCGGCTACTGCGAGGAAAACTGAGACTTTCCGCTCACGAGCTACTGAGTACTCAATATGGTCCAGATGCGCGTCTAGTCTTTGATATTTGAGCTCGCCTGCGCACCTGATTCTGTACCATATGTGCAGTCGCGACTCCAAAATCCACTTGATTTAGTCGTGGGTATCATCTTGACAGTAATGAACATATATTTGAGCTAAAGCGGATATAAGTTGTAATTGCGGTCGACTGGACTGTGACCACAACAAAACAGAGCGCTGATTTTATCCTTTTATTTAAACTGTTACTTCTCATGTGGCTTGTTTGATGTGGCTTGTAATAATGTGTTAACCACAATTAAGACGCACATCTATATGAGATATTTAACACTCGTATTAAATAGGCATATTTTTATTATGTTAATTTCCTATGTTATGAAGAAGCTATGCTGAAGCTATACTATTGAAGTCTCAAATGTCCTAAACGTCTAACTGGGCCAAACAAGTTTTCGCTACTTATTATCATATAATTATTATCAATGGACTCAGGATGACTATAAATTTGGTCTAATAATCCTTTATTATCAATTAATTTTTTTGATAAAGCCTATTAGATTATCAATCTTGTTTGTGATTTTTCAATTTATTATTTTTGAACCAATATGCAAGATGATACCTGTCAAAATGTTCTAATTCATGGATACTAAATATCTATTCAAGGAAAAGCTTTTAGAATCTCAATCGGTTCTACCAAAATTTCGTACACAGCCTCAAGAAAGAAGATTTTCAAATTCAAACAAAAAAATAAAGATTCGTTAGACGCGCGTGCGTAACGTCCATACGAAGCAACATTTATAAAGCAGTGCACCGATTCTGACACGCAACAGCCGCTACAGCTCACAATGTACGAAATTCGTCGTAGGTATTAAAACGATTGATCTTCGTCGAGGGCAGGGCAAAAAAAAAAGAAGTCGAGCAGATATAAATGCGAACATTATAATATAGCGACGATTTTTCGTCGCTAAGCCGTCGAACGCATGCCAACTCGCGTTCGCTGGCTATGCCAGAGTGCATTGAAACGGTCACGAAACTCGCACGCACGAGCACATGCTACAATGGTAATATACGCGTACTGCGTGGCAGCGCCTCGATAACAACAACAATAACGACAGCGATGAAAAACCCTGTAGGAATATTTTTGCCTCTTTTGACCGAAGATCTGTGCCGTACGCTAATTTATGTCTTTGGTGTGGGAACGATATCGCGGCCTATTCTTTGATAATTTTTTTGTAGTTGCATGAGATGAATCAAAATGAATTGAGGCAAGAAATGTAGATAAAATTCAATGTTGTACTGAGGTTTCAGTGTAATATATCTTCTTACTTGATTTGTTTATAAAAATGCATTTCTTTACAAGAATGGTATTAATACGGCAGTAAGAATTGTTTAATCGTAATCCAAGCGCGATTTCCTGGCATCGAATATGATATGAAAATGTACAATTTTTGATGTATCGTTTTTATCTTTTACGAACCGTGCAATGTAGCGAGATGCAGTAGTTGCGCGCGATGATGACTCAC